CAGTGAGCAGCCTTAGAAAGGTTCTTGGAAGGGACCAGGCAAATCTGAAGATCAGAGAATGCTGCAGAAGAGACAGAATCCCAACTCCCTGGGAAGCTGGACCAGTCGCCGAGTTCAACGACCCAGCAGCTGTCGAGCCTGATCCGGATGTGAGGAGAAGGCTGAGACGAGATATGGCACGAAAGAATAGAGATGGAGGATATACTGACGGAGAACTGTCTACTGCAAGATCGCTGGGCAATGGCGGCAGCACCATCGGCCATGAATCGCTGGCAGACAAAGTTCAGAAGCTGGAAAGCCGACTCCAGTCGCAGGAAGAGAAGTTGGATAAACGTGTCGACTCAATTCTTAAGGAAGTCAGCCAGCATATGCAGAAACTGATGGTTCATTTTCAAGCGTCCCTGCAGACGACTATTGACGAAGGTCTAGCCAGGATCGCCGGGGGGAAACCTGGGGTGAAGGCTGAGGGAAATTATGATTCTGTTTAAAGGTGGCTTACACGAGTTCTGGAACGGGGTTGATACACTAAGTTAGATATTTGCTTCAGTTGCACCGTCAACAATTCCTTGTACTTAATAACAGTAACTTGGTAATACTAGAAATGTTCATGACCCCTTGAGCCAGTTCTAGCTTGCAGCTAGGTTCCTTGGTGTAACGGGGTAGCCTCGAGTATGCGCAGAGAGGGTCCGAAGGAGGGATATAATATTCTACGAAGGGGAGAAGGAAGAGTGTACGGGTGCCGCACCTGGAGGTGCGGACCCCGCCTAAGGGATTTTCCGATGATCTGCCGGATCTGGTGATCTGCCGGATTGCGGCGACTTCGCACGCTCAACATCAATCGACAATAGCTCAACAACAACGGTGCCAATTGACGTATCCTTTGATTTCCTGAATCATCAGAAGCAGTGAAAGTCTGGCATATATTTAGAACTTTTATCTAGGGGGCAATGCGCTGCGGTGCTGACATCAAACCAAGCAACGGCCAAAATAGGATGCCGACAGATTGTGTAAGTCATTTCAGCCAATACAGCAAAAACAGAACATTATTGGCTTTCATCGTAGGCTTTAATCATGTGGGATTCTCCCCATTCTATCCATAGTGCAGAACTTGGCTCAGGATACTGCAAAAAATGGGGGTTGGAAGGGCGAGCTGGATAACTTCATTCTACGCACCCGTAATGAGCCAGATTGAACGTGATTCGACGGTACAAGCATCTTCTGAAAAGAACCTATCTATGCATCTGAATGTAAGGTTTATTTTTAGCTTGAAATTCAGTGCGCGAGGCTCCGCTTTCACACCTGACAAGGAAAGACGTGCACGAAAATTGAGAAATTCGACACCCTACCCTAAAACACGTATAACATGGATGAAATGGGCTTTCTATTCCTTATGAGCATTTGAACGAACAGGGTATTCCTCTTATTATAAGAAAACAAGGCAAAATTGCTCGGCGTATTAAAAAATGGCAACCCATCCTCCCTTACGTTCAAGATGTGCGTCAGTCAAGAGATGGCATCGCTGCCCCATTTCTCATCCACCAAGACAAGCCAGCACAAACTCTGGACTTTTGGTTCGTGAAACGTGAATCAAGTCGTCAATAAATATTTTTAACACGTCAAAACGAGGTGGACGAATCACAATATTGGAAATGAGCAGCTCACCGGTACGTTCGACCGGTTTACCAGGGTGAAAGCTCGAAACGGTTGTGCTTATCGCCTTTTGGTTCCCGATGGCCACTTAACCATTTTAGTATCGAATTTATGGAGTGGTGTGACCGGCACCGAGTGATCGTTGTGGTGTTTCCCCCTCAATCCATTCATCGGCTGCAACCCTTGATGTATCGTTATTCAGCCTCTCTCAACAGCGTATACGCATGATCTTATCCAGTACACAGACAAATCAAAAGGTTCATTGGATTGCTGAAATCGAAGATCTAGACTGTGTTTTGGAACGCATTTCAGGAAGTAGTCGAGAAGTCCTCTGTTGATGCTGGCCGCAACAGCCGAAGGCTGAGCAGCACCCTCGGGAGCCCTCAATATGAGTTTTAAGTGCTTGATATGAGAGTTAAAGTATGCAGAGAACAAGTAGTCACAAGAACCAGCGCAGGCAGACCGGTAAGGCTTCAAAGATGATCTCTTCTGCTGTACAGATTCTAGTGCAGACGAGGTGTTTAGCTCTAAAATTGTGGCTCAAGCTCGCCAAAAAATGACAGTGAAAGGACTCCAAAAGAAAGAGGAGGCTCTGAAGAAGGAGGCCCGAAAGCTTCAGCGACAGCAGAAGGCAGCGGAGCAAAAGCTCTCGCTCTAGAGAAGAGGAAGCAATGAGAGGCGGAAATTGGGAGAAAACGACGGATGACGGAGGCCGTGAAGCAAAATAAGGAGATAAATTGGCATTATTAACAAGAGCTGAAGATTTTGAAAGTGGAAAAGCCACAGAAAATGCAGAATGAGCGACGGGTGGCTTCTGAGGGTCGCGAGAGGAGTCAGGATGTTCACGCTGCAAAAATTGTCACTCTTCCGTTCACACCAGAGCGGGCCATAGCATTGCAGGTACCAAACACACTATATAATAACGCAAATAATAAGGCAATGATAACTTCAAACGACATATCCTGTCCTCAAAGGCCCTCTTTAGCTGTTGATAGTGATCGGGAGGCAATGGGTGCATTTCGGGGACTTGCGCGATCGGAGAGTAACAGAAGACGACCTCGATGGCTGGATGACTTCAAAAAGATTGAGTGGCATCTTTGAGCATTATTAACTGCTCTTATAAGATTTTAGAACAATTCAAATAGTATTCGTGAAGTTATTCTCAGTTCTTTGCTGGAATGCAATGAGCCCAAAATCCGGCGAATCGCCAGATCCGGCAGATCACCGGAAAATCCCTTATATACAGGCCCTATTAGTCACGTAATCCACAGGTGACTAATACAATAAGGTGCCTAGCTCTGGTCAAAGGCCATTACACTTGGCTTCGGTTTACGACCTCGCCGCCCGGGGCTGGGGAAAATATTTGCCGCATGCTAGGCTTAGCCCCTTGTAAGATGCACAAGTACAACTAAACAGAGCGTGAAGACCGGGGGCGATTGATTCAATTGTTGATCTTTAAAGAGCCCCTCCAGCGGGCTGTGGTTATCCCCTCGTCCTTATATAGGTCGCGTCGCGATCCCCACTTCGGTTTCAGATGGGCCATGCCAGGTCTTTAAGCGCGTGACCCCTCTCTTGCTCTCTATAGAGATACTAGCTGTCGTTGTGCATATAGGCTTTCGCAATAGGAAACAAGGTCGTCAGTGATGCCCGAGCTAGTCATGGGCTTTACAAAAATGACACCAATCCCTGAGCGAAGCGCGCTCTCGAGGCATGATGTGGGCGTGATGAACTCCACTCTTGGCTGCCCGGAGGATGTATCGCACCCCATTAAGGTATAGCCGGCTGTCACCCTTTTCGTAGCCTCCTCCACGAGAAAGCATCCAACCGGATCCGCTTTCCACGTACCATCATCCATAAGCTGATGGAACTCCACCATCTCTGTCCGCATACGACTGCAATCTTGGGACTCTTCTTGGCGGCTTTTTCCCCCTTGACGCGGCTCTCCCCTCTGGTGAGGCGATGAGACGGCGACCTGAGTCTCACAAATAGACAAAGCCTCTGGGGTAGCACCTGTATGGATGAAGAACGCATATAACACCGATCTCAGAACGTGAAAAGTGTCCAGTTCTGGTCCTGCCTTATTAAGTCTCTCCAAGTTGAGGTGAGCTTTGTCGAACTTAAAGGAAGCTGTGTCTGGAAATCCACATCGGTGCAATGGCCGCTTAACAGATTCTTCTAAGCGATCGGAGCTCAACTCTTGCACGACATGCGAAGCTTGACCGGCAGTCCAGTGCCGAATCTTAGCAGACCAGAACCCTAGTTCTGCGGCATAATTGGCAAAATGAATAAGGTCTTCCCGTTTTGCTACCCGCGGTCGAATTTTCGCAAGCAGCTCCTTATCATTCCTTCGGGGTGCAAGAGGCATTTCAAGGTGTCTTTTCCTCGCGTACAGCCACATATTAACACGAGCGTCCTTGAACTGTGTTAAATCTCGCTTGAACGAAGCTCTTAGCTCTGTGGTGATCGACCCATTTTTTCTAGGTACGTCGATCAAGTGGCGCATACAATGCGCGCAATACTCGAGCACCTTCACATCGTTATGGAAGGTAAACAAGGAAGGGATTAAGAGCTCCATGTTGCAGAGTCTTAACAACAACTCCTGACGCCAATCTGGAGTCTTAGTGGCGAAGATTTTGCCCGATGTGAGCAGATTTTCAATCTCCTTCCTGTCTTCCGCGCCGTATCGTGGACACTTCTGCTCTAACGCCCGGACTGTAAACTCATCTAGGGATTGCAAGGCATCTATATCGCCTTGAGTTATTGTCTCGAAGAAGCAATGTTTAATCCAGGCGAAATAGCTAAGAATTTCCTGTGCTGCCCATCAGCCAACGCCTGCTTTGGGCTCTGGAGCTCGGATAAATACCTCTCTGCACTGCAAAGCGATAACTTTATGCATAGTCTTGAGTAGGAAGGCTGATCGGAGTCCTTCTACGTCGAGCAACTCGTCCAAGGCATCGGCCAGAGCTGGTTGATTCAGCAGCCTCTTTGCGCACCTCCGTGCGTGGTTAGAAGAGAGCTGTTCGAGACAAGCTGATACTCCTTCTTCGTCGTTTTCTGCCTGTAAAAGCGGATTTGACGATAAACTTCGTTGTCTCGCTTGCGGCATTCATCGACGTGTCTACCTGGATGAGGGACGATTTCGCGGCATGATGAAGCACCTTGGTGAATGCTGTTTCGGGTGGTGGGACAGCGCATAGATCTGGGCTATAAGCAGATTTTACGTTTTTTTTACTTATCTTGCCTCGAGTGGGCCTAAACGGAGCCAGAATTTGCTGCAACGCGAACACTTTTTAACACAGTCTTTGCTATCCCTCGACCCCGAACAAGGTGGTGCGAGCTTAGAAACAGCCATGAACTTGAATACGAACCGCCGTGGCCGATCTACTCACCTTTTCTCAAATCACGATACCCCCCAATCGCCTTCTATGACGGAAGGCGAGAGGGATAAGACCAAGGCCCCAAAACCTTCTCCATACTGGAATAGGCGCTCGCTGCTGAAGGGAGATGAGCCGAGCTCGACCGATAAGGAAGCTCCGACTGGGAGAAATATCCCTGGCGCCAAAACTGGGAAGCCATGGGATAGTTACAGAGAGATTTACAAGATCCTTGATTTTGAAGGGAATATCTCACTTGCCATCAGCGCTAAGTCACCTCGCCGAGTTGTTAACATTAGATCATTCCCATCGGTCGATACGGGGCAGCCCCCTCTTGCTTACTACCACTTCAATCACAAAAATATCGTGTCCATCTTAGAAGTCTTCAACGATTCCCCTAGTGGCTTCTACCTCGTGTTTGAGGAAATGGCCATCTCGCTACGTCAACTCGTCAACTGCCCAGCCTACCCGAGTGAGCTGCAAGCCGTTGCATTGCTTCGTCAGGTACGCCCGTTACGGACGAACCGTCGCGTAGCTTACTTCATCATCAGACACTAGATGGCCTGGCATATTTAGAGCGTCAAGGATTCGGCCATGGGCAGCTGAGCTACCAAAACGTTCTTCTCAACCAGAATGGCGTCGTCAAGCTAGGTGCGCAGGTCCGCTTCGTACCATGAACCTCAACCCGTTTTCTAACGGCGGCGCCCTGTGGCTAACGAGATCAATTAGCGAGCCCTGAGAAATTTGAGAAACTGAATAGAGACGTTGCCTCAAGGAACATGGAAGATCTTAGAACAGTCACGCTTTGGTTTCTGCAAAAAGATCCGGGACCGGGACTTAAGGATCGGCGCTGGCTCAGTCGCGACAAAGTGGCAGACTTCGTAGCTGCAACAACTTCGGTTAGCACTGCGTCGGAGCTTTGCCAGGTGCGTGTCTTCACTCATCCGGTAGAGCAAAACCTCAGGCTAAGTGATTAAGCATCCATTTCTTGGTGGGTTCAAAAATGACATCGCTTGCGAGGAGTCGCTTTTGGATCTGGTCAAGCTGGCCGAGGTCACGAATCAGAGACGTTTCGAGTTCAAGCTTATTTAAAAGATGTCTTCTCCATTCTGCCCAGCTTACCTGCCCCGTCCACGTAGAAAATGGACTTACCAGAAGCCTATGCCGCTTGCATCTCACTCATCCTTGTATTGCTCCTCGTCGTTTCTAACCGGCCGGCAGGAAAGCGTATCAGACGTCTCCGCGACTGTCGCGAACAAGGTTGCTTACAGTGTGATGGTGAAACGACATCGCATGCTGGGCCCATGGCTCTTGTCTTCAGCCTTGCTCAACACTACATATGTTGCTGTCAATGGTTTATGCGTTTTTGCAAGGTTTCGTTTGAGGCTACCACAAAGGGGTCAAGTATTATCACTCGCTTCACCGAGTGAAGCTGCATCTAGAGCGGGTCGTCTCTCAGTCGTCAACCTGATGCCGCTGTATCTTTCTTTGCACCACTCATTCATCGCAGATATGTTGGGTTTGTCACTCGCCAGTTACAAAAGGCTCACCGTGTCTCAGGTGCAGTTTCATTTGGCCTGTTCCTTTCCACGGCGTTACAATGGTGGGCAAAGGGACGCAATTCGACATCAACAGTTGGGTAGATATTAAGAAGCTTCTTGTCTGAACCCTAAACTCTCGTCGGGTCACTTCTCGCCTGAAAGAACAAGTGCTGATACTTTTTAGGCTGCATTTTCGTTCCTTCTGCTTGCTTTCGCGTCACTGCTTAAAGTCGCCCTTCCCTTCGAGCTCCATCTTCGACTTCACCAGTCTGTCGCTCTGATTCTTATAGTCGGCATCGTTGATCACACCTTTTCGGTTGCTAGGTTTGAACGTATGCCATTGTACGTTTACGGAGGAGCCATCTGCTCTATCAATATAGGCTATTATATTCGGATACTCTGGCGGAACACCAATCTACATATGCCCTCGCCGCGTGCGTTTCTGAAACGACTAGATGGCTCCATCTATATGGTAGTCCGTGTCTCACAGCCGCTAAGAGTTGCGGCAGGACAATACATCAACGTTTGGATCCCAAGTGTGCAGTTTTGGTCAAGTCATCCTTATACAGTATCACGATATTGGTGGAGCGAGGAACGTTCAAATCTCGAGATGCTCGTTGAGCCTCATCGTGGCCTAAGCCAGAAGCTCTGGCATAGTCTTGTGGCGAACGAGAGCGCATACGCTGAGCGACGAGTCTTTTTTACGGGGCCACATGGGGCCCGGATACCATGAGAAGTTCAACATAGTGGTTATGATTGCAGAAGGTTTCGGTGTTTTATCTATGTTTACCTGTCTCGAGGAAATGGCACGTGCCTTTGCAACAAGCCGCACTCGCCAGATACGGGTCGTTTGGATGAAACGAGCCTCAGGTATGCTTGAATCACTCCGGTTCGAACGAGACTGATTCTTTCAGATCCTTCTCACATACTGGATCTCTTCAACGAAGCCTTGGACAAAGACTTATCAGCAAAGGCAAGTAGTTATCACAGGACTGGGAGCAAAACTAACCATATCGCAGAGGATGAAGGTTCTAGTTCACGAAGATGGCCGGCGTTCGACAGAAAACGTCGGCCGCGTAGCCATTCTTCCAGGAGCTCCAGATTTTCAGAAAATATTGACGGATCCTGATGCTTTTCATGATCCTATGAAAAGCTATTTCACAGCCTCCGAGGACCATACTAGGAGCACGACGCTTGTCCTTGTCTCTTCTAGTAGACGGGTGAGAGACAAAGTAAAAGAGGTTGCAAGCGCTTCATCCCATCGAATTACTATTAGGGAAATGGATTTTCAACCACTACAAGGCAGAACGATCGGCTTGAATGCACTAGCAAGCGGGCGGCAGTTGAGAAGCCTCACAGTCGAGAGAGCAGCGACTTTAGATGAAAGAAGTCGATATTTTGGCTAGTATATTACTTGGCTACAATCGAATGCATTTTTGCCATCATCTCGTCCAATTCTGGAGGATATACGGGAGGGTATTGCCGGTTGGCAACAGATCTCTTTGGTCTAAGTGGGTCAAATCGCAAGAAACGAAGTAGAAAGTATACCTTCTCCTCACGAATCATACTGCCCTGCTTTGCAGACGTCCTCCTCCGTGGAATACCACGTAAGCGGTAAGCCTGGAGGCGTCATCACTCTTGCGTGTTACTCCGCTAAGCTACACCCGCAGCTACATCTGGCTCCCCGGTAGGAAAAAGCGGCTATAGAACCTGTGCTGCAACCTCCTCAACGGCCATTATGAGGCCTGCTACCCTATTCTCCTGGTCTCGTGCAGCTGGACTTGAAGCTTTAGTGTCAGGTGTTCAGTGCCGCGCAGAAGATCATGAGTTCTGTGCGCCATAGCAACGCTGAGCGCAGGCGGAAAGGGACCAGTGTCGAGAAAGACTGTCGGCACATATTCGTAAGCCCGCCAAGAAACCCTTTTCACAGAACGCTAACACTTTTTCAGTCGATAGGTTGGGCATCAGAACTGAGCCTTCAGAAGTTCGTCTTATCCCTAGAGAGAAGGATTTCTATTCTTGGAGCATCCTTCCCGATAAGCCGTATTTGTCCCGAATATTCTTGAAGAACTTGAGCGATCATTCTATAAGCACCTACCGCCTGCTCTCAAGGGAAGTCGGCCACACATTCGAAGCAATATTCTCGACCGCCCAAGGCTTCGAAGCTGAGTCCCAGGCTACAGTATGCTGCGTTTCCCTCCCGGTCTCCCCATACGTAACACTGGTATAGTCATCAAGTTCAGCTCCTAGCTTTCAGACGGCAATAGATCTACTGCAAGAGGAGAAAAATAGGCTTTGTCTTCAAACTCAAGTCCTCAGTCAAAAGGTCTCTGAAGAATGTCGGTGCAGAGAAATAGCGGAGGAGGAGAATCATCAACTAAGGGCAAGCCAGCGAACTCTTGAGATGCAGATTCAAGATCAAACGGATTTGATAGTTTCGCTCAAAACCGTCATCTCCACATATCTTTTGGAGCTGGATAAGTCCCTGCCGGCGTTGCAGGAGCTCAAACGCCACACACTAGAGTCTCCGTAGCACCACTGAGTGATCAAGACAATGAAGAGCTCAGCTGTGTTTGCAATGATAAGTGGACGCACAGAATTTCTCGACGCCCAATAAGGCATCTGTAACCCTTCTTTAAATCGCTCCTGCATGTAAACACTTTGTAGGCTTGTACCACCCTTACATACGGCGTCGACATGATAGCAACCCGTACGATTCAGACAATCTTCTCCGGGATCGACTTTGTTTTCGAAGGTTTATCGCAACCTCCCGACACGGAAATGCTGAGGGTATGGAAAGAAGGATACTGAGAGGGTTATATTACGTTGACAGTGACGATGATTAAGGAATATAGCACGTTTTCAGACGTATACTTTCCCGCAAAATAAGGTTACATGAAGAGTGGCGAAGTACCAGTCACATATCGCTCGCATTTTCCCCTTTTCTGTCGCTTAGGCATTTCCCTCGCCGCTTCCCAATCTCGTTTCCTTTTCGGACGATGATCGGCCGAGCCAAAGCAGGCATCAAGCCTTTGCGCCTGGTTGAGCCAGTCAATAGTAAAGGGGGAGCCGCTTATGTGATTGTCCCCCACATGCCCCTCCCTCAACATAATCTTAAAGGGAACCCGCCGCCCAGACACCCGAAACCTGATCTCTTGACGGAAATAGGCTCCTCGGTCAGTTAGATCGCGGCCCTGAGAACTGACGGCGAGGACCGCACCCGCAATTTTGAAAGTTGCTGAAGCGCGATCAAGTTGATCCAGAAAGGTGTTGAATGCTGGCGTTCCGGGGGGCAGGCGACAATGCAGATGACCCACGCATTCGTAGAACCCGTTCAGCAGCCGAGGCATATAGTCTAGCTCAAAGAAAAACAGCTCTGCACGAATGCAAAGGGACAGCCTCGTTAGCTCTGGCGACTTGCGGATAGATTCCTTCGCGCTTCGTCCAAGTTCCTCTAGCCCTGTGACGTTGTCCAATCTCGGCCCGCGACCTTCGAACTCAAGATTAAATCGAAATAGCTCTCCCTCATGATCCATATTTCGATGGCCAAGAAGCTCGCTTTGCTTCACAAATGCTCGGAAGAGTCTGGCGAAGCAGGAATCCTCCATCAAACGGCGAGATAGGACTTGAGGCCCCCTGTTGAGAACGAAGTCGAGCAATGAGCGCCGCGTAGTAGATGGTTGTGACTCCTTCGGCCTTGCAGAACCAGTCGAGAGGGAAACCACTATGCTGGTCCGAGAATCAGGAACAATCTTTTAGATTCTTCGTAAGCCATAGACGTGGGGTTGTTGTATGCCAACCCTCCATCTTGGACATTGCCAAAGCCTTCTATGAGCTGGGGCGAAAAATAGCTGGACCAATCAGCAGCAGAACATGGCTTCGCTGGAACTACTTACAAGGGAGCGGCTGTGCTGCCTCGAAGACTACTCAAAATGTTAGCATTCATCGTGCGGTAGAGGATGGCATTGTTTGTTACAATTTCCAAAGAGGAACGCCGCTGATACCGGCTGCCGGCTGAATATTCCGATACCCTATAGGCGATGAGATCAGCGCCAAGCGCGGATCGATCCGCGGCGCCGTACACTAGGAACGAACGTACCGGCCCTTTCATCACTGTTCCCAACACCGTTATAGTTGGTAACGATATATGTACTGGCATCGCCAGTTGCTGTTACTGGCATGCCAACAAACTGTCCCATCTCCGTTGCTGCTGATTGATCTAAAATGCCGCGCTTCGTGCCGAAAAGCTGTTGCAATGCTTTCTCTAGTCCTCGAGCAGGATACCTGCAGTCATATGCTAGGGATAGCAGAATCTGCCAAAAGACACGAATAGGAGGAAGCCATGCTAGAGGAAGTTGAGACACACCCGAGGCCTGAAGGCTAACTTCGCTATCGCTTCAGAAGAAGCTATGCAATCTTCTATTGGCCAACCGTTGATGAAAAGTCCGCAAACGCTGATGGCCCCTGGTTTGATAAGCTTCTGTTGCGCGAGCGGTAGAACGGCAGTACTGTACCTGAGCTAGTTCCGTAGGCAACCTCGAAGTGGTTTTGGACGGGTATGGCAGCCTGACGGAGTTATGTATTTCCTGGAGGAAGGTTAAAGGTATGCGCGCACGAGTCCCTCCCCCATCTATGCTCAGAACACGGACTGATGCTGTGTCTGGTTTGATCGTTATTCGAAAACCTAAGCTGTCCATCCCACACAAGAGACAAGAGTAAAGGTATAGCTTGCTGTCATCTTTATGGCCAAAGACCTTCAGGCAATTCAGGCACACGAGGTGACCACAAGGTAGCTTGTACATCGGACGCCGAAAGAGACAGCTGAAACATGTATCTTCGGAATAAAACCGTATCCAGTCTTGTCGAAACCGCGCCAGTTGCTCGCGATGGAAAGTTGCAGCAGGCTTGCCATAAGACAGGTACGATTCAAATTGAGAGAGTAGCTCTTTTTCCACAAGAGTGGCGAACGAAGAAGGTAAAACCAGATGCAAGGAATTTTGATGAGCAAGAACAGCCTCCCTGCATACACTGATGCATGTTTGCCTGTACAATGCGGCAAAGATCAATTGTGGCTTAAAGGCTAGGGGTATCGCTTAGCTCAGGCGCAAACCGTGAAACAGCCTTGGGGAGCGACATAATAAAGGCTTACCATGCATTCGCGGTACATACTGATCCAGTATGAAGCTGGAGGCCAGGACCGGTATGGCGAAATTCTTCAGATTCTCTAGAGAATCAAATCTCCCGAGGAAGTCTTTCAAATAGGTCGATAGTTTCTCGGGCACCGTGTTATTTGAGCGAGAGCTTCTTACGAAGTCGAATGGCTCTAGTTGACTTAATTGCTGTTTGGCGGCGCAGTGCACAAGGCGTGCGAGGTGCGTCGCAGAGAACAACATGTGATTGCAACCACGCGATTTCTGCATGTCAATGACAGAGCTATATAGCTCGTTCTTGAATTGATCCCAGCTAGTATGATGATAGGTTCGGCTTCTTCTTAGCCTTACCCATGTAGAAAGACCTACGAGGCGGATTTTCTTGCAACGGTTGTAGGGATCCATGGAGTTTTGAGACCGCAAAAGATCTTGGAACTCGGTATACTCGTGTACACCTAGTTCCTTCTCTGTAACCAGAAGGATATGGGGTAGAATATAAGGCGTAGAGGGCTGTCCTTTGTCGATCCAACGCGAGATCTGCTGAACTGCATCTGCGATGCCGCCAAGATCGTCGGTGAATAGACATACGACGTCTGAGAAAGGAAACAGTATGCGATAATGGACGCCAGCAGCCAGGCAAGCATATTTCAGAGAACCATTCTCGTCGTTCATCGGTAAGCTGTATTCGATGGTCTCATGACATCGTTGAGGCTGGCCAGAGCTTTGGAGTCGATTGTGGGACGGAATGTCCGTCTCCGCTAGCAGCAAGGGTCTTGGATTCCGCTTGCACGCTGTCGACAAGAAAAGGTGAACTTCCCCGTGGCCACGGTGTCCGCTCCCCTCCCAAGTGTCTAACCCCAATTGCTTCAGCGCCCTGGCCTTAGCTCGGTTGCCTACCAGGAGGATAAGACTCGGTGTCTCAACATCAGGGTCGCGCAGCGATTCGATGAGACAATCAGGTCGGTTCGTGGCTTGAAGCTTCACTTCGCCCTCTTTCCGCACGAGTCGTAACCAGGAGCTGTGCTTGCAGGACATATTCTGCAACGATTTACTAGATTTGTGAACTGAGGCTAAGCGTTCTTTTATATGACGAACAAAAAGCGAACACTCCGCTCCAATTCATGCTGCAGCCATTTCCCGCCACGATACAGTGAAGCAAAGCGTCCTCTCGCGGTATAAACACGAACGGTGTAGCCCGCTATGTAGCTGGTGGCGGGTCGTATTATCTCGTGCCCTGCCGTCGAGATCGAATTCGTCAAAATGCTGTCTCGACTGGAGCTTCTCTTTATTTGTAAGAACTGCCAAAGGGCTCGAGTTCGGACCTGCAAAACTCGAATCGGACTCGGGGCTTTTATACTGCTATTTTCGAGCTCGGTGTGGACGCCAGAGCCTGGTCATCGATGATCTGTGCTCACATTGCCGGCCGAGTCCAAAAAAAGGACCAATAGTCACTTACGAACATCACCACTTTCATCACGACTCTTGCGCCCATTCGCCACCCAACTACTGTGCCGAGCTTCCGTCAGCTCCTTGATTCAGCCACCAGAGATGCAAGCAGCGCTTACTGGCTACGAGAATGCACAGGAAGCTTGATCATGGCTTTGGACTGTTGGATCTGCCCCGTAAAGTCGGTCGTTGCAAATTCCCCGCCGCCCCCCACCGCCTTCCGCTTTAGGCAAACCCCATCTCCTTTCGGCCCATTGCTGCATGAGGGATTGCTATAAGAACACCCACACTCCCTCCCCCCTTCAACCCCGACGCTCCTTTTCTTTCCTCTCTCTCTCACCGCCATCCCCTGCCGGCCGGCCATGTTTGATGCAAAGCCCCCTCCTTTACTTGACCTAGGTATGCCCCGCTCACACTGCCCCCCCGGGCTCCTTATCTGTATGTTCAGCTGAGTTCCTGACGCCCCGGATTCTGCGTGTCCGCTTCCTTAGCCGCGCCTTTGGTCCCTTCGGTCTTTCGCCTTGACCAAGGGGGAGGGAAGGGGCTACTCTTGCTTCTTCAGCGCCCTGAAGCTAAGGGGCATTCACTCGCTGATGTGGACGAGTTTTCGCCTGGCCGTCGCCCTCAATACTTTTAACAACAGTTTGACGTGACCACGACTACCCTTTCGATCCTTAGATCCTGCGTGACCTGGCGGTCGTCATGCCCGCGATGATCCACAGGCTTCCGCTGCGATTGCTCGCTGTTCTGGAATCGGATGACGTGGCAAAGTCTGCCTTGCCTTCGCAAGGCATACTGCATATGAACATATGCAGAGATCAGGCCAGCTGACCTCCCACCGTCTCCGTTAGCTCCATAAAAAGTCCCTCGGCGCGCCCGAGACGACCACCGATGGAACACTGGCCTGCTTCGGGGTTGGCTGTTGAAGCCTCCTCGATTGGGCATCACAGCAACTGGCCGTCCTCCGATAAGAATGCCGCCGACATGGGCCCCGCAATCTGCGACCACAATCGCGGCGCACGCCATACCTCGATGTTGTGATTCGTGGCTCGATGCTATCTCTGTCTTCGTCCACCCTAGGTTATTCCTGTGGCCCCATGAAGGTCGGAGGATCCTTCCTCAATCTCGCAGGCTGCGCCGAATCGTACGAGTTTCGGGTGCGCAGCTTTCCGCGCCACGGCGCGTGCCTGAGCGCCCGACTATTGGTTGTCCCAAAATGACGTTCGTTGGTTAGGTGGTCCGGTGATCTTGCCTGAAGCCCTGGACCAGCGGCTTGTCCGGAGCGCTCTGAGATTGGGTGCTTGGCCCCCTCCTCCGCTGCAGCTTTGCGATCCCTCAACTCAAGGGGAACAGAGTAAGCGAGGTTTGTGAAGGAAGAGGGGGCCGGTGGCCAGTGAGAGTTGAGACCCGAAAGAGTGGAAAGTGGAAAAAGTACAGGGGGGGCCTGTTGGCCTTGCCGGCTTGTCACTTGCCGCCCACGACATCCAAGATGGGTGGGAAGGCTGTGCCTTGGAGAGGAGGGGGCACTGACACGTCACGGCCATGACTTCGGCAAAGTTGGGCCTGGTGTTCCCCTTCTTTCTCATCCAGCTACGGCCATGGATGGGTGGACTTGTCCATAAAAAGGCCATGGATCCGCCGAATTCCTCGCCATCTAACCATTCTCTTCCAAGCTTTTATTTCCTAGGACGACTGTGAAGATGGACCGTATGACTCTGAAGAAGACATACCGCTGGCCCTCTCCCGGTCGAGATCATTCATCGAATCAATCTGCTGTCACGTGGAACTTCCCTTGCTCGAATGTATCTCCTTCGCCAACCAGTTCGAGGAACAGCGACTCTGGCTCCAGCAGCGAAATGGGAAGTACTGACAAATCCAGCCAGACTATCTCGGAGCCTGGTTATGAGACCCCCGACGTTGAATCTGGCGTTCCTGTCACCAAGTCGACGAACCCAGAGACGGGGGGGGGGAGATCACCCCCATCCCTCATGCAATCCCCAACACCCGTCACGGGCCCAGCCATGGACGCCAATCGTCTTCAAATTCTTTTCTCCGAGTATGAAAGGGTCATCAGCGAGCAAATTGAGCCACGTAGACGCAGCATTTCGGCACGTCAAGGTAGCACGAGTTCCCATGCCTGAGACCTGCACTTGCACTACTCACAACTTTTTGCAGAGAACGGAACTCTTGAGTCTCTTTGCCCAGAGCCTCAGCACCAGGCGCTTTCCGAAGCGATCGCAATCTGTGAACAGTCCGGGGTAACCCAACCCCGCCGAAGCCAGCGGAAGAGGAACGTTACGCCACGCCCAGCTACCACTGCTTTAAACCGTATCCAAAAGAAGCGCATTGCGACGTGTAGCAGTCAGGAATATGAGTTCTTACGTTTGGGGGAGGTACGAAAGGCATGGAACGGATCCATCGAATACAAGGTCATTTGGAAGCCAACCTGGGTGTCTATTGACGATCTCCGGGGCAAGCGGGCATTGGAAGAGGCCGAAGAGCTCATAGTGGATGAGTTTGGTCAGGTATCGTGGGAAAAGGAGATGGGACGATCTGGCCATGTCGACATGGATACCGAATCTGAGTAGAAAGCGAGACTGGCAAAAGGACCCCAATAACCCCGACCCCCCTCCGCCACATTTATCAGGAATGAATGAGAGAATTCAACAGCAAGGGTTTCTTGAATAGAGTCAACGGGGCTGTTAGCCCAATAACAGGCTCGTGTAGTACTTTTCTTCTGCTCGCGCGGGCGCTTCGCGTACGGTCAGGAAAGCCATGCTGGAGCCACATTTCTCTCATCTGGGATCATGGTGTCACCGAATCGGTGACGCCTTCATGACCGAGCGCCTGATGCCCTGCGCGGACACCATGGCAACAAAACACGAACAGCTTGGCAAGTCCACGAGGAGCTTAATCCCTCTCTTAGCATTCGCTCTTGACCACTATTATATCGTCTAATCAGGCAAAAATTGGCTTGCTCAATTGCATGACCCCTCTTTGCCTCCCAGTGATGGCAACGAAGATCCGTCGCAAAGGGAATTGAGGGGATTCTGCGAGTGGTGCTTGGAGAGTATGCCAACTCGGGGACTAGCCGAGGCCAGAGATTGGGACCTTCCACTCAGTAGGCGCAGCTATGTTTGGGCACCTGAGTGCTATGTATTTGTCGGCCCAATAGCGCGTCGTAGGGTACCGGTAATCGCGCAACGCAAGAGACGGGACTTGCCGGTAACCGCCCAGGCACGAGTTTAAGGCCGGTGGCTAATGGCTCACATGTTACCAGTAACGGTGATCTGAAGAACGGCTCGTAACCAGTAACCAAGCATCTGGATTGCAAAGGTGCTGGTAACTGCCAGGCAGAGATTGCCGGCAGCCTATAGGCTCCGGTAACCTCTGGGCGCTTGCTGATGGTAGCTATGTGCTGTCGGTAACCGCCCAGCCATGATTGCCAGTAACCAATCAAGCGTCGTGGCAAAGTGGCCAGTAACCGCCCGGCTCAGATTGCCGGTCACTCGTAACGAAGGGCCAACGAGTGCCAGTAATCTGCCGATGTCAGGCAGGCTGACGCGCTGCAACAGAAGCTTGAAATTTTCCGTGATCGCTTGCGACGGTATAGTGACGCAGATGCGCAGAGTACCATTGCTTGATTACCTAGCGAAACTCCCCACCACCAACTGAGGAGCAGACATGTTTTAGCAGGTGTACCGCATTATATATATAATAGTAGACACTACCTTATCCTTCCATAGCCATGATATCATCAATAGCCTTGCCGAAGGCTTTGATAATCGGCTCGTAAAGAATCTCCGGGTCCTTGGGTGTCCCAACGAACAGACCCCCCCTGTAAGGAAACAAAATCCTCGCATTTCTCTGCAGAGTGACTTAACACAGTCGAAATGAGGTGAAAACTCTTCTAGAATATCTTCAAACCCATCAACACCCATGTCTCCTCGTTTAGCGTGCGCAATTTCTCTGTAGCTGCCAGTGTACCATTTGTTATCAGAGTTTCTTTCGGCCACTTGCTACCCCAGCCACGACGCGCGCACTGCCAGATAAGCACATACAAGAATGATTCGAGATCATGCCGATAGGTGTGAGAGATCCCTTGCAGGACCTCAATTGCCATGAACTCCATCGTGCCAGTGCGACAGCGCGCCCCGCTGCGCCCGCTGCCCAGTTCTCTGGCAAGGTCCAGGTCAATCAGCATGCCCATGTGACCAGTCGTTTTGCTGTCGGTGATGATGATGTTGTTCTCGGAAATGTCCCGGTGCAGGATGTTGCCTTTGAGGTACAGGGACCTGTGTGCTTTGATGGCGTCACGGAGCGCCCCGAGAAGCTCCGATATTTTCTTGTGCTTGTGAATCGCCCGGCCAGCTGGGGAGATCACCAGACATCGAAAAACTCGATTATCATAGGGTCCGTTGGTGGGAGCTAGCAGACTCGTCCCCTGCACTTCCTCCACATCGTACGTAACCTCATCCTGCCCTTGGCCAAACCTTTGACTGCTGGATATTGATCGCTTAGAGGGTTTTTGGCCGACATCAACCGACTTGCGCTTTCTCAGCGGCCTGTCAGCGACGCTCAAGCCAGGAAGCTCGCTGGTTGACCGAGAAAGGGCAGTGGGAGGCTGAGACCGGGAAAAAGACTGCGAAAAAGTCGACACAGTGCTTGGAAGGCCTCGAAAGGAGTAAGGCTTTGTAAATGTCAAGCCTGCTCGCATCTCATTGATGCTGGTTATGTGACGATGGCCGACCAACTTAGCAATACCCTCGACTCCTCTCTGTTGCGCCAGTCTGAGAAAGTCTGCCTCTGGCTTTCGCCTGTCGGACGTCCACGAAAGCTTGGCGACACAACTCCAATCCTCGGCGTCCGAAGGCTTCGTGAGGTAGCAAGAAGTCCCGCGGCAGACGATTGCTCGTTGATGGGTGAAAGGCTGCGAGTCCAATCGCATCCTCTTCCTGCCTGAAGCCCCATCCTGCTCAATGTGTATCAGACGACCGTCGCCATCCCGATCTGTAAATATATCCAATCCCAGTTCTTCGTCATTCATCATCGTGTAACCGGCGATCACCTGGATGAACCGTTCGGGCTTTTCATGGATATCGAACGCACCAGGGCTGTAACATCCTGAGCGGTCAAATACCCAGACCTCCATTTCGCGCCCGCAGATTGTAAACGCGTGAACGTACCGACGTGTCGGTTGGCAGGAGAAAACGTCTCGCACGTATCGGCCGAGCTGGAGAAGCGTCGCCTTTTTGTTGTTATTGGACGCCTTGAGCTCACCGATAACGTCAACATCTCTCCAGTCGTGCGCGGCGTCTGGCGGCTGCCCATTCTTTCGCTTGACAAAGAGATCAATTTGTCGCTGAGCTTCAGCACCGACAAGGTCCTTCGGGCTCGTGGTCGAATAGTAGCGGCGTCGTTCCTCTGAGCAGAAGTCTTCGTGGAATCGAAACCACCAGTCTAGAACTTCAGCCTGTACGGGCGGGTCAGGAATATCGGTCCACTTGCCATCGACGTGACGGTCCTTCATTTCCTCGTAGATGTCCAAAGCACGGCGTGTCCAGTCTTTCCCCTCGAAGTATTTCTCAAAAAATCCTTCCACATCGCGATATGTGCAGAGTCTTATCTCCTCGAATACTTTTTTTTCCACCACGTCACGTGTCTGTTCGACACCTTGCTGGGATGCGGAAGAATGGGAAATGGGCGTGCTGTCGAATACCGCAGGAACGCTTGCAGGAGGTGTTACTCGGGTGAGAGTGGTGATGAGATCAAGCACAGCGCTCCAGGTTTCAGAGTCGGACGCCTTTTGAATGACGAGTTTAGCCAGTGGAAAGAAGAGACCGTAGTCGAAATGCTCTTGACGAAGATGCCCTAAAATAGACGCGAGTTCGGATGCAACGTTTCGATTGCTCAGTGGTGAGTGGAGATCAAGAGCTGTCTCGTGCCCCATCAAGGCAGTCAGCAGTCGTGATATCGCCTTTTGCAGCCCTTTGGAGTCATTGGTAGTGTCACCATGGAGTGGGAAATTGATGCATAGGACTGCTCTGCATCCTGAAGTAGCTTCCTGAGGTGGCACAGAGAGCTGCCCAAGGGGCGCGCGATGATGTGGCGATCGTGTTCCGAGAGACTAGCCATTTAATCCGGCAATGCGTAGAAGGCGTAACGACGCGGCAAGAAACCTATGATTGACAGACTCAGCGGAAATCACCAGCGAGTATGATACAGCGCGAAGGCTTCGACAATGCGGAATCAGGAGCTCGGTGGAAGTTGTAATGCGTCGGGAAACGCGAAGGAATTTGCAATCTGGAACGGAAAGCGGTTTGGTGACTAACTACAGCACAGCCAGACTGTAAATCGGGCCGAGTTTTTCCGATACAGTGATGACATGCCTCGGTCCGTTCATCTTACCTCAGCAGAGCTCAGGCCATCCTGGTCGTGACTACGCCACCGGAGCGGACTAACGTAATCCACCCCCTTCCCGGTCAGACCCCCTACTCGGTCAGAAAAATTCCCCACCGCCGCGACCCACACTTATGGCAAGACAAACCGAGCACAATGACGGCGACGGGAGACCAATTGGTTCCACGCGAAGAACGGGTCCTGCTCGCCGTCAGGGCCTATCAGCAGGGCCAATTCGAAAGTACCCGCAAGGCAGCGGCCGCATACGACGTCCTCAATCGACAGTATCTGATCGGCTGCGCGGTGTCATTCGCCGACGCGACGCTCAGGTGAACAACCTAAAGTTGACGGCGACGGAAGAGACTGCCCTGGTACAATGGATCTTGTCGATGGACGAGCGAGGAATGCCGCCGACAGTGGCTTACACTCGTCGGATGGCCAACTTATTGCTTTCCGAGCGAGGCAAAGATCCTGTCGGGGAGAACTGGGTGCGGAAGTTTGTTGGCCGCCACGGCGAAATCAAGGCAAAGTACTCTCGCCGATACGATTATCAACGCGCCAAATGCGAAGACCCCCAAAAGATCCAAGGATGGTACGATCGAGTCGCGGCGACGAAACAGAAATGGGGGATTCTTGACGAGGATGTCTATAACTTTGATGAGACGGGGTTTCAAATGGGAGTCGCCACAACGGCGAGAGTCCTTACCCGGTCTGACCGGCGAGGTCGGGCAATACTCACGCAGCCTGGAAATCGCGAATGGGTTACTGTGATCGAGTCTATCAATTGCCAAGGTTGGGCTTTACCGGCGAAGGTTATCTTCCAGGGCAAGTTACACCAAGCAAGCTGGTACGAATCAGGAGTGCCCGATGACTGGCATATCGCCGTTAGTGAGAACGGCTGGACTTCCGACGACCTTGCTTTGAATTGGCTAAAGGAAGTCTTTGATCCGAATACACGGCGCCGTACGGTTGGTACGCATCGACTTCTTATTCTCGACGGGCACGGTAGCCACGTCACGCCGGAATTTGACAAGTACTGTACGGCCAATTCCATTGTGGTACTCCAAATGCCTGCACATTCCTCACATCTCTTGCAGCCCTTGATGTCGGGTGCTTTTCGCCGTTGAAAACAATATATGGCCGGAAGGTTCAAGAGAAAATGCTCGCTGGGATCCATCATATCGACAAGCAGGACTTCCTTCCTATATACTTAGAGGCTCGCCGACAAGCACTTTCGCCGTCGAATATCCGAAGCGGATTTATGGCAACAGGCCTCTTTCCGTTCGACCCAAACAAGGTATTATCGCGGTTACAAGTTCAGGTTGACAAAGTTGGTAACGATCACGGCGACAAGAATACCCCAAGCCCCAACAAGAGCCTGGAAGCAGCCAAGACTCCGTATAACGTCAACCAGCTTATCACTCACGCCGAAAGCCTTCTTCAACGCCGGCCACAAAATCCAGACTCGCCAGTCTCACAATCTATCAACCAGCTTATCAAAGGATGTCAAATGGCCATGCATGGCGCCGCCCTCCTTGCCGACGAAAACCGGCAACTTCGGTCAGAAAACCAGCGGCGAAAGCAGAGAAAAGAAAAGCGCCGTGAATACATTGGCGACGGCGGTACTCTATCGGTTGCAGAGGCACGGCTAGGATAAAGCGACGGAGAGAAGAAGAAGAAGAGCGGGTTAAGCGACGGAGAGTGGAGGAAGAGGAGAGGACCAAGCGCCGGCGAGAGAAGGACGAGGAGCGGGCCAAGCGACGACAAGAAGAAGAAGAGCGGGCCGAGCGACGGCGACAAGAGAACGAGGAATGGTTCAAGCTACGGCGAGAAAAGGAAGAGGAGCGGGTCAAGAAACAGAGAGCAAAGGAAGATGAGCGGGCCAAGCGACGGCGGGAAGAAGAGGAGCGGGTCCAACGACAGATAGAAGAGAAGCTAAGTGTCCCAAGACAGCGTGCACCACCACGGTGTAGTAAATGTAGGTCTTTTGAACACACTGCCCGTACGTGTAATAGATAGTCCTAAATCGAGTTACTTGTCTCTTGGAGTAAATATGTCGTGGTTATTGTGCTCGGTTTGTCTTGCCATAAGTGTGGGTCGCGGCGGTGGGGAATTTTTCTGACCGAGTAGGGGGTCTGACCGGGAAGGGGGTGGATTACGTTATACCTAATCGGTAAGTCACATGCGCTCCTCGACCAAATATACTTCGACCTAAAACGGTTAGACTCCTATTAAAATGGCCTGAGCACTGCTGAGGTAATAAAAAATCTTTGTGAGTAGTCTCACTGTCTGTCATGTATAGATGATCCGACAGCGTTCCCTTGCCGACGAATGTGTAGCCGTACGGCGCCAGCTCTAGCTTAAAGAGTATCCCTGTCGCCCCAACCTTGCCCCGGCCGTCCAGCGCCTTGCAGTCTTGATATGGATTCTGACGTAGTCCACCAGGCAGGTGAACTCGCCGGTGTCGATGGGGTGTCGGATACCGCCTTCGGTGGTGCGATGCGAGAGCGCGTTAGGGCAGTTGCCGTCGAGATCCAAGCCTCTCTTGAGGCTCAACAAGCTTGGTCTGTGGCGAGGTCGATTTCAATGCGCGAGTAGGTAATGTGGGCACATTTACGCAGTCACGCCTTTTCAAAGGAGAACCGTTACGGTCCGAATGTTGATCCGTCTTGCCCTTCCCAGTTTTGCTTGATGAGTCACGTCAGCCCCGCGAGTCTACATAAAATGTAGGTGCTACTCGTGTCCACCCCCACTTTATTGGGATTCGCTTCGATATTGGAATGGCTGATCTAGGGTCACCTGACCTGCCCCTACTCCCCGAATGCGCACAGTAAGTAGATGTATTTAAACAAGCGTCTCTCGCACTTCATCTCCACCAAAAACTCTTCGCCCGTCTCAGTGGAACCAAGCGAAGGAAAGGATCCACACCGCTGGCCTGGACGCGATGGCTCAATCTCAAGACCTGTCTCGTACACTGCCTTTATGGCTCGATCCTTCCCACGCCAAACACATTGTCCGAGGAAACTTGACGACTCTTAGTGCCCGCCCGAAGACTGTTGAGCCGGGAGAATGGGTCGCACATCAGGGTAACGTCTATACGATCGGATCAATGATATACTACAACATGTATCACCATCTGACTGTATCCTCCTTCCCTAGTGGTTGAGCATTACCAACTATTGTGGAGTTTCGTGCGCCTTGTTCATGATAAAGAGGGCCAGGAGCACCGTGGCGCCTCCATCTGCAAACCGGCTACTTGCCCCAAGATGTCGGCTGGACAGTAGGTCTACTTGTTGCCTATTTATCTGTCCTAAAGCTTACAACTATGGATGCAGGAATCACTCCTACACTTGGCTCGACGAGGAGCAGAAGCCTGTAGAGCTCCCGGCCCACGAATGCATAACACATTTGCAGCGATGGATATCTGCAAAGATCAACAACATCGCCATCTTTCCGACCGATCCGTCTGGCACATCATCTGCATTCGACCCTAGGTATTCGGTCAATCCCTGCCTGGGCGACGAGAGATGGTTAGGCATCCGAAGCGGGTTCCCAGAGCAGTTTGCTATTACCTGCAAGGTAGTTTTTCGTCAAATGTTCCGCATTTATGCTCATCTCTATTGGAGCCATTTTATTGATCCCTTCTTTCATTTGTGCCTTGAGAAGCAGCTAAATAGCTGTTTTAGCCACTTCCTTCTAACAGCAATCAGTCTTGAGATGCTAGAGCGCCATGAACTAGAACCTATGCAGGACCTCATTAATCTCTGGGTAGCTGATGGCACCTTTCCTGCCGAGTCAAAGGCCTATGTGTATGGAGACTTGGAGCGTGGTCAATTTCTTCTTAGGCTAGGCGCTGGTAGGTGAACAGACATAGTTCATCTTCGACCTTATGAATACATGTACGAAACTGCATGTACTCAAGTACTGCCTCCTGGAACTCAACTTGGCCTATTGCCGAGAGGGATAGCTCTTTCTTTGAGCAGAAACCTTGTCAAATTCTCCTACTTCCAACCAGCTACCCCCCGTCCAGTCCATCTCAATTCTTTAAAGCTGTACCGAAAATGCCGGCAGGGAAGCAACGTGGGCAGAGCATTAGCGACGGTGCGTGCTAGCAGTGCAAGTGACGTATGTCCAGACGTAGCCAGTTCCGTCACATTGAGCGTGGCGGACGACGCCGCTCATGTTACAACCACGGCAATCCTCAATTTGTCCTTGTCGTCGATCAAAGTGAATGCCTTCTCCATTGCAACGAGGGCATGTCATCATCCCGTTGGCGCATGTGCAAGCTGATCGAACCGGCATTTGCCTGGAAGACCGTCTCTCTTTCGTCCACAGTTGGGGCAGGGCGCCATGACGAAGTAACAGACGATTCGTTCGCGGTGACTAGTGAAAACTTGGATGTAAAGATGGAGTGAAGAGCAAGCTTTGGCTGCTTTGGAGTAAGATAGAAGAGATGAAGAAGCCCTTTTATACATCCATTCTATGAACCCTTTAAGCTGCAATTGCGCATCTAGTCGATGCAAAAAGCGGCTGCCAAAACATCATCCCCTACCCTGTCCGAGTTACGAGTGTGTGAGTGGCCGGGATTCAAATACTCCTGGCCAACCTCCTGACTCCATGAAGCTAACACATACAGCAAGCAGTTCCGAACTGCACTTTCAGGTGAGATATTAGCCGTTAAGTTATGTTCTCCGCAACGCCTTGCGTTGCAGGGCGATATGAGCCTCGTGACGGTTTAAAATTTCCAACGCGACTCGTGCTCCGCGAACTTACTCTGCTAACAAACTCTTGGGGGGGGGGGGGGTGGTGCATGCTTCCCACGGAAAGCCTGTGGTTAGTCGTATATCTCGTTCTCAAGTAATTTTTACGCGTTGTAAGAACAGTCCCAGGTCCCTCAAAACCTCAACCAGCCCCTACGCTGGTTTATGGCGCGGCAGGCGTTCTAGTCGCGCAAGCCCCTCATTGACAAGTTGTGATGCTTCTATCGTAAGTAAAGCGGCGGTGCACGTTTAGTGAGAGGCACCGCAACACTGCCGTCGCTTTTTACAGCGTACGCTAGGTGGACAACATCGAAAATAATGGCTGCGAGCTGCTTGTGGCGATCGACAGGCTTTCCTGAAGGCGATCATCCTCACTATTGGCGGCGACGTCCGCAAGACGTGTCCGCATCTCATAACCGCTTGATGCGGTGTATCTACGTGAAAATTCGACCTCAATGTCCACCTTAACTTCTGCACTGTGGACTCCCTGGCGTCCGGCGCTGGCTATATCTGGCAGGGCGACACCATTCTTTGCTTATACTCTTCTACAATATAGACTTCAAGGGCGTAGGGCTTCACGCCGCATGCTTAAGAGTGAAACGCTTCCTCGAAAATTGTAGCTAGTTAGCTGCTCGTCTGTACATCTACTGTGTCTGTAGCTTCCGCGTCGTAGGTAGCCAATACGTAATTAATTACTTAAGACGAGAGCGAGTCTGTAGATTAATGCTCTTGCTGCGGCTCTTGGATTACCGATACTGTATAATTAGGTGCGCCAATTCTCAGGGCCTATATACCTTACGCCCCATCAGCGCGTACTGTTGAACGGTGGTCGAGAGCACAGTGGAAGCACTACGTAGGCACAAACGGAAAGACCGATGTTGCATACTTCCTTACAGCTAAGGGGATAAGCCCCGTGTTAATGGGTATTGAGACATCCCTCGGACTGAGAGGGAGCCTGTTCTGCGCCCTCTGCTGTTTTGGAAGAAGTCCCTGTGCATGTGGGCACGGCGCCATCCGCCTTGCCGGTCGGAGGAAGAGAAATAGGGGGCTGTTGCATTGGCCATTCAGCGTAGCTCACTGTACAGGCTTCCTCTTTGGGCTGCACAGTCTGACACGTAACTTATCAAGTGAAGCTATTCGCATCGGGCATAGACAGGCGAAGGTTGTTAACGTCTGTCAAACAACAGATCAACCACTGGGCCACGCAAAATAGGGGCACCTCCCTTAAGGAGCATTCTTGGTACATCTTGTAAGCCTATTCTATCTGACAACGTCATTTCTACGCATTAAGCTCAAGTTTTGAAGATGCGTTATTTCGTTGAACTAAGCCCTGGCTGGCCCGGCTGCCCGGCTGATCGCGTACTTGTTTCCCTAAAGGAGTTGGCCGGCGTAAAAGTCAGACAGAAACATAGGTAAACAGGACCGCTTATTACTTTAATGAGAACGAAAAGCGGCGCGATTGATGCGAGGAGGTTCGAGCAGGAGCACCTTGTGCCATGTGGCTTGTGCGGAGGGCGGAGTGGAAAATCCCTCGATGCGAGGCATAAGCAGATTGCCTCCGCTATGGCGTCATGGCACGACGTGCTGCATGTTCGGACCGACGTAATCACGCGTGGGGCTGATTGGCCGTCAGCTATTTTCAGGCAGCCACCCCGCGGCCTAAAAATTATCCTGAAGATTGGCATTCGCCAAACCACGCATACATTTCATATTTCATAGCCGTGCCCCTTAAGACACCTTACTTGAACGTGCCCTTCTGATCGGTCACATGAGCGCCACGGAGGAAAACCATCCTCAGCATAGACCACTCCAGGCTGTGGAGCAGGCGAATGTCGACGAGCTTTGCCGTTGGCTGGAAGTGAATGATGCGCAATGGAGGAAAACTGACTATGAGGGGTTAGAACGTGGTACACACAAGGACTTGCGCAGCCTAATTATCAGCAAATTTAGCGAGAAGGTTAGTCCATCATATTATTTACTTTAATTTGGTCCTGACAACTTCAGAGTACGGCAGTTTCTATTTTCAGAATTGCTGGCCCGAGGCAGTATAGACTTACGAACACGCCGAGCGAGATCATTCCAATTCACACCAGTGAAGGGTGTTCGATTCAGTTTGGACATGGGAATATTCCACTGGATCGTAAACAGAAAGTGCAAATATCTCAGCCGGCTACAGTTCACGTTGAGAAAGACAAAGTATTGTGCCTGCTTTGGATCTGGGTAGTCAAGGAATAGTTAGCCAGTGGATGACACTGTCTAATTCTCACTGTTTAACGAGACCTTGTTGAAGGCAGTTAAGGACAGTTTTTAGAACTCACCGAAGTATGCTGTTGCGCGCCTAAAATTTTGGATTGTGGCAGGTGGCTGGCTGATTATTTGTGATGGCTGACCTTGCTATTGCGGCAGTTAAGGGCTAGGTGTGTCCTTGATGGCAGCTTCTTCGTCGCTATAGAAGCTCTTCAGAGATCAACAATTGAATCATTGGGCCCCTTCTTCATACCCCGTTTTCGTGTTTATGCTCCTTGCATATATCCCATCAGCTATTCCTGGAAAGTCGGTGTCCAAGGATCCGTCCCAGGAATTGAGGCCGAAGGCTGGGTCTATGAACTTTGTAGTTGGTCTAGCTCTAACATGCGGGGTTAAAGATCAGTTCTGGTGCAGCACCAGGTTCCGGGGAGTTATATTCTGCACTCAACGGCTGCATCAGAGCATCAGGATCAAGAATATTGAAATCCACGTCGATAAGAGGGGACTGAGCCATCACAGCATCGGGATCCAGAATATTGAAATCCACGTCGATAAGAGGGGACTGAGCCATCACAGCATCGGGATCCAGAATATTGAAATCCACGTCGATAAGAGGGGACTGAGCCATCACAGCATCGGGATCCAGAATATTGAAATCCACGTCGATAAGAGGGGACTGAGCCATCACAGCATCGGGATCCAATACGTTGAAATCAACATCGATAAGAGCAGACCGAGTCAAAACATCATCAGGATCCAGAGCATTGACATCCACCTCTATAGCGGGGGCGCCAGTAAAAACGCCGTCAGCACTGAGGGTATTGAAGTCAATATTAAAATTTTGTGGTATGCTAGATGTTGTTGGCCTCTCATTATGAGCGGAAAGAATTGTTTGATGAGATGCAGACTCTCCCGTGACATTGGTCTCGTTATCGAACGGGCGAAGTGTAAGCGGCGGAGTATCTGCGAGCGTAACCAGATCCGTTTGCTGGATTGTGAAGCAAATGGGTTGTATAGCAGTAGAAGGCCTTGGTTGAACTAGTCGGGCAGGACTCTCAACTCCAGACTTTCTTATCTTTTGCAGTTTATCTTGCGTCGGATTCGAGGTGACTGTTTGGGGCAATTTGCGTTTGAGGGATCTCCGTAGCGTGTCCTCTGAAAGCGGAGGTTTAGTGTATAAACAAATTATAACTCGCATGAATGTGTTACGTGGGACCTAACTTACTATGTCCCGAATTCTTTGTTTGACTATAGCACAATAAGAATTGAGAGTGTGTCCATACTCGTATACTCTCAGCAACTGGATCAATATCGTCCTTTTCTGTGATTTTGAGTGCCTTGAGTTTCTCGATGTACTCTTTACGTCGGTTTCCACATAATGGAACGTTTTTTTCATAGCTATCGTCAAGTTAGAATAAGTAGGTGATGGCGTTGAATACATACTCAGTCCGATTGTCAGGGCGGAGTCGCGCCACTGCTGCCGTTGAGAGTTCTGTCATGAACTGGTGGTAACGTCTCCCCCAGCTTAAGAAGTCTATGACTTCCTTTTTCACTTCATCCTCTGGCCGATTTGGCTGCCATGTTTGAGCCATGTTAGTTTGTCACGGGCTGTGCCCGGCATGGTGGACCCGGTTGTACCGGGTCCGGATGGTCATATTCCGCCACCGGCCCCGCTCTGCGGAGCCGGCCGCTACGAGAACATTCTACGATACGCGATATAAGTTCGCACTCGAGGCTTCGCCTCGAGTTCTCCTTTCTTTCCTCCTTAGCTTTAGATAGACAACACATAGGCACCTGCTAGTTGAACAAACTCCGGGCCAGCCTTTTACATATCTAAAGCTCACTACCGATGGATTCAACCTTTGCCGACGAGAGCTCCCCGGAGCGGACCTCCCGGCTCCTCATGCAGATGATGAGCCAGATGGCTGAGCAGATGCAAAGTTTGCGTGCCGACCGCGATGCCGATCGCGACGCCACGCGCGAGCAGATTCAACTGCTGCAAGACAGTCTGACGTCCTCGAGGCCAACGCCCTTAGGGACCGAGTCGGAGAGCAGAGCGGAACCTCTGCATGAACCGAATCGTTTGGTCGACACATCATTGCGGAAGACCAGGCCGACTCTCCCAGACCCACCGCGATTCGAGGGCGCTCGATCCAAGTTTCGCGCTTGGCTGAGCGAGATGAAGAACAAGCTTCGTGTAGACGGAAGGGTAATTGGGAGTAAGGCGGACCAGTTCGCCTACATTTACGCGCGGTTAGGGGGTGCCCCTCAGCAAATGACGATCGCGTATGTAGAAGCCGGAGGAAGGGGTGGAGACTCAGATCCGGACCAGTACCTCCAATATTTGGAAGAGTGCTATGGGGACCCGAACGCCAGGACTCGCGCGCTGGAAAAATTACGATCCTTGAGGCAAAGAGATAAGGAAAGCTTCGCGACACTGCTTCCTCGCTTCGAGAAAGAACTCGCTGATTCCGGCGGCGCTACCTGGCCGGAAGAAGTCAAAATCAGCTACCTGGAGGGCGCCCTGAGTCCGGAGTTGCGACTGGCAACTGTCTACGCGGCGCCCACTCGCTCCACGTACTCGGAATGGGTCCAATCTCTTCAGAGGCTGTCCTCAGGTCTAGAATGTGTGGAAAAGGAACGCCCTTCGAAGCGGGGTGCAACTCACGATAGTCGAGGCCGCGACGCAGACGGAGATACCAAGATGGCAGATGTCAACCGTACTAGTCATGAGCCGAAGAAACGTCGCAACGCAGATGCGGCGCCCAAGAACGAGCGCCGCTGTTATCGATGCGGCCGGAAGGGTCATCTCGTCGCGGAATGCCCAGCTCATTTGGTCTTCCCTGGCGAAGCGAAGAAAGATCGGCCTACGACCGCCTGCGTGAAGCGGCCGGATACTAGCGATGATTCAAAATCGGCTGCAACATCCAGTGGGGATGACGAGCCGATGGGAAAAGACTAGCCCCGGCGCGAAAGCGGGCGCCGGGGCCTTCGAAGGCAGATATCCATGACTGGAAGGCGTTCAAGTCGCGTATGAATAGTCGACCCGTGCTCGTTAATGCACGGCTCAACAGAGGTAATCCGATACGCGTTCTAGTCGACAGTGGATGTGACTGCTATACCGTGATTGACGAATCGATCGTCCAAAGTTTCGGATTCCTCTCGTCGATTCGAAGTCTCGAGAGATCGGGGGATTCTCGGAGTCCTCAGAAAGTGTCACGTCGCCGGGAGTTGTGGCTGTCGTTGTCGAGACCGCCGGTTTTGACGAACGCATCTTTGCGTACGTCGTCCCAAGCCTCGGCCAGGATATGTTCCTTGGCCGGCCTTGGATGGAGAGGAACCAGGTCGTGTACGACGCTGCTAAGCGGCAAGTGTACCACGGAAGAGCAGGCGTGACGGTACGCCTCGTAGGGCAGGAAGAGCCCGCCAAAGTACGCGCAATTCGGAGCGCAAGACTTGTGTCGGCAGCCGTGTTCACGGCGGAGTGCCGGCGTGCAAAGAGACGCCAGACGTGCGACGCGTTCTCGATACGAGCGATCAGCTTGGCAGACATAGAAAAGGCGCTTCAACCGAAGCCGCCAGTTGATCCGAGCAAGATGGTTCCAGCGGAAGTGTTGAACGAGTTCCGCCACCTGTTTTCACCAGAGGAGGCCATGAAGCTGCCGCCACACCGGCCAGGTGTGGACCACGAGGTAAACTTGCAGCCTGACAAGAATGGGAACGAGCCGCCCCTGCCCTGGGGACCGCTTTACAACATGTCACGCGAAGAGTTGTTGGTCTTGCGAAAGACCCTGAAGGACCTTTTGGACAGAGGGTTCATCCGAGCGAGTAGCTCAGCGGCTGCCGCGCCGGTGCTGTTCGTGCGAAAGCCGAATGGAGGGCTGCGATTTTGCTGCGACTATCGAGCGCTGAATGCAATCACCAAGCGCGACCGATATCCACTGCCCCTCATCGCGGAGACCCTACAGAATCTGGCCAAGGCTAAGTGGTTTACCAAGTTGGACGTGGTGGCCGCCTTCCATAAGATCCGCATGGCTCCGGGACATGAGGGAAAGACCGCATTTCGCACGAGGTTTGGGCTCTACGAGTGGCTCGTGTGCCCTTTCGGCCTGAGCGGCGCCCCGGCATCATTCCAACGATACATGAACAGTGTGTTGCGCGAGTGGCTGGACGACTTTGTCACAGCATACCTGGATGATGTGCTGATCTACTCGAGTGGTTCGAAGGCGGATCATGAGGCTAAGGTGCGACGAGTTCTCCAAGCACTCGCCGACGCTGGGCTGCATCTAGACCCAGCGAAGTGCGAGTTTTCGGTACAAGAGGTCAAATACCTTGGGTTCATCGTCAACGCAGGGAAAGGAATCGCCTGCGACCCCGAGAAGCAGCGTGCCATCCGCGAATGGGAGGCCCCGACCACGGTGAAGGGTGTCAGAAGCTTTCTGGGCTTCGCCAACTATTACCGGATCTTCATTCCCGACTATGCCAAGATCACGCAGTCTCTAGACGCCCTGCTTAAGAAAGGAACTGTCTTTCTTTGGGGACGGTCGGAGAGCGAGGCGTTTCAGGAACTGAAGCGACGATTTTGCGAGTCGCCTGTGCTCAAGCAGTGGGACCCGAGTCTCCCGACCTTCTTAGAGACGGATTGCTCGGGCTACGCATTGGGGGGCGTCCTGTCCCAGGAAGGCCCAGATGGGCGCCGACACGCATGCGCCTTCTTTTCGAAGCGACTTTCGCCAGCGGAGTACAACTACCCCATTCACGACAAGGAGATGCTTGCCATCATGAGATGCCTCGACAACTGGAGCGCTGAGCTCAGGAGCTGCGGCCCATTCACCATCCTGACAGATCACCGCAACTTGGAGTATTTTATGACGCGCCAAAAGCTCACGGAACGGCAAAGTCGATGGGCTGGTGAATTGTCTCAATTCGACTTCAAGCTCGAGTATCGACCCGGATGCCAGGCCGTTGTGCCAGATGCGCTGTCGCGCCGCGAGCAAGACAAGCCTCAAGGCATCGACGACGATCGCGAGCAAGGAAGGATCATTCAGCTGATACCAGACAGCGCGATCCCTACGTCGACAAGGACACGCATCAACGCAACCGGCCCAGACGGCTCGGAAGCAGCCGTGTTGCCGGAGATGAAGGTCTTCGAAGAAGCAAGCTTTCAACAGCTCTGGAACGAGACAGTAGAGAAGGATTCGATATTCCAGGCGGCTTACAAGGCGGTACAAGACCATGAACGTGTTTTCCCTCCTGCGCTGGGCTTGAAGGTCCAGATATCGGAGTGTGCCATCGACGCAGGTAAGAGGCTGACATTCAGAGACCGCATCTGGGTGCCGGGCGGATCCGGGGAGAAGGGCAACCAAGAAGAAGCCGAAAAGGACCGGTTGAGAATTCGTATTGTGCAGCAGTCGCATGACTCTGTTGCGACCGGTCATCCCGGTAGGGAAGGCACGCTGGCCATTGTGGCACGCCGCTTCTACTGGCCCGGGCAGTCCCAGATCGTTCGCCGGTTTGTGGCCAATTGCGACACCTGCGGCCGAGCACACATCTGGCGCCAGTCAAAAAGAGGATTTCTCAAACCTTTGTCAATTCCAGATCGACCACGGAGCCACTTGTCCATGGACTTCATCACAGACCTGCCGCCTACCGGACTAAGCAAGGCAAAGTACCTTTGGGTGATCGTGGACAGATTGACGAAAGCCGTGACTCTAGAGGTAATGGACACCATGGAAGCCGAGACGTGTGCGCAGCGCTTTCTCCAGTGTCATTATAGGTTCCACGGGATGCCACGGTCAATTGTCAGCGACCGCGGAAGCAACTGGTTGAGCCGATTTTGGAAGAGATTCTGCCAACTGGCGGGTATATCGCAGCGGCTCAGCACGGCGTATCATCCGCAGACCGATGGGGGACCAGAGAGGATGAACCAGGAGATCGAGGCCTACTTGAGAGCCTACGTGTCATACGTACAGGACGATTGGGGAGAGCTCCTACCCGCCGCACAACTGGCTCTCAACAACCGCGAGTCGGCGGCGACCAAGATCAGCCCCTTTTTCGCTGAGCATGGTTATCACGTCGATCCCATAAGCGTTCAAGAATCGGAAGAGGCACCTAGGGATCGAGAAGAGGGAAAGGCAGATAGCCTACTCAGTCGCCTGCAGGAGGTCAACGAGTACATGCAAGCAGTGATGGCCGCCTCGCAGCAACAGCAAGAGGAGGCTGCCAACAAAAAGCGACAGCCTGCGGAGCGTTTTGAAGTTGGCGACAAGGTGTGGCTCTCGATGGCAAACTACAGATCGCCACGGCCGTGTAAGAAACTCGACTGGCTGCATCACAAGTACACAGTCACGAAGGTAATTAGTTCGCACGTCGTCGAGCTTGACGTACCTGGCTCGATCCACCCCCGTTTCCACGTCGACCTCCTCCGGCGAGCCCACCAAGACCCTGCACCTGGCCAAAAGGTAGACGACGCACAGCCCCCGCCAATACACGACGAGACTGGTGAAGAACTCTGGGATGTCGATGAGGTACTTTGCGCAAGATGGAAGAAGCGAGGGCGAGGAGAGTTCAGGCAAGCGCTAGTGCGATGGACGGGCTACGCAGAGCCAACTTGGGAACCAGTCGAATGGTTGCAAGGAACGATTGCGATGAAGGCGTTCGAGGACAAGTACGGGCCAATCAAGACCAATGATGGCCCTAGGGAGAATTACGAGACGCTCACAAGAGCACGAGAGCCGCGCCGCGGACGGGCCGGTCGGAGGGGAGAAGGGGGGTAATGTCACGGGCTGTGCCCGGCATGGTGGACCCGGTTGTACCGGGTCCGGATGGTCATATTCCGCCACCGGCCCCGCTCTGCGGAGCCGGCCGCTACGAGAACATTCTACGATACGCGATATAAGTTCGCACTCGAGGCTTCGCCTCGAGTTCTCCTTTCTTTCCTCCTTAGCTTTAGATAGACAACACATAGGCACCTGCTAGTTGAACAAACTCCGGGCCAGCCTTTTACATAGTTAGCTCTCTTCTAACCCACCGATTAGGTTGTAACTTCTGGCAAGTCTCCCTAAGGTGTAGTTCTAGCTCATGAAAGCCAACTGTTAGGAATCTTAACTGGATATGTCCGATCCACGCAATGTTTTTGTTCTGGACAAGAGCCAGGTAAGCTCCACACTGAAAAGGGTTTGTCGGTGTCTCCCCATTATCAGACTGGTCAAAGAACTTTGCTGGATCTTGACAGGACTTGGCGAAGTGTAGCTTAACTACTTCAGGCAACGGGGTAAATGTCGGGGATTTGGCAATGGGATTGTGGGGAGGCACAGGCTCGGGAGGTGGAGCCCTAGTTCTCAGAGAGTGAAAGCCTTCGGGCAATGGTCTGCATGCTGAAGAGGAAGATGATGAGGGAGGGTTGGGTTCAAAGTTCTGAGGCTCTTTTGCCCTTAGTTGATGGAGAACAAGCATTTTGATATCTTCATCGAGTTTTGGCCAGACAGTATTGAAGAACTCAATTATCTAAGTTTTGTCAGCACACGAATAGGTTCTCCTTAGTTCAACTCACTATTCCAGTATTAAGCTCATGGGGATTTACGCTCGAATATTGGCCCATTTTGAACTCGTTACTTGGAGGATTTGGAGGGAGTAGCTTAAGGAGCCTCGAGGCTTGAGGTGAGAGGGAGGGAGCGACACTTGAGGCTGGGAAGTGCGGGGGCTCTCACATGAGGTAAGTTGCGGCATCTAACGCTAGTCCCGAAGTGGACTTTTCTCAGCTCTGAAAAAGTCCACTTTGGGACTGGCGCCCTTCCTCATCATCGCCTCAGTAACTGTAAATGCAGATTGCGTCGATGTCACATCGTTCTCAAGAAGGACGCCGACCAACCCACCCACGACGGATGTAAGCTGATTCAGTGGATTGGCCAACCACTGAAAAAAGCCAGTGGATTAGCAGTGGAATTCACTAGTGGATTGAGTGGAGTGGCTTTTAACCCTGCATCATCATCATGATATAAGGCATCGAATGGCGCATGCATAGACAAACCGGTAGTCATCACCGTTCACAGGTCTTCTATAATGGCATCTCATATTGTCACTCAAGGCTCGATGAGGTGCGGTCACCTCGACGATGTTGATCAAAAGAAGTGCAATCATGACCAGCCGTGCCGACTGGGAGTTCAACCCTTTCAGATCATCACCGAAAGTTGCAAGAGGTGTATGCAAGACCCTCACAAAGACTCCACCACAATTTCCACGACCTCAGAGATAAATCATCTCTACTACGTTACTGGTATTGTCGAAAGCTCAGTGAGGATAGATATTTTGGGGCCGTCCAGGTTGGGTGAGGAGTGGACATTCCGGTTTTCAGGAGCATCAGCGCCGAAATGGAAATAGGTATGCGCGAAGCATGGCAGGAAGAGTCCAGAAGATTTGTCAAATTGGCGAGTTGCGGTGCGAGCGCGGTTTTTATGGATGGTCAAGAACCGTGTTCTGTTGATGAGTTGGACAGCGATAAGGGTAGAGCACTTTTAGAAAGGGCGATGGAGATGATTCTTGAAGAGACGAAAAAGCCGAAGGAATTGCCCAGTAACTAATTACCTTTTCTAATCTCAGATATCTATTCTCTGATCCTTCCCTTCCCGCCTGAAATTCCTGCCTTTTCTTGACGCTCAGGACCAATGGCCTCGATAAGGCCGACCAGGAGAGAGCCAAGTTCTTGGCTCTGCTTGCAAGCACGAAGCTCATCTTGCGGAATTGTCACAACTGAGAGACACGCTTCCCGTTGCCCTAAGAATCTCAAGGTAAAATGGAGCAACGACACCTTTTGCCGTGCCTTTGACCATCCTTGTTTGGTCCATCTCCACCAGAGAGCTCATGGTATCGTCACGGCCCCTGGACACGTTGCCCTCCTGTGCCGGTCCATAGCGTTCCGACCCCTGTTCAAGTAGTGCTTAGACGCATGCAAGCTAGAGTGCATGAACCAGGTTGTATGCACTGCTGGTGATGCCGAGATACTGGATGGCCTCGTAACTGTGAGCCAACCGCATTGACCAGTTGAAGACGTGCCATTCCACCCACCCTACTCTGACCAGGCTGTTTTAATGTGGAGAAAGCTCATATGCTTCATATATGCAAGTCATCATACCAACTGTAGCGGAGTGTAGCCCAACCCCAAGGCGATGATGGCGTAACCTTATTATGCACAAAACACCCAATTACCATCTTACTCTAGGTATGTCGTCCTGTTTGTAAAAAGACAGGATAATGTACTGCGGCTCTTTTTACCTGAGCGTTACTTGCTATGTACTAATATTTGCTGCTATGACTTAAGAATCCGATGCTCATATGCCTTCTCATCACACCAGGTCCCAGTCCCACTCTCTCCACCATTAAAGGTTGTCAAATGTCGACATGCATGACGAGATTACCATCAAGGAGGTTATCGAGGCTGGTGTCATGTTTGCCGTGACGACGGTCTTTCTGGCGCCCTACCTGTACTGGATGATCAGAGTCAAGCCTCGAGAAGCTTCGCGTAGGCGAACTTGGGCGTTGATTTCTACGGCTTCTCTCTTCTTGGGATCCGGATTAATATTTGCCTCTTTGTTCGGCAGTGCGAGAAATGCACTCTTACCGAGCGTCCTTGCCTACCCTTTCTTCACGGCCTGGAAAGGAGTCACGATGTTATGCGTCGACACCATCGAGGTACTCCTATTCCAACCCGTCTAGTTATGTCCCCGATATACTCACTGTTTCCAGCTTATTCAAGTTGCCGATCCCTTGATTTACGCCTATTTTTGTAGCGCCGTTGAGCCTGACCCCTCCAAGGCGAGAATCATCATTTTTGGACTAGCATTAGTCTTTCACCTTCCCTTTATTGGGGCGACCGTCTGGCAATTCCCGCTATCCGGCGTCGAATACTGGTGGGCTGCTCCAATGGTGTCTCACTTTGTTACCGTTATTATGGTTATGGCAATATGGAGGAAGACACAGTCTTTCCGTCGTTTTGACCGGCACTCTAACCAGCTTCAGCCAGAGCAGCCGACGTCAAACCAGGGATGCCGTGGCTTGGGGCAGTGAGCGGATTGGTGTTCCTAGCATCATCTGTGCTCCTGATATGTTCTGTGACTGGTTGGGTGAGACACCAGTTTGGAAGTCAGTGTGGACTTTGTCTGGCGATTTTAATTGTGCCAGCAGTACCTCTGGACAGTATAATGAGAGAGCACCAGAGGAAACGGGTCGACAGAGAGGTGCAGCTGTCTGCGGTGACAGACCCCGGTACTGAACGGTCGACGGAGCACCTTGTGTTATCCTGAGGGCACTGAATCAAACAGACGGTGGTTCCATCACTGTACGCCCTCCGTCTACCGCCAATTCCTTAGATTTAAGCGTCTCAAGTTTGGGCCACATGCATATGCTGCATTCAGGTCGTGCAAATGCTCCAAGTAATTGTCACGCGCTTGGAAAAGGAATACCTCCGGGATGTCTCGGAGTAGGCCGTCAGGAAACGGAGGATGCTATGATATAAGAAGGGTGCCTATTCTCGGGATTTTATGGGATCTTCAGAGATCAATGAATTGAATGATTGACCCCCGTTCCTCACTCTCTGTCTAGTTGTGTGCGCCTTACAGTAATCCTTCCGAGTTGGATGCGCGACGAGCTCGCCGTGAACGACTACAGTTCTGATGGCAGTCAAAGCGGCGAGCCAAGCATGAAGTGGGGGCTGTTCCGGCCTACGACACCCTAACATAGGGAAAGGCAGCGGCAATCACTCATCACGCTTATGGTGGAGAGTAAGAAAGCAACAGTCAACCTCAGAAAAGGGATTTAGCGAGGAGCCTCGATTCAATTTTCAGCATGCTCAAGTCAACATGCGACTGCGGGAAGCCCGGGTAGTTATTTCGCCACAAACGACTCGCCGCAGTGTGCTCACGACCGAGTTGACCGACTCACTTAGACTTGGACTCGTGTTGAAAGGCGGCAAGGGCGCTCACAACCGACGCCGTCTTGAATCATCGACAAGAATCGCATGATTCGGTGACCCGAGGGCAGTATGAAGGCGAGCGAGGATGTAAATGCCAGCTTGTGGAGTAAACGTTTCTTAGAGGATGTATCTAGGGGCTACTACCATTCTAATAGCTGGTGAAGATAGGAGAACTCAAAACTCCTCTACGACTAGTCGCTTGCTCTTCCGAGATTTGTGAATCCGCTGTCGCTTGTGCCCCTGCCCATGGTTCTGCCATCTTCGTTCAGACGCTCGAAATTCTGTATCCACACTCCTCGAGTTCCCGTCATAGTCTCTCCGCTTGAATTGCCTGGTGTGTCGAGACGCGCCCGAAGGAGAAGACTTAGAAAGGCTGATGGTAATGCTGACAGGCTCGCAGAGAGGGAGGTCGAATTCCATTTCAACCTGTCTGTCTTGTCTGTTATCGACGGTACCGCTGGCTTCTACTCGATAACGGGTGTCGGATACAGCGACTCGAAAAGCAAGCCCAGCAGGAGGACGATTCTCCTTGCCATCGTCGTAAGAGGAACAGTGACCACCATCTTCAAGATCGCTAGGTGCGAACACAGGCTGTGTATTCGCCGTAGGTGACCCTGCAATCTCGTCTTGCGCATTTTTGTCTCGACGACTTACGTCGTTATATTGACCTTCAGTATCCGAAAATTCTGATGTAGGCGAAGCAGGACGAATAAGCATATCGAGAGCACGAAGATGGCCAGTTTGTCCACAGGCAGTCGATTCGGTGGAACTCATATTCCCTTGTATTGTCGAGGGAGAGTCAGTAGACATGGCGGGCAAAAGGGACTTGTTAGATCGTTTGGCGTCTGCTGGCTTTCAGAGAGTTGCAAGAAAAGGAGAAACATGGGAACCGAGACAAAGGGGGGGGGGTGCCTACGCTCCTTCACTTTCTACACGAGATTGGGACGGGCTGCCTTGGTCGGGACGCGAGCTCCAGCAAACCATTCCGAGAATCCCCAAGGCGCAGCTTTGACCACCTCATTGCACATATCGTCGGGTGGGATCATGCGCCTTCCTCCTCTTTCGGGCTGTGGTCCGCGGTTGCTTCGAAAGCACGAGAAGCATCGGACCAGACAGGGATAGACCAGGAAGACCAGTTGTTTGACCGATTCGCTGATTTTATTCCTACCCCTGTTGAAGACGGATGCCATGGAGCTTTCACAGCAGGCAGGCAATTCAGACCGACCCCGAAGAAGATGCACAAGAGAGATCTCCCGGATCCACCAATGAACCAGAAGCAGCTCCAAAGGCACCCATTCAAAGAGGAATTCATGCAAGCCCAAAGAGACCACCTAGCCTCACACGAAGAGATGGGGTCCTTTGAGGAAGTTCCTCGGAAGAAAGCCCGAGGACAACAGGTTCTTGGATGTCAATGGGTCTTTGTGTACAAGACTGACAAACACGGGATCCTTCGGAAGTGCAAAGCCCGCCTTGTGGTCTGTGGGAACCAGCAAGAAAAAGGAGACCTTCCGACTAGAGCCACAACGTTAGCAGGGATGTCATTCCGGACCCTGATGGCTCTAGCAGCTGAATACGACCTTGAGCTTGACCAGATGGACGCGATCAACGCATTTGTAAATTGCCCTCTTGAGGAAGAAGAAGTCGTTTTTATGAAGATGCCACCTGGCTTTGAGAGGAGGGGTAAAGTTCTACGGCTACGAAAAGCCCTCTATGGACTTCGCCGTCCCCCCCTTCTTTGGCAACAGCATCTCACGGCATCCCTCGAGAATCTAGGCTGCAAGACAGTCCCCCAGGAACCATGCGTCATGATGAAAGGAGCCGTCATCGTCTTCTTCTATGTCGACGACATCATCTGGGCCTATCGAAAAAAGGACCAGCAAGTCGCCACGGAAGCTATATCCGGCCTGCAGCAACGATACAAGATGAGCATACTAGGGGAACCAAAGTGGTTCTTGGGGATCCGTATCCTTAGGCACCGACCTAGTCGGACGATTTGGCTGACGCAAGATGCCTATATCGACAAGATCGCTCATAAGTATGTACCGGACAAACTAGGCATAAAGCTTCCTAGCACCCCGATGGCCACCAACGAAGAGCTCCTTTCAGAACAGATCCAAGCAAGAGACCAAGACAAGCATAGCTACCTTCAGAAGGTCGGATCCCTCTTATTCTCAGCAATTTCAACAAGACCAGATATCGCTTTTGCAGTCTCCCGACTAGCCCGCTTCAATCAGAATCCAGGCCCGACACATCAAAAGGCAGCAGACAGAGTGATCCTATACCTCTATGCCACACGATCATATGGTCTACGCCTCGGAAGTACCGGAAGCAGAAAAAGGGGTAGCAGAAAGCCGGCTGCAGCAGAGATTTTCCTCTGTTCAAGTGATTCCTCATTTGCAGACAATTCAGTCGATAGGAAGAGCTCCCAGGGATATGTCATGACCCTGTTTGGAGGATCTGTCGCATGGAGAGCATCAAAGCAAGCTACTGTGGCTACATCAAGCACAGAGGCAGAGCTGCTCGCTCTTTCAGAAGCATCAAAGGAAGCCATCTTCCTCAGCAGACTGCTCCGTTCTTTGCAACTACAAATCCCGTCGCCGTTGGTAGTCGAGTGCGATAACACGCAGACTATAAGGCTCCTAGAAGAAGGAAGTCCGAAGTTGTCAACCAGGCTACGGCATGTTGATATACACCAACACTGGCTACGTCAGGAAGTGCAAGGAAGCAGAATACGCCCTCGTTGGGTTCCAACAGCTGAAATGCGAGCCGATGGGTTGACAAAAGCTCTCCCAAAGCAGAAGCTAGCGGAATTCCTTCGGCTGATTGGGCTTGAAGAGATTGGTGAAAGGTTGAAACTGGAGGCTAGGCTGGAGGAGCTGAAGGACAAGATCAAGGACTGTAGGGAACACCGAATGAGGCCGTCTCACGACCTACACGAACACTAGCCCGGCTCAACTGAGGTTGCCCTTGCAAGTCTGGTTGTATCTGTTCCCTCTGCTAGGGATAGGCAACAGCTAAGGGGGTGTGTCGAGAAGAAGGGTCTAAGACTTGGTCCTGAAGCCTGATAGCTAGCTGAAGGTGTAGGGACGAGACAGGATGAAAGTGGGATGACGTGGCAAGCTGACGCGGAGAGAGGGTGCCTATGCATTAGTAAGTCAGCAAGGAAGGAGATGGAAGACTGAAGAAGAGAGAGCAAGAGGCATAAATGGGAGAATGGTACAGCAGACAGGGAGAAGAAAGGCGGAGAACACATGCACCCTAAAATAATTATGCCCTTTGAACTGCTACTCTCTTCGTGAGAATTTCCGTCATGGTGGTCGGCCTGTCTCGCCATGAGGTGCGGGTCGCTTGGGTGGAGAATTTTTGAGCAGGTAGGGGGTGTGACCAGGAAGGGGGTAGATTACGTTATGGTGTTGTTGCATAGCTTAAGGTTATCTAATGGAAGTGCGGAGATGATATTGAATAATCAAGGATATGCTGTTAAGAATGGAAACTTCAGTTTTGCGTGCACTAAGGTACATTTCTATGTACCTTGATTTCTTTTCCGTGTGAGCGTCCTTTTTCCCGGTCAGTGGCCCCCCCGTCCCTGAGGATCGGGGACGGGGATTTGGCCGACTTTTAGGCCCCCCTAGTACACCGCAATAGCCAGATTTTCGACTCCTCCAACTAAAATCGCTTCAGCCACCGCGTTCCGCGCTCAGAATCGCATATTTCCACCCTGGGCAGCCTTCCAGATGCCCTCCATTTACGAGCCTTTTTTGCTGCCTCTTCAAACCATCGCCTGCGTGCGCTGCGTGCCTTCAACTCCGCGGCCTCGATCACCTTTCTAGCCTTAGCGATTTGGTCTTCCTCCCTTTTCTGCACCATTTCACGCCCTTGGGCTACCGTCAAACCCCTCCCGATTGCAATTGCGTGTTTCTCATCGCCTTACGTTGTTGTTGGATGCGTTCGGCCATTTTAGTCCTTCCCAGATCTCTTTTGGTCTGCACAAGTTCGGTAGCCAGAGATAGCGATCCCCGAATAAAGCGACCCAAATCGCGAGAAAATTCGGGATTTAGGTCTTCGTCTTCTTGGAGTACGATCTCGAGTTTATCAGCTACTTTGTTTATTTGCCGAAGAGTCAGTGGCGTCTCGAATGGTGAAGAGTGGTTCTAAATTGGGGGGAGGAGTGGGCGTCTTTTTCGTCTGACGAGCCTCCAGCAGCTGGAGTACCGCTTGTGGATTCGGTGGCCAGATTCCCGTTTTTCGGAATGCAGAGCGAATAGTATTTTGTCTGAAGGCTTGTGATCGTACTTGCTGAATGCAGGAAAGAAATTCGAGTTTGGTTATATTGACAAGGCCGTCTCGAACCATAACTTCCAGCGCTTTGGCGTGGTAGTGCTTCAATGGCTGGAATACCACAACATCCAGAGGCTGGAGTAGATGCGTGAGATTCGGGGGCATACCGAATGGAATGATGCCGTGTTCGTCGCAATACTGAATGAATTGCCTTGTGTGGTGGGAGCCATGGCCATCGAGAATTAGCAGACGCTTCGAGCTTCTCGAGGTCTTTGCCGAATGCTTGTCAAAATGTTGAAGCCATTCCAGACTAATTTCGTCGTTTGAGTAGCCGGTCGATGTAGGTCGGATAGCTGTATCGGGATCTAGACCAGGTATCTGATACCATGAGGTCATGTGCATCTGTCCAGATAGGATTAAGAAAGCGGGAATGAAAGCTCCACCAGCCGAGATAGCCTCGATCGCAGTGGCAGACTCCTGTTCTCAGGGATAGCAAAATAATGGGCTCTCTTTCGTTTAGTGACGACCAATTGATCTTTGCCAACTCCGATCCGAAATCCGGTCTCGTCCATATTCCAGATATCTTCAGGGGTATACCTTCTCTTGGATGACCTTGTGGAGGCTCTGGAAATACTGATTGACGCGGGTGAGGTCTTCGGAGGCTTGACGTTCTGAGTGGAGCTTCTTTGAAGCTTCTTGAAGTAGCCGTGACGTTTGAGAAAGCGAGAAGTCCACCTGCTACCAATAACGAGATCGGCTTGACCAGATCGCTGATGCAAGATGTGATTTGCCGCATCGGTGACGAACTCTGGGCGTACCGCAAGGTTGATATTGTCAAGGCGATCGATGTAACACAAAGCCGCCTCTTCTGGTCGCGATAGCTTCAAATTCGTGGCTGGTCTGCCTGTTTTGGGAGGACGGCCTTCAAGGCGGTATCGCAATCGATTGCGTGGTACGCCGAATTCCCGAGCAACCGTGGCCACCTTCGCACCAGAAAAATGTTCAATATATCGAAGAGCTTCTTGGATACGTGCTTCCATCTCTGCAAGTCAAAGGATTGTGATCTGGTTGAAGTGTAGGTGATTGAAGTTAGACGGTGAAAATTCTGGCTATTGCGGTGTACTGGCTACTGTGGTGTCCAGCACCAGCTTTTTTTTTTTTTTTTTTTTGTATTGCGCCCGGAGGGTTCCCCCATAGAGCCACTACGCTAAGCTACTTACCTACTGTACATTGTTCCATCTCACCCCAAGCCCCACGCTTCTTTTCATCTGTTTCCAGCCTCGTTCGCTGTGACATGACAGGCCTACTTGAAGGTCAGTTTCTCCAAGTGTTCAGCGTCCTACCTTCAGCGACTGAAGCGCGGTCTGCCAAGTTGAAGGCTGTTGTGTTAGTATGGTTGTTCTTGATCAGTACATGGCCCGTTAACGGTCCATACTGAAGCGTTTTGTCGCCAATGCGAACTGTATCGTCGCACGCACAGCCCCAATATCAGGTTGCCACTTGTCGTCGTCTGACTCTGCCTTGCCTCCTAGGAAGAAAGACAGGTTTCCCATCTTTCCGCGAGCATATCGAAGCATGATTTCTCGTTGTACCGTCCATCTTCTGCATCGAAAGAGGAAATGTTCCACCGTTTCCGCCGACTGTCCGCAGGTGCAGTCATCCGATTCCTCTGCCCCGATTTTGCGAAGGTAGCCATTCAGTCGTGATTTGCCAGTTCGAAGTTGTACCAACACTTCAGATTCCTTTCTAGTTAGCTCGTCGTACATCTTGCGGGTGTGCTTGCCCGGCAATGCTTTATCGATGCGCTTTGAGTGCTTTCAACCCTTTCTGGGATCTGACGAACGCGAGTGTGTTCGTTGAGCAGCAGTCGTAACGTCGTTGCTCTTGCCTGAAACGTTGCCGGTTCAGCGATGCATTCATCTCGCGTCGCTCTTTTCGCCTGCATTTTGGCCAGTGGCCCAAGGGTGAACTCCTCATTCTTTGCAGGCACCCAACGAAGTCTGACTCTGCAGCCTCTTTTCGCAAGATACTCAACAGATCCGTATATCGCCCGTATCGTGCACTGACCAGACTGCTGCCGCGGTCGCCCGATGACTTGCAGGACAGCGCGGTTGCTTGTCACAACTGTGAGCTGTCGGTCATGAAGACCTAGAGGTACACACCTCAGGGCCATGGCGATTGCCTCGAGTCCTGCTGTGTAGGCATTCTGCTCATCACTGGAGCCAAGGGTGACGGAGTAGCTGGCCAGCACCTCGTCTGCGCTGTCACGGGAAGCATCCCGAACGACGCCTCCCAACCCGACCTTGCCTTTCCTTTGCGAGCTGGACGTCGCGATAGTGATGTCCTCCGGGTCATCCGACTTCAGCACCTCCGCTCGGTCTGCCTCGTACGTTGCCTGCACTCGTTCGTCCCACGGCGCCAGTGCGAACTCGTGGATGACTTCCAGGCGTTTGGTATCTAGTCTTCCCATCGCCGAGGCGAGCTTCTGCATTGGCGACGCATACCTCCTGTTCAGCTTGAGCCTCAACGATGTCAGAGGATGCGTCTTCGGGAGCGTCCGCATCCTTATCCAGAATTTCGCTGCCGCTTGAGCATGCCGTTCTCGGAACGATTGCACGCCGGCCTCGGCCTCGGCCACTGCCGTTGCCACTGTGCGAAAGCCTCCCGTGACAGCCTGGGCTCCGATTCGCTGGGCCCTGCCAATCCACGCCGCTTCTTTCACCCCGCACGCGTGCGACCACACGTTTGAGGCATACTAGGGGGGCCTAAAAGTCGGCCAAATCCCCGTCCCCGATCCTCAGGGACGGGGGGGCCACTGACCGGGAAAAAGGACGCTGACACGGAAAAGAAATCAAGGTACATAGAAATGTACCTTAGTGCACGCAAACCTGAAGTTTCCATTCTTAACAGCATATCCTTGATTATTCAATATCATCTCCGCACTTCCATTAGATAAGCTATGCAACAAAACCATATACGATGACGAAGATGATGAGAATGGCTAGCAAACGGATTGGAGCTGCAATTTCGACGAGATTTTCGCTATGGCCTCCTCAAGCTCTGAACCTACTGCTATGCAAAAATGGATTGATTCTGAGACGAATAAACCCAATTTCGCGCGGCATGGTCAAGAGAATCTCGAAGCTCGCACTGTTGCGGCATCGGAGCTCTTTGTCGAAGGTTTTTACCGTACGATGAAGGCAGCCTCTGATGCATTGGGCGTGCCGTACAAGCGCCTGAGATCACGCATTCAAGGGCATCATCCAGTTTCTGAGAATGGCGGGAATGCTACGCTACTGGGGTCGGAAGAAGAGCAAGAAGTGCTTTGCTGGGCACATCGCCGCATCGCTCAGGGGCACCATATCCAGGGGCGCGCCCTTCAACAACACGCCAACGCCATTCTGAAGGCAAAAGGCTGGGGAGGCACGGCATCACAGAAATGGGCCCAGCGTTTCATGAAGCGATGGGGACGGTATTTCCATCGCCGGAAAGCAGCTTCACGAGACGTTAAGCGAAAGGCGATGCAAGACCGAGCTTGTGTCGAGGCATTCTTCCAAGACTGGTCGAATTTCATCACGAGGCACGATATCCGGCGCGAAAATATCTGGAATTTTGACGAGACGGGCTTCATGGTTGGCTATCTAAATAAGGGCACCTTCCTCTGGACTTTTAACGACATTGAGAAGCCCGTTCTTTCGGATTCTCACGAGACTGTCTCTGTAACCGCGATTGAAGCTATATCTGTTGCAGGGACGAGTATTCCCTCGTTCCTGGTCCTCCCAGGAGTTCAGATTCCTGTTAGATGGGTTGAGAATGCACTGGACGGCGATACAGTCATTGCAATGAGCCCAAAGGGGTATACTAATGATATCATCGCCATCGAATGGGCAGAACATTTCGAGCGACTGACACGGCCTTCAAACCCGGGGGAAACACGCGTTCTTTTGGTGGATGGCTGCGATAACCACCATACTAGTGAAATCGTGCATTTTTGTCACGATCACGATATCGAGCTCTTCCCGTACCATCTTCAAGAGATTCGCAATCGAACGTTCAAGAAGCATACGATCCTCTCGGCGTGGGAGAAGTGCGGTCTTTTCCCACACAAGCCGTCGATGGTTCTCGATAACCTCCAAGATGCGTTATCATCGCTTACGAAAGAAGTAGATAAGCGAGATCTTCCCGGCTTCATCCAGGAAGGCAACTTCGACCAAGTAATCGAACCCTCCACGCCTCAACGATCGCCGCAAGGCTTGACGAGCGGAACGCCCCCGACGATCCGCCAAATCGATTGGAATAGCGTCACTACACCAAAACTCGATCTCTCCGTCATTCGACGATATAATGACTACGTGAACCTGCGATTGGAAGTCTCTATTCTTTCCGAGGTGCCGCTGACGCCGTCAGTCTCGCACGTACATTTAAAGGCACGCAAGGCTGCGAATACCCTCGCTCTCAATGGCATTATAGCTACAGATGAGATGCGCCGTGTTAAGGAAAAGCAGCTTAGCCGCGCGGCCCTCAAGGAGAAGACACGAGTTATAGGGAAATACGGCCCTTGAGTGTCTACGACGCGAGAGTCCGGGTCGCACGAGACGAATATAACAGACTGGGTGCCAAGGCAGAGGAACAACGCCGGATGAAGAAGAAGGAGGCACGAGATGAAGCTGCCTACTTACGACGATGGCTTCGTGACGTCAGAGGGACCGTTCGGAATAGCATCAAAGAGACGAGGACCTCGCAAATGCGGCTCCAAGGAGGCTGGACTAAGGGCGACCGGCGGGTGCATCTCAATAGCACCGAGTGGCTTTGTTATCGTTGGCGCACCTTCCGGGAATTATCGTACAAACGCAAGTTCTACGACAGCCTCACTTATCATCATGAGTACGATCACGCCGCTGTACACGAGGCGGCAGACTTGGTGATATTAGAGCACAAAGAGCGCACAAGGAGCCGTAAGGTGCTATCTCTGGAAGCTGACGGCGTTGACATACCATTGAACGACATTGATGAATCTTCTAGCAATGATTCTAAGGCTGTCGATGAGGATAAAGGTCCAGAGATCGATGAAAGTACAATTGTATGCAGAATATAGCTTCAAAATACTAAGGTGTCGCTCTCTTATGCATCTGCCGATATTTCGGACAATTAAATGCTGCCGCTTGGTGAGGGAAATGTATGCATCAAACAAGGGGGAGTAGAGAACCTTAGTTTCTTAGTAAAACAGTGTGGGATGAAGGTACCGAGGTTTTCCGTGTCAGCGTCCTTTTTCCCGGTCAGTGGCCCCCCCGTCCCTGAGGATCGGGGACGGGGATTTGGCCGACTTTTAGGCCCCCCTAGTAGTCCATGGCTGGCGCCACCGTCGCTACGAACAGTTGCCTCGCCATCCGTGGCGAGGCCATCTTCAGTCGTTTCAAGCACATGGCCGCGGCCAGCCCCTTGGCGGCTGCTCTGGCGATGTGCTCTTTGAAGCGAAGCGCTTTGTCCATGATGACTCCCAACAGCTTCACGTTGCTCTTCGGCTTGACATCGTTTCCTTTGATGATGAGAGGCAGGTCGCTGTCGCGCTCCGCGATGCGTGTGAAGTGGATGACGGATGTCTTCTCTGCTTCAAATGTGGCGCCGCTGCGCTTCTCCCAATCAAGCGCCTCATCGATAATCGATTGAATACCATCTCTGTTTGACTCTGCCGTTGGCCCCGTGACCCAGGCAGAGTAATCGTCCACGAAGGCGATGGAGCCGCCATTGTTACTGATCCGTCTTTGCACCAGGTCTGCGTTGAAGAAAAGAAAAGCCACTGGCGACAGAGGGGATCCCTGGGGTAGGCCGGCCTGCGGCAGGGTTTGTTGCTCGGATGTGTGCCCGTTGACAACCACCGACGCGGTCCGTTCCGAGCAGAATGCGTCCATCCAGACGACCAATCTGTCCGGGATGCCCCTTGCTCTCATCCTGTCAAGCAGCCGCTCTTTGCACACTCCATTGTATGCCCCTTTAACGTCAAAGCTGATGAGGCTTAGCACTCTGCCCATTCTCCACGCCTTGTAGATCCGCTCCTGCAGAAGCACTAGTGCTTGGTCTGCCGATCTGCGTTTCCTAGCGCCGAAGTGGTTCGCGGGCAAAAGCCCATGGGCCTCAACTGCGTAGCTGATGCGTTCTGCTACGACTGCTTCCAGAATCTTGCCAAGGGTCGACAGAGAGAGATCGGTCGCCACGCCTTGGCCAAGGTATAATCTCCTTTACCAGGTTTCCTCAAGGGAATGATCTTGGCCGTTCGCCATTGATGAGGCACCACGCCCTCTCGGAGCGATGAGTCGAAAAGCGTCCACACCGGACCTTGACCACGTGCCAGAGCTTCTTCCAAACCATCGCAGGAAGACCGTCCTCCCCAGGCGCTTTCCAAGGCTTCGCCGCCATCACCTTATCCTCAATCTCTTGCAAGGTGAGGTCCGGCATGGCTATCTCTTCTCTTTGCGAACGTTCACCCTCCGGCTCGATCCTCGTTGGCAGAGGCGGGAAGAAGGTGCTTAGGAGCTCCTCTGCTTGCTCGCCCTTGCCTTCGGTGATCGAGCCGTCGGCTCTCTTCAACGGCGGCACCTTGTCATCTGTCATCTCCGTACCAGACTTCACATACTTGACTGCCTTCCAGATGTTGCTCTCGTCCGTGACGAAGTCATCCCAATGGGCCTTTTCTGTCTCCGCAAGTTGTCGTGGTACTCTTGGCAGCCTCCTTGGCGCGTTGCTCCAGATCCGGCCGTGACTGGCCGGCTCGTCGCTGTGCCCTCGCTTGATTGCGCCAGTACGTGTATGTCCGCCGCAGTCGTGTAAGGTCCTTCGTCCACCATCGTTTCGCGTAAGGCGGCGGCTGTGCCCGGGGTGTCAGATCGTGCAGCACCTTGGTGACCACCCGCATGAGCTGATTATGTATGTATGTGTATTTCACCCGGAGGATTTCTCCTATAGGGCCTTAGACGTAAAAGCTACTGACATTTCAATACATTAATGCGTAACACCTTAAGCCCCACGGGTTAGCATACGCTACACCAACCTCGCCGCTACTCGCTCCGTGACAGGCCTGCTTGAAGGCCAATTTCTCCAAGTGTTCAGCGTCCTACCTTCAGCAGCTGAAGCGCGGTCTGTCGAAATCGAAGTCGAATACCTGTGTGTTAGTATTGTTGAAGGTTAGTGCCATAATCGATCCTAAGTGGATTCTCACTTCCGCTGCTTATCCCGAAGGGCCAGACGCTGCCTGCGTCTCATCCCCAGGGTTCCGCGCCCGACAGTTCCGGCTGTACGATTCGTGTGGTCCACCGCAGGGCACGCACTTTGGCACTGTCTCCTTGCATTCTCTGTGGTGATGTTCTGCTTTCGCGCATCTGCCACATCTTTGCGGCTTCTTGCATGAAAACGCCTTGTGTCCCATCTCTTGACAGTTGAAGCACTGAATCGGTCCTACGCGGCGTTCAAAAACATTGGTGCAGGCGGACTCTCCCGCAACATCGAACCACACGCCGTCCAGAAGTCTTTGCGCGTCACTCTCTTTAGTGACATAGATCACCATTGACCCGTACGCTTTGGCTTTCTCTCTGTTGCTAAGCCAGGTGATCTTGGCAATCGTGACGTAATTCTCGGCTCCGAGCGCCTCAGCTGCGCCCGGCAGAACGTTGCCTTCGGCGTCCAGCACTGCGGTACGCTTGGTGTTGTCGACTTTGACAGGGTAAAGCTGATCTCTCAGTACCCTGGCTCCCGAAGTTACCGTCTTCTGCGCTGCTTCCTTGACCTGCTTCAACTCGGTTTGGTCTCTGCATAAAATTTTGATCCGGTCGGGGTTTCGAGCGTCTGTCACGACCGCTGCGCATTTCCAAGTCTCCTGCCTCTGACTCTTTCTCATGTCGCTCTCTATGGCCTTTCGGATGTTGCCGATCTGCGTCTGGCACCTGTTCGCTTCTTCGACTCGTGATGTGTCCACCGTACAGTAGAGACTATCGCTGACGGCTGTTCGTGCCGATTTAGCTGCTGGTACGGTGCCCCGGTTCATTGTCTGGATCGTCGGCGATGACCCTGCAGCGCTCGCATACGACATCTGCGGACTGCTCTGCAGAGAAGATGCGGGCGCCAGGGTCTCTAACTGCGCTCGGATGTGACGAAGCTCATCTCTCATCTCTTTCCCTTGTTGATCCATTTCCTGGATCATCTGCTGTTGCTTGATATGATCTCGTTTTGCGCATCTATCGCTCGGCTGAGCTTTGCGTTTCTTGACGTGACTCGCTCAAGAGTTCGAGAACTTTCTGGAGCATGGCTCGGCCTTCGTTCGCGCCACCGCTGCTGCTGGCAACTTTGCGCCGCTCAGTCGCGTCACTGATGGCGACATCGTCCGAGGCAATGCGCGTTGCAAGCCTAGTTGCGCGTGTTGTCTTCTCCGCCAGATCGTCGGGCTGTCGCGCGGCTTCTCGAATTTTGGTGCTTGGCCTCACGACGCGTGTCGATCTTTTCGCGGGTGTCGACGCAGGCGACGCGCTTCGCCCCACCATATTCACGGCCTCAGCCGGCGTCTCCATGATGAGGCCCCTCAATGCCTAGCTGGCGTTCGCTTCAGGCTTCTTGTCGAGTTCGTCGGATCCCCGGTTTCCGCGTCACCTGGGTTTCTGAGCTGATTATGGAGCTGGTGAGGAACGAACGCGAAATAAGTGGGGCGTGGCACGGGTAGCCTGCCGTAGTCTCACTCCCCAACGCCGAGCCCCGCCGCCGCCGGGGTTGTTACCCGTGGGCCAAGCCTACGGGTACTTCCATCGTTCCTGCGTCACTGCTCTGGTGCCTCCGTGCCTAGACAATATTTACCTGCTTCCGTGGAAACCACTCAATCAAGCCTCGAGCGTCGTCCTTGCTGTCAAAATAGCCGGATACCAGTCCCAGCCTTTGAAACTTGTTTTTCTCCACACATCTGAGCGCAAGACCAGAGTTCCACCACCTTCCCATACCCGCCGCCCTGGCTTTCACCCATATGACGAGGGCTTCGTCCACGACATCGTTCCGAGTATCGAATCTAGCTGTCATGTCGGGCATGCCGTCATATTTCTTGACGCGATATGGATCGTCAGGGCTTCGAAATTCTTCAATGGCCTTGTCCCTTTTGACGAATTGTGACTTTTGACCGACCTGTACTCTTGCACATGGACCGACCAAGGTCAGGACGCCACTCTCGACCTCACCGGTATTGTCGTTCCCGACATGACCCATTTCGACCGACACCATGGACGCAAAGACCATGACGTGCTCGCCTGCGGAGCTGCCAGTGGCAAGCAGGCTTAGTGGGCCATCGAGGCATGCCCAGGCCCACGATGGTGCCCGGTACTCCAAGGGTCTCGTAGCGAAATCCATCATACTCCAATCGATTGAGTCCATGAGGGTTTCTTCCCAAAGACCAGCTAGATAGCGATGCGGACCTGGCTTCAACTGTTGGAGCCTGGCTTTCATGTCTTTGGCCAGTCCAGAAATGGCAACAAGTTTGTCGCTAGCTATAGTGAGTGCCCGGCTCGCATAATAGTTGACGAGAAAATTCCAGTCGACAAAGAGCTGCTCATACGCATCGCGGACATATCGCCGACCTGGCGTGTCGAGTAACTGCTTCCAAAGATGGGCATGGTGCTGTGGCTTCTGGCTCGTTTTTATTCCCTCTTCTTTTTCTTCTCCGGTGTAGTTGTTTCTCAGGCAATAAACGCCCTCAGGGTGCGACTCACAGCAGCTTGCTTCCCTACATTCCCAAAACACCTGCTTGCGTCCAAAGTGTAAGGTTCGAGGAGAGAGAAGTCGCTCTTGAACCACCCACGATCGTTGGACTAGAGGCTCCCTCTCGAAAGATAGACGCCACGCCCAACCTTGCTCGAGGTCGAATCTGAAAGCCTTCTCGACGCCATCTGCCTGGAGTTTGAGGCGAACAACAGCCGGCGCTACATGCGATGGATCGCGCTCAAAGAAGCAGCCTCCGTTGGAATCTTTTGCACCGAGCGCAGAAATACCAAAATATGCGTTCCTGTACACGTCGTGCATCAATGAAGCTTCCACCCGCCAGTCTTCGGCCGAGTCTTGAAAGATACAGAGCCGATCGATCCAGATGTAGTTTACCTTGAAATGTTGAGTGACAGTCATGGCATCTCTGAAGGTTTTGGGCAAAATGTCGATTGGCTGCTCCTGGCTCAGTTCCTGGATGGTGGATGCGACAAGAAGCAGCTCCCCGTCAGGGTGCCTTGGGCCCCAACAGTAGCTCAAGCCAACATACCGAGACCCCGGGGGGCACTCGCGACCTCGCACCAAGCGGAAAGTATGCGGAGTGTGCGTCAAGTCCAGCTTTAGCAGGCGAGTAGGTTTATACAAGTCGGATGCGTTTGGCTTCCCGCATTGACTGTGGGACTCAAGACAGGTAGTCATCCAAGTCTCAATTAGAGACCAAGTTTTTGGGCCATGATTGGATGGGCCCAGCTCATAGTTAAGCTTTCCATCGTATCTAGGATCTGTATCACCTTGTCAGAATTACTGGGGAGGATTCAAGTTTGACAATATTGTGTGTCTGGACATACCTCCAACGGGGACCAATTCAAATCCTACACATGATGATCTATAGATAACTACCATATGTAGCTTCTCCGGAGTCCCATGACCCTCCTCCCAGTCCACGGTGAAGACTGAAAAGTAGCCCAGCTCCTGGGTCTTCAGATTTCGGTACTCACCCCTATGCGGGGAAAATCGATTACACGTGAGGCATCCTTCTTGCTGCGACGCAAAGAAAGACGCGGCAGTTTTGTGATGACCGTAAACGTACTCGTTGGCACGCCGACTGACGAATGCATCGATGCCTACTATCTCAGCGGCTTCCATGATGCATAATGAACTTGAAACGGACATACCCGAGACGTCTTCCGGCCCCGGGCCTTGATCCGGGAGTTTTTGTGGCTCGGAAATCCGATTTGAGAGTTCTCCCCACTTGGTACCTGGGTCATCAAAACATTCGCTGGGAAAATCGTTTTTGAGTGCAAGCCAATTGCTGCGGTTTGGGTCCATCATGCCCTCGAGGCCATCTTTGCATACTTTGCAGAGCATGGCCAAGGCACTGAGAGATTGGTATCAGGCGGTTAAAATCTGTTTCTTGGAGAATGGCAGTAGCGGGGCAAGAAAGACTTGACAGTACGGTAAAAACCCCAGACGCTTGAAGCAGGGAAATACATACAGGGAGCGCTTGAACATTATTTAGCCCTTTAGCTTGGGCGACATAAGCCCCTCACCGTCTGACACGTAGCAGCGAGCCTAAATATATAGTTGTGAGGTGTGCAAATGTGTCTGACACCTTGCAGCGAGCTGAAATCGGGCAACGGTGTGAGGTTGACGGGCTGCAAGCGCGGGATGGGATGGAGTGGCGGTCGGTTGGTTTGGCCCTGCAGGGCTGATTCGAGGCGGGTATTTCTAACTGCTACCAGCTGCTTTTTCAAGTCTTTGACGCTCAAGTGCTGATCTGCATGCGGCACAAGCATGTATTACCGGAGACCGAACTGAACCAGCAGCCGTTGATTCATTTCTCATCAGAGACCCGCGGGTTGTCGAGCAACGGCGATGTGCCGGGGAATCGGCCCCACACAGCCCGCCTGACCTCCCGGTGCCGATGTTACTTACTGCACTGCATGACTGGGGGCGGGAAGGCGGTGCCGCACTGCTGATTTCTCACGCGTGTTTGCCGGCGAGTTGCCTTGCGTATGTGTGTGTGTGTGTGTGTGTGTGTGTGTGTGTGTGTGTGTGTGTGTGTGTGCCCAACCACTTTCCGTCTTGGCTACATGCAAGCTTGTGGAATAGTTGCTTCGCCTCGAAAGCCGGGACGTGGTCAAACTGGACATTGAACCAGCATCATATATTCTGAAAAGTATTTAACGGGTCCTCTATTGAACGTAAGCATTCCCCTAGTCTATACACGCTTTATGCCGACTCCTCACGGCCAACTCGCCAACTGGTTGCACAGGGGCGAATGAGGCTTTGGCTGAACCACTGAAGGGGTTCGAGTCCCAAGCACACTACCTGGACCGGTTCCCATTACGTATGACCAACGGCAGGACGCTGGGGGCTCAGCTGCGGCGCAGCCGCTGCGACCAGTGCCAACCCCCTGGCACGGGGTATATTTACCGCCCGTCTTCCAGTGGGTGTCGTAACTCGGAGCAATGGGCATCATCGCTCGCTCCCGTACGTACGCACCATGAGAGGCGAATACTGGCAGTGTGTATGCTCGCTTGTTAGGAATACCTTGAAATTGGATAACTGACCCCATGTCCCATAGTGTCACTGCAGCTCGGGGTGGTTTTCCGCCGCCCTCGATACGCCATGTCCGAATTGTCAGACCTGGAGATGTTCTCTCTGCAACTATTCTTCGACCTTCTCCCGTGATACCATTCCTGAGAGCTGTTCCACGGCTCTCCCAAGAGTGGCTAGTGGTGCCCATTCCAATGCACCAGACCATATCGAACATTCAGCAGCTGAGCGACGGGCGGCTCCTCATCATGGACAAGAAAGCGACATATCGGAAAGGAGCGCGACATAGGATTCCATGGCTATCACTGGTGCGCTCCGTGGGGGTTGCGCTGGGGCACGAGTGTTGACTTGGTCTGAGATATGGACCAAGACATGTTTAGGCAGCACTTACAAGTGGTGAGTCACTGGATAGTGGCACGGACGTGCCACTATGTATATATATGTTGAGAGCTGTCAGACAGAATTGAATAGAAGTAAGTTCAATCGCAACAATTTGGACCCTCGGCTTGTCGCGAAGCAAGTCTGAGATCTTGAGCTCGAGGTGACCATAAGGGGTATACAGCTAAGGGCCCCGACAGGCTAGATCGAAAGGCAGCCTGTAGAGAGTTCTGAGGCTGCAGAAGGCTATTAGGAGACCGCATTAGGCAGCCACATAGGCTGTAGAGAGACTGCATATACGGGGGAAGCTGAAAGAACCCTCGGCGACTAGGGAAAGTCAGTATGCAAAGGGGGCTGGGAAAGGAGCCCAGCCTCCTAGATATTGTACCTATACAACTGAAAAGGGGATATCAATAGGGAACCAAGGGATATAAATAGGGAGCCTAGAAGAGGGCATTGCAAGAGGGACAGACACGACGGAACACAAAAAAAAACCACCTATTATTAAAACAATCAATGCTCACTTGCATGCTCTCTTCGTGAGACGGCTCTCTTGGAGTTCGATTTCGAAGATAACATGCGGCTTCCACGATCTCTTTCCAGAGGTTATGCGGGAGCCTTGAAGCGATTCTCATTACCCTGCCTCTTTCTATAGAAAGGCCTCCCGATCTTTCGGCCCCTCCATTCTGGGATTGGGTGTTTGAAGCCGATCTTTCCGCTGAAATGCCCTTCTGTCGTAACCAGGCTGTGATCTTCTTCGTAAAGAGCTCCCCATCTGAGCGTACGATCTTCACTTCGAAGCCGTATCGGTCTTTCATCCAATGGACAAAATCCCTCAACACAGCCCAATTATGCTTCTCTTGGTAGGTCCGCATAAAATAGGGGAAAACCATTCCTGTAAAGGCGTCTGTGATAAACATCACACGGACGAAGTCTTCGTGGTCTGCGGAAAGGTCGGTCCAGTCGATCCAAATCTCGTGACAAGGGCTATTTCTTTCCCGGTCAGGGGGTCTGCGGGAAATTTGTTTCCTGGCCTTCCCCTGAGCACAGAATTCGCACTCCACAGTCTTTGGCCCCTTGATTCGAACCCCGTTCCGAAGGCCTAGCTTGTGGAGGGCCAGTGGGCCCGGGTGACCGAGGCGGGCGTGCCAGAGGTTGCCGTCTCCTTGGCTGGCCGGGCGAGGGTCTTTGGTCCCGGCCCTTCGAGATTTTGTTGCTTGGAAGACTGTGTCGAAATTGACGGTCTCCGCTTCTGCTGTTGGCCTGAATTCCAGGACGAATTGACGGTATTTCCTTTGAAGAATCCCTATCGTTTGGTTCCGCCGTACTAGCCTTGTAGGCTCCGAGAAGGTGTCCCAATAGATTCCTTCATCTCGTAGGGTTTGGAAGGAAATCAAGCTCGTTGAAAAGCTTGGGCCGTAAGCTCCCTTTTTCAGCCGAAGTATTTGGAATGATCCGTCCGGTAAGGTCATCGTGAAATTAACCCTGCCGTACCCCTCAATCCGGACTTCTGATTCCCCTGTGATTAGGTAGTCTTTCTGGGCCTTTCTGAATGACCGGAATCGGCTGAGTGTGTTACACACGTGAAGGGAAGCTCCTGAGTCAAGGATCGCAGATAGGCGGAGCGGGTATTCCGATGCTGCGGCCGATGACCCGGCTGGGTAGACGAAAGCCGGATTGGCCGTCCCAACTATCCTTCCTCGAACCCGGGCCGTTGGTTGCTATTTCCAATCTTTCTGGCTTGCCCGGATCTCTTCAACCTTCTTCCGTAGGTCGGGGCTATCCTCGACAGCTTTCTGGGCTTTCTTGCATAGCCAGGAGATAAGGATGCATCTTAAACGAGTTCGTGGAGAGATGCAGAAGATCCGAGAAGACTATAAAGTCGGGAAGAAGCAGTTAGTCAATGGCAGAGTCAAGACATTGAACTTCAAGCCCTGGCTAGCGTTTACGGGACGAGACGTTGAGTTCTACACCCTGGAGCAAAGTTGCGATACCCTCATGCGGGAGCTCAAAGAACCATCCAAGGATTCCTTTTTCTACGATACCACGAAGAGAAATAACTCCGCCAGAGATATCAGGGCGCGCGCAACGACCCGACCTCGCCCACTTACAGATATGTCGTCGTTGCCCGGCAGTGACGATACCGTCTATTTCACAGGCCTCGATCTTGACAAACACAGTGAGGATGGCGCCGATGATGAGGACGAGGACAGTTTCCTCGATACGCAAGAGAATATACCTTCCTCGCCGCCGTTAGCAGCGGTTGAAGCGGTAGTCGGTACACCATGCCCTCGACCGCGCACCCGATCGTACAACAAGATACAGCAGACGCTCTAGGAACACAGATATGGATAAAATAGCTTTCAGAGACGCACAAAAGGCGAAATTACTACATAATACGTCTATTTGGACTCACAAACACGGTCTTCTTATCTCTTCGACTGGACGGCGGCAGCTCCTAAATAGGCCCAAAGACGTGCTTTTTTTCTTTTTTCGTTGTCATTTGCGTCTTTACGTGATCCGCAGCTATTAATCACATGTAAAATTTAGCTATTTGAAGTCGCATTGACGGCACCATGAAGCGAAGCGTAGAAATTCCCTTGATTTTACACCCCAAATTGAGGGGGCTGCTGTGCCGGATTTTTTGGGCTGTGCCGGATTTTTTGGGCCAACTAAGTGGCGAAGACACTTAGTTGGGCTGCTGTGGGCCCCACACCTTGACCAACGGGTAGTGCCATAATCGATCCTAAGTGGATTCTCGCTTCCGCTGCTTAGCCCGAAGGGCCAGACGCTGCCTGCGTCTCATCCCCAGGGTTCCGCGCCCGACAGTTCCGGCTGTACGATTCGTGTGGTCCACCGCAGGGCACGCACTTTGGCACTGTCTCCTTGCATTCTCTGTGGTGATGTTCTGCTTTCGCGCATCTGCCACATCTTTGCGGCTTCTTGCATGAAAACGCCTTGTGTCCCATCTCTTGACAGTTGAAGCACTGAATCGGTCCTACGCGGCGTTCAAAAACATTGGTGCAGGCGGACTCTCCCGCAACATCGAACCACACGCCGTCCAGAAGTCTTTGCGCGTCACTCTCTTTAGTGACATAGATCACCATTGACCCGTACGCTTTGGCTTTCTCTCTGTTGCTAAGCCAGGTGATCTTGGCAATCGTGACGTAATTCTCGGCTCCGAGCGCCTCAGCTGCGCCCGGCAGAACGTTGCCTTCGGCGTCCAGCACTGCGGTACGCTTGGTGTTGTCGACTTTGACAGGGTAAAGCTGATCTCTCAGTACCCTGGCTCCCGAAGTTACCGTCTTCTGCGCTGCTTCCTTGACCTGCTTCAACTCGGTTTGGTCTCTGCATAAAATTTTGATCCGGTCGGGGTTTCGAGCGTCTGTCACGACCGCTGCGCATTTCCAAGTCTCCTGCCTCTGACTCTTTCTCATGTCGCTCTCTATGGCCTTTCGGATGTTGCCGATCTGCGTCTGGCACCTGTTCGCTTCTTCGACTCGTGATGTGTCCACCGTACAGTAGAGACTATCGCTGACGGCTGTTCGTGCCGATTTAGCTGCTGGTACGGTGCCCCGGTTCATTGTCTGGATCGTCGGCGATGACCCTGCAGCGCTCGCATACGACATCTGCGGACTGCTCTGCAGAGAAGATGCGGGCGTAGCCAGGGTCTCTAACTGCGCTCGGATGTGACGAAGCTCATCTCTCATCTCTTTCCCTTGTTGATCCATTTCCTGGATCATCTGCTGTTGCTTGGATATGATCTCGTTTTGCGCAACTATCGCTCGCCTGAGCTTTTGCGTTTCTTGACGTGACTCGCTCAAGAGTTCGAGAACTTTCTGGAGCATGGTTCGGCCTTCGTTCGCGCCACTGCTGCTGCTGGCAACTTTGCGCCGCTCAGTCGCGTCACTGATGGCGACATCGTCCGAGGCAATGCGCGTTGCAAGCCTAGTTGCGCGTGTTGTCTCCTCCGCCAGATCGTCGGGCTGTCGCGCGGCTTCTCGAATTTTGGTGCTTGGCCTCACGACGCGTGTCGATCTTTTCGCGGGTGTCGACGCAGGCGACGCGCTTCGCCCCACCATGATCACGGCCTCAGCCGGCGTCTCCATGATGAGGCCCCTCAATGCCTAGCTGGCGTTCGCTTCAGGCTTCTTGTCGAGTTCGTCGGATCCCCCGTCTCCTTTCCTCAGCCAATGTCGGTGTATGTATGTCTGTAATATTGGTTCCCTTTTTCTGGTCTATCTTTGGTTCAGCGGTAGACCATTCTCACCATGCTGTAGCGGTAGACCATTCTCACCATGCTGTCACTTCCGCAACATGTGGGGAAAACAACACTTCCTTAGTCCCACAGCGACTGACGTTTGCTAGATCTTGCAAGAGGCATTGGTGGGACCGTCGGAGTTACCGCTGCCTCGGCAGTGTACCAGAATGTCCTGACAACGCAACTATGGCGACGATTTGGCGAAGAATCAGACGCTGCTGAAGAGATCCGGCGCATCCGGAACTCTTTGGAGGCGCTTAAGTCGCTTCCCATGGGTTGGTACGATGGCGTTATGGACTCATTCATGGAAGCATTCCGTGCGGTTTGGCTTACGCTGCTCGGCGTGGCGGTGCTGGCTCTGGCATGCATCTCGCTAGTGCGGCGACACACCCTTCATGAGTCTCTAGGGCGATGTTGAGCTACTATGGATAAAGGTCAAAGGGCTTCCACCCTAATCTGTATATTGCACACGATGCGAAGCATGCAGAGGCACCTTCGGCCTTCTAAGTTTGGTGATGGCTGTCCATGACTCCATGTCGTGTGAGCAATGCTTAGCCATTTTGAGCGCCAGTAGGAAGTCCAAGGGAGACTGAATGAGGGCCCTGCTTGCAGTGTCATTGCCGGCACTGTTAAAACCGCGCTTTCGATTTGTCGGGACCTGGGAGAACAGGGTTAAACAGGTGCCGGGGACCATGGCTGTGGAAACTGTCGTCGACAAAGATTCGCGTCTGCCGGAATTCCCAATATGATTCGTCCATTCCTCGATTGCATTGCGGTTCCGCAAGACTGGTGAAATGGGCCTCTGGCCAGGTCGCAGATGTAGTCGCCGTGGTAAAGCTTCGGATCGACGAGGGCGTGAGAATAGACTAGCTTGGTCTTCGCGATGATGCAAACTAACAATGGTCGCGCCGCTACGCTTGGTACCGTTATATGGGTTGAATGAAGACAGTGAGCTATGCTTCGGGCTCGGCGAGAAGCATCTTACTGCTAATGACTGGAAATCTGCGGGCTACTTTAGAGATGGGGTGAAATATGAGATATCATTGACAAATGTCGGTTGTTCCTGCAAGAATACGCGGCTAATGAACCGAAATAAGAACGAGACCCCTGCCAGCAGGTGGATATGCTTCCTAACCAATCTGTCAGATTGTGTCGAGAAGAAGGTCCGAACGAGTTGAGGTCTCTAGGTCTCTCTAGGTAATACAGCTTGAAACCAGGTAAGAAGGGAAGTCTGCAGACTGTTCTTTCTTCTTCCTGGACCACTGAGGGGTCCGGAGGATCTCCTATTCGAACGGGGACCCTTTAAGGAGTCCGGCATAGCTATTACTGGCTCGGGGACCTCGAGAGACTGAACTATCGATCTCATAGCTAGAAGAGCTATTCGATCGGGGAGATGGAGCTGATGCTGCTGACGTAGATGACTTACGTGGCCTTCAGTAAGTGGCAAGAAGTGCCCTCTTCCTGATAGAATGTATACTATACCTGAAAACGGGATATCAACTTGGGAGAAGCTTGGAGGGATATAAAAGGGGCTGTGTAGACGGGAAAGGAGGCAACCGGGGGGGAGAGGTATTAACACAATATCTGATCGTACGATACTCGACCTTCAAAAAGTCCCTTTATCCCCGTTTATGCCCACTTTTGCTCTCTCCTTCGCGAGAGATTGGGACACACAAGCCACACGGCGCCAATACGAGGAGTATATAGCGAAGTGGTTCGGCTTGCGCGAATGTATTGCTTAGAATATACTCCCGTACAAGCAACGGACTCTTTGCTCTCACATGATTTCGAAGCAAGGTCCTTGGTACAGTACCCGCCGCACAATTGAAGCCACCTCTTCAATTGCCGTTTTCTCAATCATTAGATTATAATGGTGAGCCTTCACGGCATATACCACGACATCATTTGCAATCCTACCCCAGCCGTTATCCGGCTCATCCGAACGATAATGGCCCAAAGGCTCGAGGCACTTGACCAACAGTAACTTATGGCGGCAACGCTCGACCTGCATGGCGCTCAAATGGTCGAAAAGGCAATCCACATAATGGTAATAACGGCGTCGCGAATCGCCAGCCATCGCGAACTGACGATAGGTGATGTTATCTGGGTGATATGGGCTCCATACGTCGGTGGTGTTTTCCCTAACTTCACGCTCTGCGGGACTGTAACCCGGGAGAGAGTCGAAGATGATAAGCTGCGAGCGGATTTGCGGACATCCCGCTAGTCTCTCGGCTACCGCCACTGCGATGTTGCCGCCCATGGACCAGCCGCCAAGCCAGACTGGAGCCTCTGGCGCCTGCTGCACGACATCTTCTGTCTGCCGACAATAGAAATCAAGTGCCACAGACCAATCTGCGGTCACCTTCTCGGGGTAGTTGATGAAGAAATTGTTGATACCAATCACGTTGACGTCGTTAGCCAATGCCTGGGCCAGCGCATAATAGGCTTCTGCGCCGCTGTCCGATGGCGAGAAAAGTACTAGCCGCTTGGAATGCTTCGCCTCATTCAGCTCGATGTGATCAAGTGCCGGTTGGAGCACGCACTGGACAATTGCTTTGGCCTGCTGCGCGATGGTGCGGTGTTTGTAGACAAATGCGGTTGCCACCTTGCGCACAAAACGTTTGCTGATTCTCATAGCAAGCAAGATCGCATCGAACGAATTGCCACCGTGAACAAAAAAATCGGCATGAACATTACCTCTAGGTCCAGCCTGCAGTACCTCGGTCCACAATGCCTGCAGGGATTCCTCATACTGGTCTCCTGGAGGGCAACTTTCATCGTTGCCGTTCAACAGCGACGGTGGGTGCGGCAACGCCTTCACATCTACCTTGCCGTTGGCCGTTAATGGCAAAGTCGGCACGCATATAATCTCATCAGGTACCATGTAGGTAGGGAGCTGCCGCTGTAAATGGGCCCGCAACTCATCAGACAATGTCCTCGTGACGTTGATGTTTTCTATGTCGCCGTTGGCCATGTCGTCGGTTGGTATCTTGCCGATAGCTAGCGCTGCGGGGAAGTTGCGGCCCCTTGTATAGGCAAGTAGTTGATCCTCCAGCTTGACTTGACCCAATACACAACTGCCCAATGAAGACGTCAGCAGATTCTCGCTAATGCGCTGCACGAGACGCCCCTGTTCCAGTGTCGGTATTGTCGGCGGTAGCAGCAGTAGCGCCGAGGCCTGATTGATGATGGCGTCATTGTCCTCATCCTGGCCAAATTTGAAGTTGAGTGGGATATCGCCGCAGCGTTGGAACTGCCTTTCCTGGAAGCAGTAGCCACCCCAGCCGGCTGTAGTTTTGAGTAAGAGCAGCGTATGATCGGGCAGCTGTAAGGGCATGTCTATGCCCCCTTCTTCATCCAACCAATAGCTTGCCAAGCATAATTCATCTTCAGAGCAGATTGCAACGGGCAGCGGCGCTACAGGACTCAGGCGGCCAAAATCTGCCAGCAGCGCCAGCATCCCTCCTGCTTCGAGACTGCTGTAGACCAGCGCATATTCATGATACTCCGGCTCAATTGCTGGCAGAAACGTACTGAGATGCAGGTAAATTCCCGTTTCCGGCAGCAGTTCGGGGCCGCTTACAAGCTGCATCAGTGCGTGGTTCTCCGGGTGGTAATAGTAATGGCCCCCGCACCCGCTCCAAGCGCGGGAGACCGTCACGTAAGCTCTCACAGGATAAAGTCCTCCTGCAGAAGGATAGATGTACTTGTTCAAGCCTTCTATCCGATGCTTGAAAGCACGCAGAGGCGTCAGCAATACCGCAAGCTCCGCCCACAGCGTTGCCGGAGACATGCGCAGACGATGTTTGCTATTTGCAGTCTGCACCGTAGTATGGATCAACGGCTGCAGGACTTCCAGCGTTAGTTGGTGGTTCGCCTGGTAGTGGCGATAGCTCTTGCGGACCAGCGCTCGTTGGGCAGCGTCAGACAGGATCGTCTGTGGCGTGAGCGGCTTCAAGTCCATGACAGTTCCCGAGGCATTTAATCCATTTCTTATCCCACGCTTCTCCAGCTTAAATGCCAGGCGATCAAACACCAGCGGCACGACGTAAGACACTAGGTACTTCTGGGCTGACGCTTCGCCGTGGGCGATGACTCGTGAAAGCGAGGTTTGCACTGCAGAGTGACTCTGAAGCACGCTGTCAATTTCGCCCAGTTCGATGCGGAAGCCATTAATTTTCACCTGGTTGTCCAGGCGCCCGAGGATCTCAACGTAGCCTGCTCGGTGCATTATGCCCTGGTCCCCGGTGCGGTAATAGCGCTGCCCGTCAGGCAACTGTCCGAAAAACGCTGCCGTCTTCTCGGCATCGGCTTCATAACCCAGCGCCACACCGCAGCCGGCCAGATAGATCTCGCCGGCAACGCCGACAGGACAGGGATTGCGGGCTGCGTCTAGGATCCAAACCTGCTGATTGAGCAGTGGCTTGCCATAGGGGATGCTGGTCCAGTGCTTCTCGACCAGGGTCAATGAGTAACAGATAGACCAAATACTTCCCTCCGTTGCCCCGCCTAAGCTGAGCAGTTTCGCCGCTGGAAATATCTTCCTGATACGCTCGGGCAAGTCGAGCGGGATGAAGTCGCCGCTCAGCAAGACGTGACGCACTCTGCCATGTCGGCCTCCACCAGCGGACTGTACGAGAAGCGCCATCACGGCCGGAGCACTGTTGTAAACAGAGACGTCACAATCATCCAGCACTTGTATCAGGGCGTCTGGTCGATCTAGTGCGCGCTCCGCCGGCATGACGACCGCTCCACCCAGCATTAAGGGCCCGAAGACGTCGTAAATCGCCAGATCGAAGCTGATATTGGACAGGCAAAGCGTGCGGTCATCCGACGTCAGCGCCAGACGCATATTGATATCTCGCAGAGTGTTCAATACACCGCCGTGCGAAATGCACACCCCCTTTGGTCTGCCTGTAGAGCCGGATGTGAAAATGACGTACGCAGGGTCATTCATTGCTACGCTGACGGCAGGCGGCACGGTGTCGAATTCGGCCAGCGCGTTGCAGTTTGACACGTCGTGGAACGTAATGGTAATGCCAACCTCAACGGCAATTTCTTTATGCTGTGACAGGCGACGTAATTGCTGCTTGGTAATAACAAGATGGCGGATCCCCGCCTGCAAAATGATGGCGCGGAGGCGTCCGACCGGCAACTGCACATTGACGGGGACAAACACCGCGCCCGCCATCAGGATGCCAAGAGCGCCGAACACCAGCCAGGGTCCCTTTTCTGCACAAATCATGACCCGTTCTCCTCGGGAGACGCCGGATGATTGAAGTCGATGTGCCAGCTGCGCAGCTCTTGCCCCGATCTGTCGATAAGTAGTCGTCTGGCCACCACTCGCCGCAACCACAGCAGGAGCGTCCGGAAACCTCTCGGCAGATACTAAAAACTGTTCATGCAACGTGGCCGGCATCATGCAGTCCGAACAGGCCGTGTCATTGTACTGGCGCAGCAGCAGCTCATCAGCGGCAGGGAGAGGAATGTGCAGCGGCTTGTCCCAATCGCCGTTGGCAAGTGAGACGATGGCCAGTTGGTAAGCTTCCAACATATCGCTTATCTGTTGCTCGTCGAAAAGTTGGCAGACGTAGTCCCACTCAACCACCAAAGAGCCGTCTCTTTCGTAGAGGTTATTATCCAGCCACACCTGCGAAGTTTGCGTCCTAGCATAGTCACAGCCCCGATACTCATCCGTGAGAAAGCCGACGTCGCTGTGCGGGAAGCCCAACATGCTGGTAAAAACCACTGGGGCAATGAGCTTGCCACCTTGGTGTTGGTTATGCCGTGCCAGAGCCGACTGAACCTCCACGCCGGTGAATAGCGTATGCGACAAGTCGTCCCAAAGCCTTTCCTGGATGTCTCGCAGCAACTGCCGAACCGGTTCTTGGCGCTGGCGGTACTCGAACAAGGAAAGTACGGTGAAGTCGCCCACCAGATTCTGCGTGTCTGGGTGCACGTCTTCGCGCTGGAACAAGGTGAGATTGATAAGGAAATGCTCCTCGGAGCTCCAACGCGCCAGTACCTGTCCGTAAAGAGCCAGGAAGGGCACTGTCATGGATATTTTTTCCCGGCGAGTTCGCTCCTGCAAACATTTCCAGACTTTTGGGTCTAGACGGAAGCTCTGACGTTTGAAGTCCTGGGAGCCTCCACGACCTGGGCGCCAGGCTGTGGCTAACGATGGCCCGTACGGGAGTTCCGGCAGGCGGTCATACCAGTATCGTCGATCGTCTCGGTAGCGTGGCGTTGTTTTCAGCTGTTCGTGGGCCAGTTGATAGTCCCGAAAGGTGATGCTCAACGGCGGCAAAGCTTGCTCCGGACAGCGGTATAGCTCGTTCAGCTCACTCATGAAGATGCGCATGCTTCGTGCGTCCATAATCAGCACGTCGTAACTGAAGTGCAGCACGCAGTGGTTTTGATATTGCGTCACTCGCCATTCAAATAACGGGAAGGTTGTGGTATCGAACATCTGCCGCTCTAGTTCTCGACGCCAGAGCAATAGGGCATCCCTCTGACGTTCTGGTGAATCAAGACTCACGTCCTGAACGGCGATCTGTATCAACGGCGTCTCCGCCAGCACGCGTTGAAAGCGTTCCAGTGAGTAAACGGTACGCAGGGCTGAGTGTCGACGCACCAGCTGGTTGACGCACCGAGTCAGTAGCGCAACATCCAGCCAGGCAAAGCGATCTTCGCGATAGTTGTGTGTGCTCACACCACCCAGCTCAAAGGCAGAATCCCGGCCGATCAGGTACGCGAGTTGAACATCTGTCAGGCCAAATGGGTGATGGGCGCTAGCTTCGTCGTGGCTGATGACACCATTTTCCGAGGGCATGCTGCGACATTCGATACCGTCCACGTAGTGGCAGAAGTCTTCTAACCGACTAAACTGGAAGAGACCCTTCAGCGGGACTTGTTTACCAGTCCGTCGGTTCAGCTCCGCACCCATGATGATGGCGGAAATGGAGTTGCCGCCAAGCAAGAAGAAATCGTCGTCGCGCGCAACGACCGCCTCCAATTCCAGATGCTTCTGCCATAGTTGCGCCATGAGTGTTTCCGTCTTGCCACGGGGGCCCATGTCAGACCGCACAATGGCTGACTGCTTTGATAAGCTTTTCAGCGCCAGGCGGTCGACCTTGCCGTTGGCATTTGTAGGAAGTCGGTGTGTTATGATGATGATGATGATGTTTATTTCGCCATTGACGATAGTCAGAGGCACTGCGTCAGACTCGCTAAGCCTAATCTAGAGTTGTCCAATACTCGGTTCCGAGCCCAAGGAATTCGTCCCGATCTAATGCCTAAATTTCTCTTACATCCTTCAATCCGTCTCTTGCTCATTTGACCTGTCCCTTTCCAATTCTGGAGCCTGTCTGATGAGGTACAGACCACTCTCCTCCGCCGCATTTGACGAAGAGTCCACCTGCCTTTAGCCGTCCGGTGTAGCTAACCTACCAGCTGTGGGGCAACCACAGGTATAGGTAGAGGGTTTGTGCTGAAAAGAAAGGTTAAGACAGAGGATGTATGTTAGTAAGGTGTCGGTCGTAACTTGGCGAGTTCCCGGCGATACACCGGGCACCCAGGATCTGTAGCTTTGTGTGCTCCTTTTCCACCGCACGCTGCACACTTAAAAACGTCGGAGGTGCAGGTCGACGCAGAATGGCCCGGTTGGCCGCACTGTCCACAGATCGGAGTTGGCGCCTTGCAGCGATAATGCAAGTGTCGGTGTGTTATTATCACCCGTGGCCGCATAACGGCGGGAAAGGTTCGGCTGAGCTGTCGGTTGACCTCATGGACGGACAAGGATTCGGGCGCGGCCAGATAAGCAACCAGACCATCGTGATGGCAGACTGCCGCCGCCTCGACCTGCGGTAAGCGATGCAGAAAAGTTTCTAGCTCTCCAGGTTCCATACGCACTCCGTTGATCTTAATCTGGTCGTCCAAGCGGCCATGCAAATACAGTAGCCCGTGTTCGTCGTAGTGCCCCAAATCGCCTGTAAAGTACAATTGGTCGTTTGAATGCTGCATATTTGGCGTGGACCGGAACATGTTGTTTGCCACGAGCCCCGGGGCAGATAGATAGCCCAATGAGCGATACGGGGTGCGGATAACCACCTCACCGTGTTCGCCGGGTGCACAGCGGCGTTGACCATCCATGACCCAAACTTCAGTATTCGGCAATGGTCCGCCAACGGGCATGACGCCGCGTACGGCATCCGCTGGGTTGCAGCGGTAGAAACATTTTGCCAGTGTGGTTTCACTGGGTCCGTAAAGGTTAACGAGCTGGCCAGAGAAGCCCCATTGCCGACAAATATCCTGCAGCACCTTGCCGTGTAACGTCTCGCCAGCGCTGAAGATCCATCGCAGATTGGGCAGGGCCATTGTCGTACACAAAGACAGCCAGGCTTTGATGATGCAAGGCACTATGTGCAGCGCGTTGATTCGATGGTGACACAGCCACTTCAGCACCAGTTCCCCATCGCTGACAGTATATGGCGGGATCCAGAGTTGTGCGCCGGAAAACAACGGAGTGAACACCGAACGATAGATGACATCAAAGCCGAGAGCCGCTAACTGAGCGAAACGGTCATGCCTCCCGATGGCGAATTCCCGGCTCTGCCAGCAAATGAAGTGTGCTAGTGCCTGATGTGAACCCAAGATCGGCTTAGGGTCGCCAGTGCTGCCAGATGTGAATACGATATATGCTGCATCAACCGCCACCGCGCTTCGAATAGGCTCTGACACGCCAGTCATTCCATGATATGTGCGGTGTTGGGCGTTAGGGAGACCTTCGGCACCTTCATCATGGCCGATTACGAGGCTCGGTGCAACAATGTCTAGCAGCCTTCGTCGGCGAACCTCTGGGAGGTTCTCGTCAAGCAGGGCCACTATCAGCCCTCTTAGCCAGCAGGCTACAACTGTGGCAATCATATCCACGCACATGTCACCTCTCAATGTGACTACATCCCCCGCTTGGAGGTTGTCTTTGCTGAGCGCGGTGTATTTGCGTTCTACATCCCACGCTAGCCGGCTGTAGCTGATGTGCTCACCGTTGCTAGAAATGACAGCAGTCGCCTTGTCATAGATCTTCCAGCGTCGGTAAAGCTCCCAAGGCAAATGTGGCAATGTGTTATCGTGCATTGCCGCGTAGTCGGCGTAAGTGGGGCGGTGGTGACTCTGGTGAACAGATGTCGCTCCAAGCTCATCCATGAAAGCCATTTTCACTAAGGGAGTAAGCGAGAACGAAGTTGGCGAGAAAGGAGGAGAGAAAGTGCACGTCTAAATGACAATAGACATCGGATTAGTGGTAGGGACAGAAAGTGAGCTGAACATATCACGATATATAGACATAGCAACTGCCTGCAACCCCATCCCCACATGAAAGCGTTAATGGGTGGTTGCGTGCGTCATGTACTGAGACTGCGTGCTCAGTTCGTGACGTGTCAAGGGGCCGGGCTTGCAGACCCCGGCGAACATGTTTTGCACACACCTGCAACCTTGCCGAGTCTTGATGCGACATCAGGAACGCCGGGACATATAGCCCAGCGACCACTGCGTTGCAAGACGAAGCGATCATGTGCATGAACAGAGACTTCCTAGATCGTAAACCAGTCTATACTGTGCCTCGTTCACCTGCAGACCCGAGGAGGCATGGAAACCCCGTTGCCACGAGGTCATTAGGCCGGCGATGCCTTACGACTGACAAGTTCGAAGCAGGATTGCCGTAAGTGCATGTGCAACTGGCGGCCTGACATGGTGTCGGATATCAATCTATGGAAACGGTGTTATATCTTCCCTGCGCAGACGCCATGGCCCTTCTGCGTTAGAGCATGTGTCGTCATAATGGGAGGAGAAAGAGCCGGCGTCAATCGACTCGGGCATCACGATCCTGTTGTGCCACTGCAGTGATACCCAGTTCATGAAACGCACATGCCGGGCAGTCGCTGTGACCAGCTAATAATTGTCTCATACAAAACTACTGTGACGAATGGGAAGCAATCCATGTCTCGCAATGGGCCGTTGTCTTGTTCTCTTCCCTCCCAGCGATCGTACCCCGCGCATCTCTGTCGGTAGCCTGTGGCAGGTCAGCCAACCCCGCTACTGTGGCCGCTGCCTGATTGGCAGCTGGCACTGTCTCACAATGGACATCTGAGCTGAGGTCCGTGGGAGTTTGGCTTATGGCCGTGTTGAACTTTGTGAACTTCAACATCAACGGCAAATCGCGGTTTCGCCGCTGCCACTACCAACCATGGCCGCTGCAACAATGCAAATAGGTTGTTCATACATAACCTATAACCTATAACCTATAATTATTGAGCGTCCGGGAGCTTAAAGCTGAAGCCCCTGACGGGGCAAAGGACGTGCTAAGCTGATGAATCTAGTAGTAGTAGTAGTAGTAGTTTATTACACTAGCCGGCCGTAGCCCTAGAGCCTCTATTCGTTACCAATACAGGAAAAACCCTATAGCCGAAGCCCGGGATGAAAACCCGTATTCTACCATCTTGTCTCCGCGTATGTCTTTCAACGTTGAGCATCTTGTCGCCTATCGTGGTTGGTGTATATCGTAGGGGTTGGACTCGGTGACGTTGAGAGTTTGCGGCGTTGTTGAGGTGTTGGTTGCGTGGCTGACGCGCTGCGCAGGCGGCCCAAGGATTTTCGACCGTCGGGCGAGGTCGTCCGCATGCGTGTGATGTCGCCCACACGGGTGCTTCGAGGCGGCGGTAAAATGACGGGAGCGCCCCCGCTAGGGATGACCCAGGTCCCTAGAGACTGTGTTCCCCATTTGGTAAGGCAGGATGGGCTAGTCTGCCGGTCTCGACCTCCCCCCAAAGGTCGTGCCCCCGGCCGGATTCGAACCGACTCCGCCACGAGGGCGGCCTCCAAAGCGTATGACCACTACGCCACGAGGGGAGGTCATGTGGATGAACCCTGGCCAGTTGCGTCTCAGCTGAATGGGCATGCAGGTGCGCCCCAGGCAAGTACACTGTACTTAGCGGGCTGTGCCCGCCCCCACTGTCGAGCCCACCGAAGGCGACGGCACGTCCCGGCCGATTTGGTGGGCCCGACAGCGGTTTATATCATTAATCAATAACGCCGTTGCTTTTGCTGACATGTCATTACTGATAAGTACTGTAGATGTAGTTCAGCAGTAAGCGGAAGAAGATCATTAGCCGCCGGACGAATATACTGTATAAAGTCGCGAAAAGCCGAATGCTCAACATGGGTGAATGGGAGACTGCAAGCTACTACGTAACGACAATAAAGCTCGCGGAATGTGGTTTGGTCGAGAGCATCTTCCTCCGCCGTCGCCTTGCGTTTCTTGGAGACCAGAGATTCATTGGCCAAAAAGGCAGTGATGTCTCCAAGGCGACTTTGCGTCATGTCCAGTGTGTCCAACAACCAAGTAAAGCAAAATTTGACCCCTCTACTTGACTTGGTTGACCGGACCCCTTTGCTTGACTTGGTTTACTTGACGAAGAGCGTTACCTTTCTTGGTTGGTTGATATTACTCGACGGTATGTACCCCGCCTAATATATTTGGTGTGGGTGTACTTCACCTTCTGATAACCTAACTAATGGCCTCCGACCGAGTGATTTTGACATTCAATCGCTACCGTATCATCTGAACAGAGGCGATTCCGTTCGATTGTGATGGCGCATCTGTTTGCAAGCCGAGTTGAACATGCCCGGGGGTAAGGGTGAGATATCATGGACGGCAATCACCAGGCTGAGGGTGGTCGGCCATAACGATAACTACCAATGGCAGATACCTGTCTGAGCTATGCTAACATTCCGGATCGAAGCAAATGCTTTTGGCATTCAATAGCCGCCACCGTATCTGAACTGAGGCGATTGCGTTCATCCGTAATAACCTTCTTCGTCTGTGAAAAAACGCGTTCGCACTCAGCGCTCATAGCGGGACAACTAAATAAGTCGAAGGCCATTTTGGACAGGACTGGGTAGTCTGGTGCATGGCATACCCACCATTCCAGAGGATCCTCGACTTTTAGATCAGCCTTAGTGGTCCTAGCCATAAACTCGTCAAGCTCAGAGGTCAGTCTTGCCCGTTTCTTTCTGCGCGTGCCTGATGCTGCGACGGCAGCAAGCCTCTGACGACGTTTCCGGGCTTGCTGGAGCAGGTCTAGGCCTACTGCATCGTCTGAAGCGCTCTCCTCATTTTCCTCCTCTCGTGTCCGCGGTGATCTCTCTGTTGCTGTCACGGGCTGTGCCCGGCTTGGTGGACCCGGTTGTACCGGGTCCGGTGGGTCGTGCTCGGGTGGCAGCACCGGCCCCGCTCCGCGGACCCGGAAGCTGCGAGAACATTCTGTGAAGGGTAATATAAGCTCGCACTCGAGGCTACGCCTCGAGTTCAGCTTCCTTTCCTCCTCAGCTCTAGATAGACAACACATAGGCACCTGCTTGTTGAACAAACTCCGGGCCAGCCTCTTACATATCTAGAGCTCACTACCGATGGACTCAACCCTTGCAGACGGGAGCTCCCCGGAGCGGACCTCCCAGCTCCTCATGCAGATGATGAGCCAGATGGCTGAACAGTTGCAAAGTTTGCGTGCCGACCGCGATGCCGATCGCGACGCCACGCGCGAGCAGATTCAACTGCTGCAAGACAGTCTGACGACCTCGAGACCAACGCCCTTGGGGACCGAGTCGGAGAGCAGAGCGGAACCTCTGCATGAACCGAATCGTTTGGTCGACACATCATTGCGGAAGACTAGGCCGACTCTCCCAGACCCACCGCGATTCGAGGGCGTTCGATCCAAGTTTCGCGCTTGGCTGAGCGAGATGAAGAACAAGCTTCGCGTAGACGGAAGGGTAATTGGGAATAAGGCGGACCAGTTCGCCTACATTTACGCGCGACTAGGGGGTGCCCCTCAGCAAATGACGATCGCGTATGTAGAAGCCGGAGGAAGGGTGGAGACTCAGATCCGGACCAGTACCTCCAATATTTGGAAGAGTGCTACGGGGACCCGAACGCCAGGACTCGCGCGCTGGACAAATTGCGATCCTTGAGGCAAAGAGACAAGGAAAGCTTTGCGACACTGCTCCTCGCTTCGAGAAAGAACTCGCTGATTCCGGCGGCGCCACCTGGCCGGAAGAAGTCAAAATCAGCTACCTGGAGGGCGCCCTGAGTCCGGACTTGCGACTGGCAACTGTCTACGCGGCGCCCACTCGCTCCACGTACTCGGAATGGGTCCGATCTCTTCAAAGGCTGTCCTCAGGTCTAGAAGGTGTAGAGAAAGGAACGCCCTTCGAAGCGGTGGTGCAACCCATGATAGTCGAGGCCGCGACGCAGACGGAGATACCAAAATGGCAGATGTCAACCGTACAGGTCACGAGCCGAAGAAACGTCGCAACGCAGATGTGGCGCCCAAGAACGAGCGCCGCTGTTACCGATGCGGCCGGAAGGGTCATCTCGTCGCGGAATGCCCAGCTCATTTGGTCTTTCCTGGCGAAGCGAAGAAAAAACGGTCAGGAGCCGCCCGGGTGAAGCAGCCGGATGCGAGCGATGACGATTCGGAGTCGGCCGCAACATCCAGTGGGGATGACGAGCCGATGGGAAAAGACTAGCCCCGGTGCGAAAGCGGGCGCCGGGGCATTCGAAGGCAGATGTCCAAGACTGGGAGGCGTTCAAGCCGCGTATGAATAGTCGACCCGTGCTCGTTAACGCACGGCTCAACAGAGGCAATCCTATACGCGTCCTAGTCGATAGTGGATGTGACTGCTATGCCGTGATTGACGAAGCGGTCGTCCGGAAGTTTCGGATCCTCTCGTTGATTCGAAGCCTCGAGAGATCGGGGATTCTCGAGTCCTCAGAAAGTGTCACGTCGCCGGGAGTTGTGGCTGTCGTTGTGGAGACCGCCGGTTTCGACGAACGCATCTTTGCGTACGTCGTCCCAAGCCTCGGCCAGGATATGTTCCTTGGCCGGCCTTGGATGGAGAGGAACCAGGTCGTGTACGACGCTGCTAAGCGGCAAGTGTTCCACGGAAGAGCAGGCGTGACGATACGCCTCATGGGGCAGGAAGAGCCCGCCAAAGTACGCGCAATTCGAAGCGCAAGACTTGTGTCGGCAGCCGTGTTCACGGCAGAGTGCCGGCGTGCAAAGAGACGCCAGACGTGCGATGCGTTCTCGATACAAGCGATCAGCTTGGCAGACATAGAAAAGCGCTTCAACCGAAGCCGCCAGTTGATCCGAGCAAGATGGTTCCAGCGGAAGTGTTGAAAGAGTTCCGCAACCTGTTTTCACCAGAGGAGGCCATGAAGCTGCCGCCACACCGGCCAGGTGTGGACCACGAGGTAAACTTGCAGCCTGACAAGAATGGCAACGAGCCGCCCCTGCCATGGGGACCGCTCTACAACATGTCACGCGAAGAGTTGTTGGTCTTGCGAAAGACCCTGAAAGACCTTTGGATAGAGGGTTCATCCGAGCGAGTAGCTCGGCGGCCGCAGCGCCGGTGCTGTTCGTGAGGAAGCCAAGTGGAGGGCTGCGATTCTGCTGTGACTATCGGGCGCTGAACGCAATCACCAAGCGCGACCGATACCCGCTGCCACTCATCGCCGAGACGTTGCAGAACTTGGCCAAGGCCAAGTGGTTTACCAAGTTGGACGTCGTGGCCGCCTTCCACAAAATCCGCATGGCCCCCGGGCACGAATGGAAGACGGCATTCCGCACGAGGTTCGGGCTCTACGAGTGGCTCGTGTGCCCCTTCGGCCTAAGTGGCGCCCCGGCATCGTTCCAACGATACATGAACAGTGTGTTGCGCGAGTGGCTGGATGATTTCGTCACGGCGTACCTAGACGATGTATTGATTTACTCAAGTGGTTCAAAGGCCGATCACGAGGCCAAGGTGCGAAAGGTTCTCCAAGCACTCGCTGACGCTGGCCTACATCTAGACCCAGCGAAGTGCGAGTTTTCAGTACAAGAGGTCAAGTACCTTGGGTTCATTGTCAATGCAGGGAAGGGAATCGCGTGCGACCCCGAGAAGCAGCACGCCATCCGCGAATGGGAAGCCCCTACCACGGTGAAGGGTGTCAGAAGCTTCCTGGGCTTCGCCAACTACTACAGGATCTTCATTCCCGACTACGCTAAGATCACTCAGCCGTTAGACGCCCTGCTGAAGAAAGGAACTGCCTTTTGTTGGGGGCGGGCGGAGAACGAGGCGTTTCATGAACTGAAGCGACGATTTTGTGAGTCGCCCGTGCTCAAGCAGTGGGACCCGAGTCTGCAGACATTCTTGGAGACGGACTGCTCAGGCTATGCATTGGGAGGCGTCCTGGCGCAAGAGGACCAAGATGGACGTCGACACGCGTGCGCCTTCTTCTCGAAACGACTTTCACCAGCAGAGTACAACTATCCAATCCACGACAAGGAGATGCTCGCCATCATGAGATGCCTCGATAATTGGAGTGCCGAGCTCAGAAGCTGCGGCTCATTCACAATCCTCACCGATCACCGCAACCTGGAGTATTTCATGACACGCCAGAAGCTCACGGAACGGCAGAGCCGTTGGGCAGCCGAATTGTCCCAGTTCGACTTCAAGCTCGAGTATCGACCGGGAAGTGAGGCCGTCGTGCCCGATGCGTTGTCCCGCCGTGAACAAGACAAGCCACAGGGCATCGACGACGAGCGAGAACAGGGAAGGATGATACAGCTGATACCGGATGATGCGATCCCGGCGACTACAAGAGCACGCATCAATGCGGCGAGTTCTAATTTCTCAGAGCCGTTCGTTCTGCCGGAGATGAAGATCTTCGAGGAGGCGGACCTACAACAGCTCTGGGATGAGACGGCCGAGAAGGACCCGATTTTTAAGGAAGCGTACAGAGCTGTGCAGAATTGTGAGCGTACCTTTCCGCCCGCCCTAGGGTTGAAAGTTCAAATCTCGGAGTGCGCCATCGATGCCGGTAAGAGGCTGACATTTAGGACCGCATCTGGGTGCCAGGAGGATCTGGGGAGAGGGCAGTCGGGAAGAGGCCGAGAAGGACCAGTTGAGAACCCGCATCGTGCAACAGTCGCATGACTCCGTTTCGACGGGTCACCCCGGCAGAGAAGGTACGCTGGCTATTGTGGCTCGGCGATTCTACTGGCCTGGACAGTCCCAGCTGGTTCGCCGGTTCGTAGCCAATTGCGACACCTGCGGCAGAGCACACATCTGGCGCCAGTCGAAAAGGGATTTCTCAAGCCTCTCCCGATTCCAGATCGACCCCGAAGCCATTTGTCCATGGACTTCATCACAGATCTGCCGCCTACTGGACCGAGCAAGGCAAGGTACCTGTGGGTGATTGTAGACAGACTGACAAAGGCTGTGACCCTCGAAGTGATGGACAACATGGAAGCTGAGCCGTGTGCAAAACGTTTTCTCCAGTGTCATTACCGATTTCACGGAATGCCACGGTCCATCGTCAGCGACCGCGGGAGCAACTGGCTAAGTAGGTTCTGGAAGAGGTTCTGCCGTCTTGCAGGTGTCACGCAGAAATTGAGCACGGCCTATCATCCTCAGACGGACGGAGGCCAGAGAGAATGAACCAGGAGATCGAGGCCTACCTGAGAGCCTACGTGTCGTACGTGCAGGACGACTGGGAGAACTGCTCCTGCCGCGCAGCTGGCACTCAACAATCGCGAATCCGCAACGACCAAGATCAGCCCCTTCTTCGCTGAGCATGGTTACCACGTCGATCCCATCAGCGTCGAAGAATCGGAAGAGCCACCAAGGGATAGAGAGGAAAGCAGAGCTGATGGCCTACTCAGTCGCCTGCAGGAGGTCAATGGGTACATGCAAGCAGTGATGGCCGCCTCACAGCAACAACAAGAAGAGGCAGCCAACGCAAAGCGACAGCCTGCGGAGCGGTTTGAAGTTGGTGACAAGGTGTGGCTCTCGATGGCAAACTACAGATCACCACGACCGTGCAAGAAGCTCGACTGGCTGCATCACAAGTACACAGTCACGAAGGTAATTAGTTCGCACGTCGTTGAGCTCGATGTTCGTGGTTCAATTTACCCGCGATTCCATGTTGACCTTTGCGGAGGGCGCATCAAGATCCGGCTCCTGGCCAAAGGTGGATGACGCACAGCCACCACCGGTACAAGATGAGACCGGCGCGGATCTGTGGGATGTCGACGAGATTCTCTGCGCGAGATGGAAGAAGCGCGGACGAGGGGAATTCAGGCAAGCACTAGTGCGATGGACGGGCTACGCAGAGCCGACTTGGGAGCCAGTTGAGTGGTTGCAAGGAACAATTGCGATGAAGGCATTCGAGGACAAGTACGGGCCAATCAAGACTAATGATGGCCCTAGGGAGAGGTACGAGACGCTGGCAGGAAAGCAAGAACCCCGCAGACGCCGACCTGGTCGGAGGGACAGTTGCGTCCGCTTCCATAGCCGCCTCCTCGTATTTCGCATAGGCCTCCTGTACCACTCTCTTTGCTTCGCTGACCCATTGCTTGTTGTGGCTCCACTCAAGTTCGAAGTAAGCGAACTTGTTTGCCGGATGCAGCGCAACTGCGCACCGGTATGCGGGCGTGGCATCCGTGAGTCCAAAATATTCTTCAAGCTTGAGACGGGCAGCATCAATGGCATGGGAGTAGTATGTCGAAACCGCGTCAGGGTGGTCATCAGCAAACTTGCCCGCCTCCTGCAGCTTCTTGAACAGGACATCAAGCGATTCAATTGTCTCGTGGTGGGAACCATGGGACCCTTCACCGCACTACGATGAAGCACTGGAGATGCTCCTCCAGTGGACCACACCAGGAAGGTGCCTAGTAGCAGGCGACTTCAACGCCAAACACAGTAGCTGGCAAACCGGCCGGCTCGATGGCCGAGGTGACGACATCGCCTTTTGGCCTCTGAGAACGGCCTTAGCTTGCTCAACCCTGCCGATGTGCCAACGAACCCACATGGCAACACAATAGACCTCGCCTTCTCCAACATACCACTATCCGAAGCTGTCGTGGAGGAACACCTGGCCACCAGCTCTGACCACTTCACGCTCAGCGTGACACTCGCTGACCTGGCTCCGGCCTCGGTGCCGCTAGGAAAGGTCCGCCTCACCTCTGACGACGAGCTCGCTCGTTTCGCCGAAATGGTCGATTCCGGAGCAACAGCTATCCCGGCCGCGGCCTCGTCTCCCCAAGAGCTTGATTCCCTGGCGTTGGCGCTCGTGGAACTTCTCCAACTGGCAGCCAAGGCCGCCGGTCGCCCCGTCCGCAAAGGGGCACGCAGCGCGCCCTGGTGGACAGAAGAATGCGCCTCGCCGCGGCGGAATACCGCGCGATTAGGAGAGTCTACCCTCTCGGCTTCAATCGGGAAGTCCAGCTTGCAAAGAGAGACTTCCAGAAAGTCGTGCGGCGAGCCAAAAGACATTACTGGCGCAATCTGATCGACAGCTTCACTGACAGCGCCTCCGTATTCAAAGCGGTCCGATGGCTGAGATCACCGGGCGCTTTCCAGCCTCCGCCCCTACAAGTAGGCGATGTAGTTTACGAGACGCAGCTTGACAAAGCCAATGCCCTACGGCGGGCGACGCTCGAGCGGCGCACGGCGGACGACGACATCCTGTTGCGAAGCCGCTCGTAGGACCTCTAGAGGTTCCCTGCTTGCTGATGCTCCTGCTGAGACAGTCAGCCAGGACGTCAGGCCTGCTTTCTGATGCGTCGGCTGAGACAGTCAGCCCGGCCGTCAGGGACGGTGTCATAGGAAAAAGTGGGGCGCAGCCACCCCGACGATTGACGGAGGTGTGAGGCAGACGGAGAAGATCGAGATTGTGGCCAGGAATAAAAGGGCGAGGAAGGAAGGAACAGACACAGAGGACAGAAGGAAAAATGGAGGAGCACCGGAAGATTCTGAAATACTAACTTTATGCCTATTTGGCCCTACTTTTCGTGACACATCCCAGATCCGTGGATCCCAGTCGACACAACGAAAACCGTTCCCTTCACGCAACAGGTGTCACTTGAGGAAGTGCGCGACGCAACCCTACGGACAGGAAACACGTCTCCCGGCCCCGACAGCATCACGGTACAAATGCTCAAGGCGGTATGGCATATTATCGGAAGCCACGTCCAGCGGCTGTACGAAGGCTGCCTCACCATCGGCCATCACCCGAAGCCGTTCAGAGAGGCCGAAGTAGTCATGATAACAAAACCAGGCCGAAGGAACCTCTCGACCCCTCGTGCCTGGCGACCCATCTCCTACTGTCCTGCCTAGGCAAAGGTCTCGAGCGGCTCATCGCACGGCGCCTGGCATGGGCCTCCGTCCACTACGGAGTCCTCCATTCACAACAAGCTGGCGCTCTCCCGAAGAGATCTGCCGTTGACCTTGTTGCCGCTCTGCTGCATGACATTGAAGAGGCGTTTGCCCGCGGACAAGTTGCCACGTTGGTGACTATGGACATCCAGGAGCCTTCGACACTGTCCTCCGCAACAGGCTGATCCTTCGCCTCCGTGAGCAGGGGTGGCCAGAACATCTCGCTCGATGGGCTGGTTCTTTCATGCATGACCGCTCGGCGCGCGTCAGATACCAGGACACTACCACGCCCAGCTCGCCTCTCCAATGCGGCCTCCCCCAGGGATCACCAGTCTCGCCCATCCTTTTTCTGTTGTACACGGAACCAATTTACCGCCTAGGGAAGCCGAAGGGGCGCTTCGGCTACGCAGACGACACGGGTATCCTATGCATAGGTAACTCCCTGGAGAAGACAGCCGAGAGAGCGTCGCGCTATGTAAACGAACTTGTGGCCTGGGGCGCCGCCAACGGCATCGCCTTCGACCCGATGAAGACTGAGGTCATGCATTTCTGTCGAAGCAAACCTAAAGTTGCCCGCCTATATTTCACGGCGACTCAGAGAAGCGCCCTGACCGAGCACTGCGATGGCTAGGCATCTGGCTCGACAGCACCCTGTCGTTCAAGACACACGTGGAAAAGTGGACAGCCAAGGCACAGGTCGTGGCCTATCACTTGAAAAGTCTGGCAAACACCAAACATGGTCCTCTTCCCGGTGCCGTTCGCAGAGCCGTAAGAGCATGTATCGAACCGGTGCTGCTCCACGGCACCGAGGCATGGTACCCGGATTAACCAGCCCGCGATGGACCCAGCCAGCAAAAGAAGGACCATCCGGGATACAGCAACTCATCCGAAAGATGAACAAGTCGCTTCACACATCCATCCGAGCCATCCTGCCTGTTTGGAGGACGACGCCGATCAATGCCCTCCATCGAGAGAGCGGCATTCCACCGGTGATACAACTGCTCGAGGGGCGTCGCATGCGCTTCGCGGCCCGCCTCAAGTCTCTCGATGAAGCCCATCCGCTTGCGAAACGTACAGTCCGGCCCAAGCCCTGTCATCCACAGGTCGATCAAACTGAAGTACCAGGTGCCGCGAGAAGGCTTCCGGACCCGACTTCGACGCAGTGACCAGCTGCTGCCTTGCAGCAGGCGGCCAATTCTCCTCCTCGCCGCTTCGGCGACGATCAGGCGCTGCCTCTGCAAACCGCCCCGAAAGACCAGTCAGCAGCGGATTTCCGCATTTGGCTCCGGTCAGTGCCACCACACACTCTGGTCGTCTACTCAGACGGATCGCTCTCCTCGGATGCAGCGGTCGGTTATGGCTATGCCATCCATCTGGATGGGCAAACCGTCCTAAGTGGCTGCGGCCGACTTGGGCCCGCTGAGGTTTTTGATGCAGAAGCGAAAGGCGCGCTCGAGGGCCTGCGCGCTGCCCTAAGCCTCCCACGATCGCAGAGGGTAGTCGTTTGTCTCGACAACATCGCGGCGGCAACATGCCTCAGAGGCATGCCGGCAGACTCCTCCCAGGATGTCTTCCTCGAGTTCCAGGCCCTGGCCACAGCACACGGTGCCACGGAGGTCCGCTGGATCCCCGGCCACACCAGCATCCCAGGCAACGAGCAGGCCGATGCCTTAGCGAAAGCAGGAACCTCTCAACCCGAGCCCGCAGGCGCTGTCCCGACACTGGCATATCTGCGCAGGGCTGCTAGGCAGCAGCCTAAAAGTGCAGTTAAAGCCTGGTGGGAAGCCTCTGCACCCGAACAGTACAAGCCACTGCACCTAAGCCGACGACCGGCTGCCCCCCGGAGCTCAAACTCCCCCGACCGCTACTCCACCACTTGCTTGCAGCCCGAACCCGTCACGGGGACTTTGCCGACTACCACGAGAGGTTCAACCACGACGATGCGCGACTGACGTGCTCATGTGGCCGACGAAAAGAGCCAAACCATGTCTTTTATTGCCGAAAGATCGAGCCGCGGCATCGGATGAGGCTGACACCCTCACCGACTGCAGCAGTCAATCGCGCAATAGGCAGAGACTTCGACAGATTCGTCAAGCTGGCGAAGGCGACCTCCTTCTTTGAATGGGCTTGCCCTCGCCACTAGGCGGCTGTATCATCTTTCCCTCACCTCTTTCCTTTGTTCAACTTCCCCCCGGATTCGGCCAGGCAGAGGGTGCTGCAACACCCTTTGCCCGGCCGGGTCAACTGAGGCTGCGCTCTGCAGTCTCCGACAACGGTCCCTTGAGACCAAAACTGAATGGCAATCTCACTGCCGCGCCTGTACGACCCGCTGACGGGCACCAGGTTCAACACGGAGCGCCTCAGAGCCGATGAAATGCTGGATGGTGGTTTGTTTACGTTTGCGAGGGGAAACTGTAGACAGCCCTAGCTCAGCACGTCCTGTGCCCCACCGGGACCTGAGCGGCCTCACGGCCGCTGGACGAAAAATACACATACATACATATATATTTGTAAAGGCGCACGCTTCAACGCCGCGCGACGCCGCACAACACGTATTTTCTATGTTCCTAAGGACCTCGATTAAATAAGGCAATTGGCTCTATATTGTATGTCTTAAAAACTCGATGCGACACTAGTAGAATGCTATGGCTAAGCTTTGCCCGCAATTGACCACCAAGATTGTGTCCGGACCTTTTTGGGCTGTCCGGGACTTTTCCGCCCAACTTAGGGGAAGGGGCCCCAAGTTGGCTTACTGAGGTACGAAGTAACCTGCCAACGGGTAAAAGATGTCCACACATCCCCACCCCCCGCTGCAACGTGGACAGTAAAAGGGGGGACGGAAGGGAAATGGATGAGGGAGGGAGGATGAGGCTGGCAGGGGCTTGTATGCTGGTGAATCCATCAGCGAGGCTGCGCCCCAGGGGCTGCTGCCCTCACGCAGCTGACGACCAACTCCGACGAATGGAAACTAACCACCCACGTTGCTTCCTTAACCTTACCGTACCCCGCGTAAGCCTGTCACGACGGCCACGTTATTCTTCAATCTTCGCGTCGGATCAATAACAGAACAGACTGGAGCTTTACCTGCACGCATGTTCTTCTAGTGTGGCCCACTCCCCCACTCATGTCCGCGCGCCTATTATGGGCCTCGTCGACGCTAGCCATGTCTTTCTCCTCTTGCTAGTCGCCACCTTATCCATCTTCTTGGTGCGCAATCGTTTGCTACCAGGTCCAGCGCGCAACGAGGGGAAGCCAGCGAAATATGACAAGACGTTCCGTGTCCGCGGTGTTCCTCGCGAGTGGGATCTCGCCCGTTTGCGGTCCTTCCTCGAGGAACGCGATTCACACCTGACTGTCAAATCACTCGCACGAGAGATCCATGGCCGTTCGTCGTCGGGCACCGTTACCTGCCGAGATACCCCTACCGTACTTTTGATACCCCTGGATCTGACCAACTCTTCGGGGGCGCGCCTCCAAGTCCTCACGCTGGACGACGACTTTGTCGGCATGACGACACTCTTCGCACCGCCCGACAAGGACCACAGAATCGAGTAAGGAGGGACCCAGCTCCTTGCAACGGCGCGTGCTAATCATCCTAGTGTCGTTGCTATATCGGGCCTCGGGGGCCACGCGTTTGGCTCTTTCAAAGAGAGAGGTGGGGAGCATATGTGGCTGCGAGACGCCCTGCCGTACGATCTCAAGAGCGAGGCTACCGAGGGGCATATGGCGCGCGTGATGACGTATGGGTATGGGTCGGCGGTTGCAGAGAGCCAAAACACCGATAACCTGGAAGACTTGGCAACGGCATTCCACAACAGCCTCCTTCCGTTGGCCTCTTCTGCGCAAAGAAAGCCTATTATCTTCATTGCCCACAGCCTGGGAGGACTGATCTTGAAGCAGGTAATACCACCGCTTCTATTGTCTTGTCATTGGCTGATATGTTCTGTAGATGCTCATTACTCTGGCAAAGTCGGAGCAAGAGGACGATAAGAAGCTCTTAGAGGCTGTGTATGGCATCGTCTTCTTCGGCGTTCCACACGACGGCATGGATATCAGCTTTCTTATCCCCATGGTCGGAGACGGGCCGAATCGGTTCCTTGTTGAATCGATTAGTCGCATCAATTCGCAGATTCTAAGCATCCAGCAGCGCGATTTCCACAAAGCACTCAGGGCCGAGGGTGAATCCGAAATTGTCTGTTTCTACGAGACGATGCAATCACCAACGGCTAAACAGGTCTGTCATGGCTCTTCTATCATAGTGCCCAACTGATTCGTCCAGGATGAGAGTGGCAACTGGGCCATGTCAGGACCGCTGAAGGTGCTCGTCACCAAATCCTCAGCGACGCATTGCCGTCCGTGGGAGGACGGACCGGAGCACAACTGTGCCGTCGCGCGGTCACATTCGGGCATGGTTAAGTTTAGGCCCAATGACCCCGAGTATGATAAGGCCTGCGAGAGGCTGAGGGGCCTTGCTCGACGGGCAGTGACGGGGCGTCATCGACGGCAGGCACTTAACGCGAAGTGTAAGTAAGCTGTAAGAACTTGCTGGCTTAAACTAAAAGCATCAGTCCTTGTGCCATACAATAAGAATCAAGACTTCGTCGGACGATCCAATATCTTGGACGACCTGAAGCAGTTGCTGGGTTTCGGTCAGCGCCCTGGAGCCGCAGGGTCGCGACCCAGGGTGGCGCTGCACGGCCTGGGCGGAGTTGGGTGCGTCATGTTATTTCCGTTCCATGGTAGGCATGCTGACAAGCGTAGAAAAACGCAAATTGCATTGGCATACGTCTATTGGCTTCAAGAAGCTTGTCCTGAGGTGTCCGTGTTCTGGGTTCACGCAAGCAACGCCGAGCGATTTCGTCAGTCATTTGCTTCTATCGCAGAAGAATGCCAGATTCCCGGCCACGATAATCCTCAAACGGATGTTCTTCTGCTAGTAAAACAATGGCTAGGGAGAAAGGAGAATGGGCAGTGGCTCATGGTTCTCGACAACGCTGACGACGAGCCGCTCTTCTTTAGCGCTGCCGGTAGCAGCTCCATTGGGGTAAACAAGCTCGGACAGTACATTCAAGAGTGTAACCATGGAGCAGTGCTCGTGACGACCAGGAACAAGAAAGTAGCCGTGAGGCTGACCAAGTCCGCTGCAACCTATACAGTGGAGATTCGGCAATTGGGTGAGGAGGAATCCAAGCAGCTGCTCAAAACAATGCTCAAGGAAGACGACGAAGTTACACACGTGCTATCAGCGCTGTCCTCTCGCCTGGAGCATCTGCCGCTCGCGCTCGTCCAGGCGGCCGCCTTTATTCAGGCAAATTGCATTTCCATCGAAGAATATCTCGACCTACTCGACGAGAGCGACCATACTGTCGTCGACCTGCTGAGCGAGGACTTCGAGACGATCGGGCGGGACTCAGAGGCTCCACAGGCGGTGGCGCAGACGTGGATGCTCTCGTTCCGACAGATCAAGGAACAGGATGCGTTGGCGGGCGATTTGCTTTCGTTGATGAGCCTGTTCGACCGGCAGGGCATTCCAATACCGTTTCTATCGCACTATAGTACACAGGAATGCAACGGAGGCCCGAAGAGCAATATGGAGCTGACCAAATCTATTGGGCTTCTAAAAGCCTTTAGCCTCATCTCAGAGGAGAAGAGTGGCGGCCTGGACATGCATCGGCTGGTGCAGTTAGTAATGCGTAAGTGGCTCGCCAACGATGGCAAGATGAGTGAGTTTGGGAGGGAAGCGCTGTCGACGGTATCCCAGATGTATCCAATTGGGGGGTTTGAGAACCGGACGATATGTAGTACGTATCTACCGCACGCAAACGCTGTGCTGGAGATCGATTTTGGCGGGCTAGGGGATGATGGGGAGCAGGCGAAGGCAGAACTGCTCCATTGCGTGGCTAGCTACTTGGATTTCGAGGGCAAATGGAGCGACGCAGAGAAGCTCAGCATGGCTGCTGTAGAGATTCGGAGGAGGGTCCTGGGCAAGAAGCATCCCGACGCGCTAACTAGCATGGCAATCCTGGCATCGACGTACCGGACTCAGGGGCGGTGGAAGGAGGCGGAGGAGCTGGGGTTGCAGTTAATAGATCTCAGTAACAGGGTGCTAGGGGAGGAGAATCCCAATACGCTCGCTAGCATGGCCAACCTAGCGTCGACGTACCGGAAACAGGGGCGGTGCAAGGAGGCGAAGGAGCTACAGATGCAGGAACTACGTATCCGCAGGAGAGTTCTAGGCGAGGAGCATCCCGATACGCTCACCAGTATGTCGAATTTGGCGGCGACGTACCGGACTCAAGGACGGTGGAAGGAGGCGGAGGAGCTTGGGGTGCAAGTGATGGAGACCCGGAAGAGGGTACCGGGGGAGGAGCATCCTGACACACTGACCAGCATGGCAAACCTAGCATTGACGTATAGGAAGCAGGGGCGGTTGAAGGAGGCGGAGGAACTGGGGGTACGGGTGATGGAGACCCGGAGGAGCGTGCTAGGCGAGGAGCATCCCGATGCGCTTACCAGCATTGGAAACCTGGCGTCAACATTCCGGACTCAGGGGCGGTGGAGGGAGGCGGAGGAGCTAGGGGTGCAGGTGATGGAAACCCAGGAGAGGGTGTTGGGCGAGGAGCATCCCCGCACGCTAGCCAGCATGGCGAACCTCGCGGCGACGTACCAGAATCAGGGCCGGTGGAAGGAGGCGAAGGAGCTAGGGGTGCAGGTAATGGAGGCCCGGAAGAGGGTGCTAGGTGAGGGGCATCCCAAGACGCTGACCAGCATGGCAAACCTCGCGGCGATGTACCAGAATCAGGGGCGGTGGAAGGAGGCCGAGGAGCTCGGGGTGCGGGTGATGGAGACCCGCAAGAAGGTGCTGGGCGAGGAGCATCCCGACACGCTGACCAGCAAGAATAGCCTGGCCTGGACTTGGTATGAGATTGGCCGAGCCGTGGAAGCAAAGGCGTTGATGCAGGATTGCATTCATCACCGGCAGAAGATACTTGGCCAGGATCATCCTCACACCCAGTCTTCCATATCGGCCCTGGGTAGATGGAAGAGTACAAGGTAGAGGTCTAATGTCAGATTCATGACGGTCTGCATCGAATCAATCCAACCCCTTCAGCACCCCGAGAGGGAGAACGGTTCGTTTTTAGTAAAGGTAGGAGGCGTAAGAGAGCGATGGGTCTATAGTGCGTAGCTTATTTCTGCATGCGATAGCGGAGAGGGCGTGCGGGCGGGTCGGAGGTGCTCGCGACGATAGAGTTGAGAGGGGAATCCAGGCTGGCCGTCGGAGCGGGAACGGGGGGGACGCCGCCCGGTCGAGACGGAGAAGCGGCCGGCGGAGGAGAGGAGGAGGGGCGGCGGAGCCGACGGTGTTCGAAGACGAGGAAAGCGGCGAATGCTGCTACTGCAGGAAGCGCGCCCTCTTCATGGCGTATCGGCAAGGGCCGGGTGGGAGCGCTTAGGCGGCGGCGTGACGAGGTCGAGGGTGGGCGGGGCCGAGGCCGGCGCGGCAACGGAGTACAAGGCGGCACGGATGGAATCGAAGGTAGAGGAGGCGGACAGGGTCTGACGCATAAAGGGCGTAGCGAGAGGGGAAGCCGAGGCGGTGGCGGCCGCCGGGGGCCTATCGACAAAGGTCCAGCTGTCCGGGACGACGATAAAAGCGTAATCGCGCTCTGAGCCCGGGGGGCAGAGCATAACGCGGTGGTCGGGAAGGCCGACGACCTTTCCGGTGCAGGTAAAGGGACGCCGGGCAGGAAGGAAGAGCTAGGCTTTTCAGCGATTTTCTTGCATAGCACGGCCAAAGGGTTAACGTAGACAGGAAAGATAACAAAGACCTCGAAGGGGTGGTAGCCCTTAAAGGGAATCTTGTGAGTACCGCCGTCGCCAATGTATTCACGGCGCTTTTCTTTTCTCTGCTTTCGCCGCTGGTTTTCTGACCGAAGTTGCCGTTTTCGTCGGCAAGGAGGGCGGCGCTATGCATGGCCATTTGACATCCTTTGATAAGCTGGTTGATAGCTTGTGAGACTGGCGAGTCTGCATTTTGTGGCCGGCGTTGAAGAAGCCTTTCGGCGTGAGTGGTAAGCTGGTTGACGTTATACGGAGTCTTGGCTGCTTCCAGGCTCTTGTTGGGGCTTGGAGTATTCTTGTCGCCGTGATCGTTACCAACTTTGTCAACCTGAACTTGTTGGATAAACTGCGCAATAATGTCGCTGCCACATTACTAAGGATTAAAGCGATGGTGTCGAACGTTCTAGATAACAACGTCACCTAAGCAGCTTAGGTGGCAAGTGGCAACATCGCCACCTAAGGTAAAACAAAGCACTATAAGAAGCAAACTTCTTACCATAATTTAGACAATCAATCAATCATCTTTTTTCATCCACTGTAACCTGTCAGTTTTAACTGACAGAACTTGTAACCGCGATAATACCCCGTTTGGGTCGAACGGAAAGAGGCCTGTTGCCATAAATCCGCTTCGGATATTCGACGGCGAAAGTGCTTGTCGGCGAGCCTCTAAGTATATAGGAAGGAAGTCCTGTTTGTCGATATGATGGATCCCAGCGAGCATTTTCTCTTGAACCTTCCGGCCGTATATTGTTTTCGACGGCGAAAAGCACCCGACACCAAGAGGCTGCAAGAGATGCGAGGAATGTGCAGGCATTTGCAGTACCACGATGGAATTGGCCGTACAGTACTTGTCGAATTCCGGCCTGACGTGGCTGCCGTGCCCGTCGAGAATAAGAAGTCGATGCGTTCCCCACGTAGTCCCTCCTGATCCCATACGGGCGCCAAGATTTCCCGCACGGGAACTTCAACTGCGATCTTCTCGAAGTACTCGACGGCGTTTTCGTTGCCAGCCGGATCGTAAGAGATAGTACCATCCCCCACCCCTCTTTCGGTAACACCCCTCTTTCGGTAAGGGATTTACCGGTGATCTGCCGGATCCCGTGACCCGCCGGACTTACCACTCTTCCCACGCGCCTCCATGGCGTAGTGGTGACACGTCTGGAGCCTCTGCGTCGCAGAGGGGTCGGTTCGAAGCCGGCTGGAGGCACCCCTGGTGAAACAGGGCACACCCGGGTTCCCGCCCGTCAACAGGGAACAGCGTCATGAGAAAACACAATCGGCGTACCAACCACCATCAATGACTAACACAACCACGCTTCAACTTCGACACATCGCGCTTCAGTTGCTGGGAATAGGATGCTGAACACTTGGAGAAATTGACCTTCAAGCAGGTCTGTCATGGAGCGAACAGTGGAATGGTTGGTGCAGCGTAAGATGATATGTGGGGCTTGGGGTGTCATGCATCAGTGTATCGAACCGTCAATAGCCAGAGCGTCTAGGCCCTATAGGGACCTCCCTCCGGGCGAAATAAATCCATACACTCTTCCCACGCCTCCATGGCGTAGTGGTGACACGTCTGGAGCCTCTGCGTCGCAGAGGGGTCGGTTCGAAGCCGGCTGGAGGCACCCCTGGGCGAACAGGGCACACCCGGGTTCCCGCCCGTCAACAGCGAACAGCGTCATGAGAAAACACAATCGGCGTACCAACCACCATCAATGACTAACACAACCACGCTTCAACTTCGACACATCGCGCTTCAGTTGCTGGGAATAGGATGCTGAACACTTGGAGAAATTGACCTTCAAGCAGGTCTGTCATGAAGCGAAAACAGTGGTACGGTTGGCGCAGCGTAAGATGATCTGTGGGGCTTGGGGAGTCAAGGAACAAACGTGTTGAACTGTACTCTAGACAGTGTAAAGGCCTTATAGGGACCTCCCTCCGGGCGAAATAAATCCTACTACTACTACTCTTCCCACGCGTCGCTGGCCCTCTGGAGTCCGCCACTCCAAGTGCACCTCATCAGCAACAGCACCAGCACCTGCCACCTTCGCCACCACCCTCTCCAGTCCCGGGGCCACTGCCAGGCGTTGGGCTGGACGTGAGTCGGGTCCTAGACAGCGATATAAGGGAAGGCAATGCCGGCACTATTCGTCGGCGCGTGAACGCTGCCCTTGAGAATTTGGGTGTGACCTGTCTTGGCGTCAATTCTAAAGGAAACGGACGTTTTCGGCTTCTCTTTCGAGAGACGGACGTCGATAAAGTACGGCAGAACGACACCTGGATAAGGACACATTTCGACAAGGGAACACTATATGGGGAGCAGTGGTGCCCTCTACGGGTTGACAGAGCCCATCGTGGGGTTGCGACGGATGATATCGGATGCGCCGTGTTTGGGCGGATGAACGGGGTGAAAGTGCACAAGATGCGATGGCTCGGGACAGCGTCTGTCGACAAGGAATACCGCTCTCTGGTGGTACACCTGGATAAAAAAGAGGAGGTGGACAGGTTGCTTGCAAACCGAACGGTTGAGATGGCGAATGGCGAGTGTGCATACACGCGACCATTCGTTCAGGGACTTCAACCAGCGAGATGCTACCGTTGCCACCTCTACGGACATTTGCATTATCGCTGCAAGGCCCCAGCTCCGATCTGTGGACAGTGCGCCCAACCGGGCCATTCTGCGTCGACTTGCACCTCGAACGTTTTTAAGTGTGCAGCGTGCGGCGGAAAAGGAGCACACAAGGCTACAGATCCTGGGTGCCCGGTATATCGCCGGGAACTCGCCAAGTTACGACCGTCGCCCTACTAACATACATCCTCTGTCTTAACCTTTTCTTTTCAGCACAAACCCTCTACCTATACCTGTGGTTGCCCCACAGCTGGTAGGTTAGCTACACCGGACGGCTAAAGGCAGGTGGACTCTTCGTCAAATGCGGCGGAGGAGAGTGGTCTGTACCTCATCAGACAGGCTCCAGAATTGGAAAGGGACAGGTCAAATGAACAAGAGACGGATTGAAGGATGTAAGAGAAATTTAGGCATTAGATCGGGACGAATTCCTTGGGCTCGGAACCGAGTATTGGACAACTCTAGAATAGGCTTAGCGAGTCTGACGCAGTGCCTCTGACTATCGTCAATGGCGAAATAAACATCATCATCATCACCGACACTCTGGCCTCCATGGCGTAGTGGTGACACGTCTGGAGCCTCTGCGTCGCAGAGGGGTCGGTTCGAAGCCGGCTGGAGGCACCCCTGGGCGAACAGGGTACACCCGGGTTCCCGCCCGTCAACAGGGAACAGCGTCATGAGAGAACACAATCGGCGTACCAACCACCATCAATGACTAACACAACCACGCTTCAACCTCGACACATCGCGCTTCAGTTGCTGGGAATAGGATGCTGAACACTTGGAGAAATTGACCTTCAAGCAGGTCTGTCATGGAGCAAGAACAGTGGTACGGTTGGCGCGGCGTAAGATGATCTGTGGGGCTTGGGGAGTCAAGGAACAAACGTGCTGAACTGTACTCTAGACTGTGTAAAGGCCTTATAGGGACCTCCCTCCGGGCGAAATAAATCCTACCTACCTACCTACCGACACTCTGACCGAGTATTGGACAACTCTAGATTAGGCTTAGCGAGTCTGACGCAGTGCCTCTGACTATCGTCAATGGCGAAATAAACATCATCATCATCACCGACACTCTGGGACGAGGGACACTCTGTGAAATCCTACCTGCCTACCTTGAATTATTATCTCTCTATTGAATCGGAAAAGCTGTGTGGTGGTCGAGTCGGCAGCATGAGCATGCTGGTGAATGCGGGGCCTAGGGTGGGGCCGCGCGGCCCCTCGTCGTCGCCGACCGAAGGCAGAATCGTGAAACGCAAGCTACTCGATGGGACAGCAAAAGAGTTGAATAAAAGCAGCCGATATGCGACAAGAGCGACAAGAAAGGAAACAGGTGAAATTGAATGCGCGAGACTACCGGGAAATGAAAATGTCAACAGCAGTCAGGAAGAAGTGGCGATGATTGAGAAGGTTTGGGAGCTGCTGGACGAGTATCGTGCGGAATTCCGAGGATTGAAAGAGACACTCAGAGAGCAAAATGAGATCATCCGTGAGCAGCAAGAGATAATCCGAAAACAGAAAGAAGAAATAGAAAAGCAAGGAACTATCAGCCGAGAGCTCAGCATTCATCTGGAAGACATGAAGCAGCAGATGAACGACCAACTTGAGCAGGTCCGAAAGCAACTCGAAGCCATCGTCGCCGGCGCAGCGGTTACCCCGCCCAAAACGTTCGCTGAGGTCGCGCGATCATCGCCGTCGCCACAACAGAGCATTGCCCTGTCGCTCTCGCCTGGTAATACTGCAGAACCTACCGCGAACGAGTTTTTCTGCATGATTGATACATCCCGAGTAGAGGAACAGGACAGAGGCCGAGCACAGATAGGCTCGATTCGGCAAGCCATTGAAAATGAGGTCAGAACAAAGGAAGGTCAGGTGAACTGGAAGTGCGCAGCAGTTGTGAGGAACTCTCGAAACACAAAGCAAGTCAAGGTCATTTGCAGAGATGAAATCGAGCTGCAACGAATCAAGGAAGCTGCGCAGAAAACGGCGGTGACTGGAGCTCGAGTGATGAGAGATCAGCTTTACCCAGTCAAAGTCGACAATGTCAATCGTACCGCGATCCTCGACGGAGAAGGCAACATCCTACAAGGTGCGGCTGAGGCTCTCGGTGTCGAAAATAATGTCTCAATCGGTAAGATCACCTGGCTGAGCAACAAAGAAACGAGCAAAGCATACGGGTCTATGGTAGTCTACGTGACGAAAAAGAACGATGCAAAGAAGCTTTTGGATGGCAAGTACTTCGATCTGGCCGGAGAGTCGGCGTGCACCAATCCTTCGAACCCCGCAAGGGACCGATGCAGTGCTTCAACTGTCAAGACATGGGCCATAAAGCCTTCAGGTGCAGCAAGCCTCAGGTGTGCGGAAGGTGTGCCGGTGCGGGTCATCACCACAGGGAGTGCCATGCAATGGACCCTAGATGCGTCTTGTGCGGCGGACCGCACGAGTCGTTCAGCCGGAACTGCCGCGTGCGAAACATCCACTCCAATGCATAAGACACTAAGCATTCTACAGCTCAATGTGCGAAAACGGGAACCAGTACAGCAGAGTTTGATGAACGACGAGGACCTCAAGGATTACGGAGTGCTGGCGGTCTCCGAACCGTACGCCAGGATGATCGACGGCAAGGTGGTGACAAGCCCCAGGATGCACAGCAACTGGACGAGAATATTGCCAACGCACGCGAGCGACGGCCCTGGCCGATCCGTAGTATGCTTTGGGTGCGAGACGACGTCGAAGTGATGCAGATGCCGATACCATCAGCGGATCTCACGGCAGCGGTGCTTCGACTGCCGGAGAGGAGCGTCCTGGTGGTATCGGTCTACGTGGAAGGGCAAAGCACAGAAGCGCTGAAAAGCACTACTGGGCTATTGCATGACTTGATCCAAAGATTCCGTCAAGGCTCTGGTGCACGCACAGATGTGGTGTTGGCTGGAGACTTCAACTCTCATGACCTACTCTGGGGAGGAGACGATGTTTCGGTTCAGAGACAAGGAGAAGCGGGGCCGATCATTGATCTGATGAACGAGATGAACGAGCATGGCCTCAGGAGCTTGCTCCCGAGGGGCACGAAAACGTGGCAACGCAAGGATCAGGAGAGCACCATCGATTTGGTGTTGACGACGTCAGAGTTGGCAGACGAAGTGGCAACATGCACCATCCATCCGACCGATCATGGCTCAGACCATAGAGCTATTCAGACGACGTTTGACATCACGATGCCCGAGGGAAGGGCGAGGCCAAGACTCCTGTTTAAGAATGCCCCTTGGAATCTCATACGAGCCCGGGTGAAAGACAATCTGCGACTCTTGCCTTGGGCTGTCGACGTTCAAACCCAGACGGATCAACTGATGCGGATCGTCCTGGAGGCTATCCACGAACTGACGCCTCGGGCACGGCCGTCACCGTATGCAAAACGTTGGTGGACCAAGGATCTCACACAACTTCGGCGGACACACACGTTCTGGCGAAACCAAGCGAGAACGCAACGACGAGGAGGCCAACCGCGACCGGAACTCGAACGGCGGGCCAAAGAAGCGGCGAAAGAGTTCCACGATGCCATTCGATACCAGAGGAAGACGCATTGGGATGACTTCCTCTCCGACGATGCCAACATCTGGAAGGCGACTAAATATCTTAAAGCCGGCAAGAGCACTACGGGCGACAAGGTGCCACCTTTGAGGAAAGAGGATGGATCGACGACCGAGGATAAAGCAGACCAGGCAGACGAACTGCTCATTGCCTTCTTTCCACCCTTGCCTGCGAGAATCGAGGATGAGGGGGTGCGACCACAGCGGAAAGCGGTGCCCATGCCCGGACTGACATTGGGAGAGATCGAGGAAAGGTCATGACAGCGAAACCGTGGAAAGCACCTGGAGAAGATGAGCTTCCGACAGCGGTGTGGAGACAACTCTGGCCGGTGACAAAGGATCGGATATTTGCTCTCTTCGATACATCTCTCCGAGACGGCGTTGTACCTCGCCAATGGAAAAGCGCGAAAATTGTCCCACTGAAGAAGCCACACAAAGACGACTACACGATAGCCAAGGCGTGGCGACCAATCTCGCTGTTGTCGACGCTTGGCAAGATACTCGAAGCGGTCGTGGCCGAGCGCATCTCGTATGCAGTAGAGACCTACGGTCTTCTACCCGCGAATCACTTCGGAGCAAGAAAACGACGATCTGAGCAGGCGCTGCTGCTGCTACAGGAACAGGTTTACAAGGCTTGGCGCAACCACAAGGTGCTCAGCCTGATCAGTTTTGACGTCAAGGGCGCCTACAATGGAGTGTGCAAGGAAAGACTGCTCGAGAGGATGAAGGCGAGAGGGATACCAGCCGAACTGATAAGATGGATAGATGCGTTTTGTTCCGGGCGAACAGCCTCATTGGTGGTCAATGGGTTCGCGTCGGAACAACGGGAGCTGCCTCAGGCAGGCCTTCCTCAAGGGTCACCGCTGTCACCGATCTTGTTCCTCTTCTTCAACGCGGACCTGGTCCAGAGAAGGATCAAGGCGGAAAGCGGGTCGATTGCATTCGTGGACGATTACTCGGCCTGGGTAACCGGGCCTACCGCGGAAGCGAACCGAGAAGGGATTCAAGCGATCATCGACGATGCACTTGAGTGGGAGGCGCGCAGCGGTGCAACTTTTGAAACAGAGAAGACGACCATCGTCCACTTCACGCGAGCCACGGTGCGTAACAGCGATAGGCCGTTTCTGATCAGAGGCCAAGAGGTCCAACCCAGGGAAAGCGCAAAGATTCTGGGAGTGATCATGGATAACGAGCTGCGATTCCAGCAGCACATGGTGAAAGCGGCCGCCAAAGGACTCAGCGCCGCCATGGGCCTGAGAAGGCTGAAGATGCTGTCGCCAAGAGTGTCGAGACAACTTTTGAGGCAACAGTCGCGCCAGCCATGGACTATGCCTCTAATGTCTGGACACATGCCCTCCGTGCGAAACACGTGAGTTGGATGAACAAAGCACAGATGATCGGGGCGCAAGCCATCACAGGCGCGTTTCGTACGGTCGCAACGACCGTGGCCATGGCCGAGGCCAACATTCAAACGGTAGAGGAACGACACAGACAGGCTACGACAAGACTTTGCATCAATCTCCAAACCCTGCCGGTGACACATCCGCTGGCAGCCTTGAGAAATTGTGCGACCAGGAGGTTCGTGTCGCCGATGCAGAAGATTGTCACAGCGGTGCAAACGGTGCAGATGGACCGAATAGAAGACATACACGAGTATGCGTTGCCACCATGGACACCACGTGTCCAAGCGGTGTTGGAGAGCGACACAGCGAAAGCCATCAAGACAGCAAATGATGCCAAGGGGATTGTGATAGCGACATCCGGCTCGCAAAGGGACGGCATGGTGGGAATGGGAGGCGTAGTGTGCAACGTGAATCACGACGGCCCGGGCGTGGTTCTTGCCAGCTACTCCGTGTGTCTCGGGACTGCGGATGAGCAAAACCCGTACACGGCGGAACTGGCAGCGATAGCAATGGCGCTGATGTGCACGCCGACCGGCCCGCCTTGTCGAGAGGTGACGGTCGTGGCAAGCAGTCGCTCAGCCCTGGAAGTGATCAGGCGTCCTCGTAGGCAATCCGGCCAATGCACCATTCGCCAAATTTACGACCACGTCAATCGACTGGTCAGGCGAGGCTGGTCTGTGAAACTCATCTGGGCACCAGCCAAGCAAGCACGGTTCGCGTGGGCATCGGTCGCCAAGACGGCAGCGAAGAAAGCAACCCAGGCAGGAGCGGTGGCAGAAAAGCCGTCGTACCGAGCAAGATCGACTACGCTCCGTCTGGCACTCGCTCGAAGACAGGGTGAACAGCTTCCGGAAAATGTGGGAAAGCACTCAAAACGCATCGACAAAGCATTGCCAGGGAAGCACACCCGCACACTTTACGATTCTCTGACAAGGAAGGAAGCCGACATTCCCGTCCAGCTTCGCACCGGCATGTCACGACTAAACGGGTACCTGCATACGATAGGGGCCACAGACTCGGATTTGTGTGATTGCGGCCAGGCAGCAGAAACAGTTGATCACTTTCTCTTTCGATGCACAAAGTGGATTGCGCAACGGGGTGTCCTATTCGAATGCGCAAGAGCCAAGATTGGGAATTTGTCTTTCTTCTTGGGAGGAAAAGCTGCATCGGATGGCGATAAGTGGAAGCCAGACATGCAGGCGGTTCATGCGGCGATCAAATTCGCGATTGAGACGGAACGGCTCGACAGAAAGCCGCAACCATCAGAAGACAACTGAGCTCTAACAAGCAACTGCACTAAGTTACTAACACATCTCAGCTTCGAACTGGCAGACCGCGCTTCAGCTGCTGTGAATAGGATGCTGAACACTTGGAGAATTCGGCCTTCAAGTAGGCCTGTCATGGGACCAATGATAACGAGGTTGACCAGCAAACGATAAGACGACAATCTGTTGGGCTTGGGGAGTCAAGGAAAAAAGGTGCTGAACTGTACTCTAGACTGTGTAAAGGCCTTATAGGGACCTCCCTCCGGGCGAAATAAATCCTACCTACCGACACTCTGTGGGACCGACACTTTAGGACGCGACTGCAAGAGAGAGATTGACGCTTGAATTCTTATCATTTTCCGAATCGAAAAGGTTGTGTTGTGATTTAGTCGGCAGCATGAGCTTGCTGGTGAGTGCGGGGTCGGGGGTGGGGCCGCGCGGCCTCTCGTCATCCCCGACAGGAGGCAGAATCGTGAAGCGCAAGTTACTCGATGGGACGGCAAAAGAGCTAAATAAAAGCAGCCGATATGCGACGAGGGCGACAAGGAAAGAGACAGGTGAAATTAAATGCGTGAGGGTATCGAGAAATGAAAAAGTCAACAGCGGCCATGAGGAAATGGAGACGCTTGAGAAGGTCTGGGAGCTGCTGGACGAGTATCGTGCGGAATTCCAAGGATTGAGGGAAACACTCAAGGAGCAGAATGAGATCATCCGCAATCAGCAGGAGATAATCCGAAAACAAAAAGGAGAAGCCGAGAAGCAAGAAACGACCAATCGAGAGCTGAGCCTTCATTTAGAAGATATCAAGCAGCAGATGAGCGACCAACTCAAGCAAGCCCAAAAGCAGCTCGAAGCCATCGTCGTGAGCGCAGTGGCTACCCCGCCTAGCACTTTCGCTGAGGTCGCGCGTTCATCGCCGTCGCCACGACAGAGCACTGTCCAATCGCGCTCGTCCAGTAGCACCGCGGAATCCAATGCGAATGAGCTTTTCTGCATGATCGACACATCGCGAGTAGAGGAACAGGACAGAGGCCGAACACAGATAGGCTCGATCCGGCAAGCAATTGAAGGTGAGGTCAGAGAAAAGGAAGGCCAGGCGACCTGGAGATGCGCGGCAGTAGTGAGGAACTCTCGAAACACAGAGCAAGTGAAGATTATTTGCAGGGATGAAGCCGAGCTGCAACGAGTCAAGGAAGCGGCACAAAAGACGGCAGTGACTGGAGCCCGAGTGATGAGGGATCAGCTTTACCCGGTCAAAGTCGACAACGTCAATCGTACCGCAGTTCTTGACGGAGAAGGCAACGTCCTGCAAGGTGCAGCTGAGGCCCTTGGTGCCGAGAACAATGTCACCATCGGTAAGATCACTTGGTTGAGCAACAAAGAGGTAGGTAAAGCATACGGGTCTATGGTTGTCTACGTGACGAAAAAGAACGACGCAAAGAAGCTTTTGGATGGCAAGTACTTCGATCTGGCCGGGGAGTCGGCGTGCACCAATCCGTTCGAACCCCGTAAGGGCCCGATGCAATGCTTCAACTGCCAAGAAATGGGTCACAAAGCCTTCAGGTGCAAGAAGCCTCAGGTGTGCGGAAGGTGTGCCGGTGCAGATCATCACCACAGGGAGTGCCGTGCAATGGAGCCGAGATGCGTCTTGTGCAGCGGACCGCACGAGTCGTTCAACCGGAACTGCCGTGTGCGAAACACCCACTCCAATGCATAAGACATTAAGCATTCTACAGCTCAATGTGCAAAAACGGGAACCAGTACAACAGAGTCTGATGAATGACGAGGACCTCAAAGACTACGGAGTGCTGGCGGTCTCCGAACCGTATGCAAGGATGATCGATGGCAAGGTGGTGACAAGCCCCATGATGCACAGTAACTGGACGAGAATATTGCCAACGCACGCGAGCAATGGCCCCTGGCCGATCCGCAGTATGCTTTGGGTGCGAGACGACGTGGAAGTGGTGCAGATGCCGATACCGTCAGCGGATCTCACGGCAGCGGTGCTTCGACTGCCGGAGAGGAGCGTTCTGTTGGTTTCGGTCTACGTGGAAAGAAAAGGCACAGAAGCGCTGAAAAGCGCGACTGAGCTATTGCGTGACTTGGTACAGAGATTCCGTCAAGGCTCTGGTACACGCACAGATGTGGTGTTGGCTGGGGACTTCAACTCTCATGACCTACTCTGGGGAGGAGACGATGTTTCGGTTCAGAGACAAGGAGAAGCGGGGCCGATCATTGATCTGATGAACGATCATGGCCTCAGGAGCCTGCTCCCGAGGGGCACGAAAACGTGGCAACGCAGGGATCAGGAGAGCACCATCGATTTGGTGTTGACGACGTCAGAGTTGGCCGACGAAGTGGCAACATGCGCCATTCATCCGACCGATCATGGGTCAGACCATAGGGCCATTCAGACGACTTTTGACGTCACGATGCCGGAGAGAAGCGTGACGCCCAGGCTTCTGTTTAAGAACGCCCCTTGGAATCTCATACGAAGCCGGGTGAAAGACAATCTGCGACTCCTACCTTGGGCTGTCGACGTTCAAGCCCAGACAGATCAGCTGATGCGGATCGTCCTGGGGGCTATCCACGAACTGACGCCTCGGGCACGGCCATCACCGTATGCAAAACGTTGGTGGACCCAGGATCTTACACAACTTAGGCGAGCACACACGTTCTGGCGGAACCAAGCACGGATGCAACGACGAGCAGGCCAGGCGCGACCAGACCTCGAACAGCGGGCCAAAGAAGCAGCGAAGGAGTTCCACGATGCCGTTCGATACCAAAGGAAAGCGCATTGGGATGACTTCCTCTCCGACGATGCCAACATCTGGAAGGCGACCAAATATCTCAAAGCCGGCAAGTGCACTACGGGCGACAGGGTGCCACCTTTGAAGAAAGGGGATGGGTCAACGACCAAGGATAAAGCAGACCAGGCAGACGAACTGCTCAGTGCCTTTTTTCCACCCTTGCCCGCAAGAATCGAGGATGAGGGGGTACGGCCACAGCGGAAAGCGGTGCCCATGCCCGGATTGACTTTGGGAGAGATCGAGGAAAAGGTCATGACAGCGAAACCGTGGAAAGCACCTGGAGAAGATGAGCTTCAAGTTGAAGGGCCACGGTTTGTAGATAGTTCAGTGTGAAGGTAGCTGCAGCGGTGTGTCTCGTCTCCGCGAAGCTAGTCACCGGACTGACGTCGACAAGCATTCGAGGCCCTTGTTGATTGAGGTCACTTCCCGGGTGCGCAATGGTGGGCTCCGTATCGCCGTAGCGAGCTAGGGCATCATCGATGTCGGCGCCATCCGCGGAAAGCATGGTCCCCTGAGAACCACCCTCAATGTCGTCTAGCATCCGAAGATGCAATAGTTGTTGGGCCTTGGCCGCTGCTTGGACATCGTCTCGAGATATTGGGAATTGGCACAAGGCGTCACCTTGATCGTGAGCCAGGTTCCGGTACAAATCCTCTTGACGTTGGACGAAAGGTCGCTCTTCTTCAGTCGGGTTCTCCTCGCACAGATCATGTATTAGACCTCCAAGGACGGGTGAGTCTTTTGTGGCGTCCGTGTCCTGCACGGCATTTCGCAAAATCTGGAGTAGAGCTCTGTAGGCCTGACGATGAGCCAGCGCTAGAGGCTCTTCTTCATAGCGGCCATCGTCAAGTGGGTACTCGACGTCAATTGTGTCGTCGCCCTCCGATCGACTGGCCCAGAGCTTCGCGTCTTTACGCGCATCCTCGGCAGACTTTCTCAAAAGACAAATGTTGGAGACGTAGAAACGGAGGCGGGGACAAAGACCCGCTCGATGCGTCGTCCATATGTCGGTTATATCGCCTAGGCTCTCAGAAATGAAGTTTTCCCAAGGAACGAATAGCGCCAAATGTAGGACAGAATTTCTGGACAAGATGTCAGACGGAGCCAAAACGGTGCCCGGGGGGTAGAGCGTACCGCTTAATATACACTGGGTGATCGTCCTCATAGTCGTCGCTGATGTATCCTTGGAAGATCGGGACGGCGTACTGGTCGGGCCGTCGAAGCTTTTGCATCCAGCCGTCGCAGTCGGAATCATGCCCATCGAGAAAAATGTGAGACTCATCTCCACTCCGACCATTTCGACGCACCAAGTGAATCATTGACATGTAGTCATACAGGCATAAGTCTTGTAGAACATGACCGCGGTAGGAGTACGCTTCTAGGCATAGAAGGGTTCGCCCTCCTTGCCTCAGAGGGATTGTCTCCCGGGGCTGTTCGGCGTCCGTCAGCTCGCCGGCCTGACGGCGGAGATGTGCCCATAGCCGAAAGATTGCCCAATAGAGCGCCGTCAGGTTCAGGAAAGACCAATGCGGCACGTTGGTAAAGTCGGTGTCATATCCAAGGAGATGGTAACAGACCTCTACGGCCGAGAGTTGTCGCTCGGAGAAGATCCGATTTGCCGTTCTTATCAGGAATTGACGGCTTTCATTCAATACTGCCTGCTGCCTGTCATCGGGCAGGGTGGGATCTGGTGCACGAGATGTCGGACGACCGGCTTCGCGAAGTTGGCGGGCAACCTCGGTGGCGAGAGCAATGCGCTTCCACATCGGCGTATCCAGTTTGGTGGCGTAGTTCGTGATGTAGTACACCATGGCCAGGCCCTTGGTTTTGGTCAAGATCATCGAGACGTCATGGTTATGACGAAGGCCGACCGCCAATGACTTGTTATACCGATTGACGAGTGGATGGTTGCGCCGGATCTGAAGCAAGCCGTCCTCTGTGAACCCTGTCTCCTCGACGATCTTCCACGGTGCCTTGAAGCGGCAGGCTGTCCTTCTCTGTGGATCTGCACCCTGTTCAACGATCCCCTTCAGAGAATACTTGAGGCAGGTGTACGTGTGGGAGTGCACTTGGCAACAGTACGCGATGAAGTTGGATTCGTCTTCGAAGGCCGCAGTGAGAGCCGAGGTGCTGGTCATGACCTCCTCCACGGGATCGATGGGCTTCCTCTGTTGTCGCACGGTTTTTCCAGCATCTTCATCTAAACACTCGTGAAAGACAGAGTCTACGTACCGGATCACTTGGGCACGGTATCCTTCTTCCGCAGGATTGGCCATATCGTATATCAGGTTCGGTAACCGCATGTTGCCGTCCAGCCAGAGGAGTCCATGTAAGTGGAGGCTGCCTCGCTCGTTCGTTTCCACCGTGGCGTAGTAGTGGCTAATCTCCCCAAAGATCGATTCCTGGCCCGTGTTCACGTACTTGTCAAAGAATAAGGATATTTCTCGGTGGAAGAAGATGGCCGAGCTAACCGGATCCATGGTGCTGAGGGCGATTCTGTCGTACCTTTCACGGAGATCGACTAAAAGCTCCTTTGCAGACTCATAATCGTGCAGCCTATGGATGGCAAGCTTCATCTTTACTGGATTATTAATGTCGTTAGGACTAATGGTAATCCAAATTGCAGGCATAGCAGCCCGGATGTTCAGAGCTTGGATCTTCCTCCGCATAAGCAAACGGGATTCGTTCGAGAGCGGCTGTGCATGACCGAAAATCGACAGCTCGCGAAGCAGGACCGATATGTCGGGGTCCGACGTAGTCCTTGTCTCCCGCATCTCTGCCTCGGCCCTCTTCAGTCGGTCCTCTGTCAAGTTCGCATAGGCTTGCTCGAGCCTGTGGAAGGAATCTTTAGCGACACGAACCATGCTGATGCGGCGGTTGGAGGAGCGAAGGACGGTGTTGAATACTAAGAAACAAAAGACAGGATGGGTGGCAAATCGGCCTCCATACCGTTGCAATACGTATCTGGCCCAGTGATTAAGCGAGTGATTCGGGACGACTGTCGGCAACAACGCTTTGTCGGCTGTGACTCGAGTCGCCCTTCGATTTCGGGCCACCCCTCCCCACGGAAAAAGCTTGGGAAATGTTCGAGGGAAGAAATCTTCGTGCAAGTTGTCTGCAAAATCCGCACCACGCTCTACTCGGACAAACGGCTGGTCTCCCGTAGTTTGGACCTGCATAACGCACGGCACAGAGGTGCCATGTCGGTCAGGATTGGCGTTGACGATGTCGGCCAGAAACGACAGTTTATCGGTCTCCGCGAAGGCAGCCGGTCCATTGAGGGGAAACATGCCGGACGTAGACGTCTCACAGACGGCGTCAACATCCAGGCCGATGGCAGCCGAGTCGGGGACAAGAGTCGCCGGTTCACCAGGGGATGGTCGAGTCTGGTCAGTGGACCGAGTAAGTCTAAATCGCAGGATTCAGCCGCAAAAGTGGGATTGATCGAGTTCACCAGTTCATCGATGCTTCTAAAGCTGTTTTCCTCCAAGCCTCGATCAGTGTCCGGGACAATGTGGTCCGTTTGTGTCTTCTCAACGGTCGACGGTTCCTCCCTTCGCATGCGGTCCATGATGACGGTCGGAACAGTGGAGCCGTCGGCATACTGCCAGCCATCTATCTCTGCTTGGTTAATTGCGATATCCTCGTAAAGCGGGTTGTTCCTTTGCAGCCATGCCAGGGCAGCTGCCACTCGAGATTTGCGCACTTGAAGCAGGTGTCTGACATCTGCGGAGCCAGGCTTGCCCGAACCGCTCCAAGAGACGTGGATGTTCTCAATGGCCTGCAATAAGGGATGAGGAAGAACCGTGGCCACAAGATCGTCCACCTTGTTCGGAAAGACGACGATATGTCCTTTCACGTGCTTGCGGTAGCTGATTCCCGAACGGGTCTTGTTGTCGACCGTGAACTTGGTGATATAGCCAAAAGGCGCATGCAGGGCAATGAGTCTCTCTTCAACGGGGGAGAGGTCATCAAGCGCTTCGGGGTACTGATGTTCGCAACCGATGTCCATGTTGTTGACCGAGCAGGCTTTAAGGCAGCCGTCCACTGTCGAAGCCGGCGCGACACTCGCGGCACACGTCAACTCTGGCGCCCTCGTGTGACGGAAGGCACGCGCCACACTCTTGGACAGTCCTGGTCGCCTGCAGCATGGAGGGCGACAAGCGATCCCTCCACTGCATGGTGGCGAGTTCGCAAGGCGGTGTCTTCCTATAGCAGAAGACGCAGTGGGAAACCGGCAACGTCCGTTCCTCGGTAAACGCTTGGTAGAAAGATTTAGCACCATCTACCTGGAGGGCAACTGGAACTTCGTTGCACCAGGATCTTGTCGATGATGCCTGCTCCTTGACGCGGAAAGTGGCGTTGTAGTGATGCAGTATGGATTCGACAGAGTCTCGTTGAAGTTGAACGGTTTCTTGCATCGGCCGGGGTCTTTTGGGGGAGCGCCTTGGCTGCGTCGGCGGTGGAGTGGGAGGCGCTTGCTCTTGTCTAGGTCGTTTCGGTGATGGAGTGGCAGGCGGCGGCGTCTGTGCAGCAAATCGGGATTGAGCTTCACGGCGGCGGGCTCGGTCTTCGGCGCGCTGGCGGTCCATAAGGGCGCGGGAGGGGGCGGAAGAAGGACCCTTTCGTCTCTTCGTTCCTCAAGGCAAAGATCCTTTCGCCACGTCGTTCCTCGTTCCTCAAGGCATTGAGGAGCCGACAATGTTTTAGCAGGTGTACCGCATTATATATAGAATAGTAGACACTGCCTTATCCTTCCATAGCCATGATATCATCAATAGCCTTGCCGAAGGCTTTGATAATCGGCTCGTAAAGAATCTCCGGGTCCTTGGGTGTCCCAACGAACAGACCCCCCCGGTAAGGAAACAAAATCCCTCGCATTTCTCTGCAGAGTGACTTAAAACAGTCGAAATGAGGCGGAAACTCTTCCAGAATATCTTCAAACCCATCAACACCCATGTCTCCTCGTTTAGCGTGCGCAATTTCTCGGTAGCTGCCAGTGTACCATTTTGTTATCAGAGCGTCTTTCGGCCACTCGCTACCCCAGCCACGACGCGCGCACTGCCAGATAAGCACATACAAGAATGATTCAAGATCATGCCGATAGGTGTGAGAGACCCCTTGCAGGACCTCAATTGCCATGAACTCCATCGTGCCAGTTCGACAGCGCGCCCCGCTGCGCCCGCTGCCCAGCTCTCTGGCAAGGTCCAGGTCAATCAGCATGCCCATGTGGCCAGTCGTTTTGCTGTCGGTTATGATGATGTTGTTCTCGGAAATATCCCGGTGCAGGATGTTGCCTTTGAGGTACAGGGACCTATGTGCTTTGATGGCGTCGCGGAGCGCCCCGAGAAGCTCCGATTTCTTCTTGTGCTTGTGAATCGCCCGGCCGGCTGGGGAGATCACTAGACATCGAAAAACTCGATTATCATAGGGTCCGTTGGTGGGAGCCAGCAAACTCGTCCCCTGCACGTCCTCCACATCGTACGTAACCTCATTCTGCCCTTGGCTAGACCTTTGACTGTTAGATCTTGATCGCTTAGAGGGTTTCTGGCCGACATCAACCGACTTGCGCTTTCTCACAGCGATGCTTAAGCTAGGAAGTTCGCTGATTGACCGAGCAAGGGCGCTGGGAGGCTGAGACCGGGAGAAAGACTGCGAAAAAGTCGACACAGTGCTTGGAAGACCTCGAAACGAGTAAGGCTTTGTAAATGTCAAGCCTGCTCGCATCTCATTGATGCTGGTTATGCGACGATGGCCGACCAACTTAGCAATGCCCTCGACGCCTCTCTGATGCGCCAGTCTGAGAAGGTCTTCCTCTGGCTTTCGCCTGTCGGACGTCCACGAAAGCTTGGAGACACAACTCCAATCCTCGGCGTCCGAAGGCTTCGTGAGGTAGCAACAAGTCCCGCGGCAGACGATTGCTCGTTGATGGGTGAAAGGCTGCGAGTCCAACCGCAGCCTCTTCCTGCCTGAAGCCCCATCCTGCTCAATGTATATCAGACGACCGTCGCCATCCCGATCTGTAAATATGTCCAAGCCCAGCTCTTCGTCATTCATCATTGTGTAACCGGCGATCACCTGAATGAACCGTTCGGGCTTTTTGTGGATATCGAACGCACCAGGACTGTAACATCCCGAGCGATCAAATACCCAGACCTCCATTTCGCGCCCGCAGATTGTAAACGCGTGAACGTACCGACGTGTCGGTTGGCAGGAGAAAACGTCTCGCACGTATCGGCCGAGCTGGAGAAGCGTCGCCTTTTTGTTGTTATTGGACGCCTTGAGCTCACCAATCACGTCAACATCTCTCCAGTCGTGCGCGGCGTCTGGCGGCTGCCCATGCTTTCGCTTGACAAAGAGATCAATTTGTCGCTGAGCTTCAGCACCGACAAGGTCCTTCGGGCGCGTGGTCGAATAGTAGCGGCGTCGTTCCTCCGAGCAGAAGACTTCCTGGAATCGAAACCACCAGTCTAGAACTTCGGCCTGTACGGGCGGGTCAGGAATGTCGGTCCACTCGCCATCGACGTGATGGTCCTTCATTTCCTCATAGGTGTCCAAAGCACGGCGTGTCCAGTCTTTCCCCTCGAAGTATTTCTCAAAAAATCCTTCCACATCGCGATATGTGCAGAGTCTTATCTCCTCGAAGACTTTTTTTTCCACCACGTCACGTGTCTGTTCGACACCTTGCTGGGATGCGGAAGAATGGGAAATGGGCGTGCTGTCGAATGTGGTCGGGACGCTTGGAGGGGGCGTTACTCGGGTGAACGTGGTGAGATCAAACACAGCGCTCCAGATCTCAGAGTCGGACGCCCTCTGGATGAGAACTGCGTTCAAAAGTGGTTTGACGCGGTCGAGATAGAAATCGTCGGAATTGACGGCGAATATAAGTCTTGAGAGGTCGCCGAGCAGGTTCTTACCACTGCTGGCGGAGCGAAGGAGACGCGGCGTTCGAAGTGATTGAAGTGTCGAAAGGAGATCAAGGGTGAGGGTTTGAAGATCTTCCAAAAGATTAGAGGAGCGCAAGTGACAGGTAGTGACTTGTACCTTCTTGACCCAGTTGATTTAGGCCATCTAGTGACCAAGGGATGCTCTTGCCCTCACAGATCGAGCTGAAGGAATTGCGGAGGGCGTCAAGGCTATATCCAATAGGATTGTCCTTGATCACCTTTGATCTGGATTGGTCAGCCATGGCGAGTTGGTATATCCTTTTGAGTGCTGGTTGCCTCGTGTGATGGAAAGAGGAAGAGGCGGTCAAACGTTCTGATGCACCGCTACGGACAACGGAGAAACTCGACCGGATCCAACGGGAGATAATAAATCCGCTTTTATCCCTGCAGCACGCAATTTGGCGCAACTTACCACGCTTACTCATATCATTTCACATTTGGCAGTATTTCCGGTTTTGCACCTTACCGCATACGACCCCAACCGAATGTCGTGCACTGTCCAAACCAGGATGATGTCACTGATTGGGTTCCCATTAACGATAAGCACCATACCAGTATCAGGCATACCGAGAACTCCTGTCGTCGTGAACCAAAATACTCATCAAGGCCTGAAGCACGTCAATGGTGTCAGTTACGGTGGTGAAGTCACCCTTGACAAGTCCTTCGGGCCGCCGGCAGTGCTAAGATTGGAATGAGTAGCGAGGGTTGTCATTCGCATGTGTCACACCCTGTACTCCGTCATACGGCATTAGTCACATGTCAAAGGAGGGGCTTCATATAGCGGGGTAGGCTTGATGATCACATGATGTCGCCCAGTCTCTTGATTAATAGCGCATCGTAGCCTTATTTTATTTGCGAGAAGACCACACTTCATCGTCACCGCGTCCCACGCGCAACCCACGGGGTAATCACTCGCAATTTGTTCTTAACCGAAGGCATCTATATCAACGTCACATCTACTTGTCGTCGTTAATGTCTAGAAGCTGCCTGAGCAGCGCGCTCAAATCCGACAGACCCAAAAGATGAGCATGGTCGGTGCATCGCCTGCTTTGATAGACATATTTCTAACGTTCTTCAAGAAAAGCAACGAAGTTCCACGAGGAGAGCCCTACAGTCGAACGGCGAATATCGAAGTGACAACTCCGATCTTCCTAGAGATTCTTAGCCCGCCGGCTCAGGTATTCATTGGGGACACGAGGTTATGGGGATGGTGGCTTGGAAAGGATGCGGACCAGAAGACCGGAAATGTCAATCCAGGGTCTCGTATTGAGATGTTTACTCCCGGATCTATTAAAATAATAGACGCATGATAAGGACACAGCGAATCAGCAGTCCTCTGTCGCGAGCGTCTCTTTCTTGAAGAACGAATTATGCGTCTGTCTGTCTACTTGAGATAGCGGAGATGAGTCAGTATTCCCCAATCTGCGCGCAATTTCATGGCCTCCTCTCTTCCCACCTTAACGCTCACCACAAAGTCTCCATACTCATCCACATCCATGAACATGCAAGTTGAACGAGGCAGTTGCAGTTTCTCCTCCAATAAGTAGGTTTGACTGGTTGGTAAACAGTGCCAGAGATGGTTCCAGACGTTTTGCAACTGATCACGGCGGAGCCCGACTGGACCATAATCGTCCTCAAAAATAATTCTGTGCAGGTCTTCGATATTTTGCGGGGTTAGTCCTTGGAAAAGTTTCTCTAGGGTCTCAACTCTTTCTGGATGCTCGGCGAGAATGACACTCGAGATGTGCTGCTTTAGTGTCGTCGTCTTCCCTTCCGCCGTAAATGGATAAGAAGCTATTGCAGCGTTACATACGCGACGTATCAGGTCATCGTCCTGCTTCTGGTCGGCCGACGTCACTTGCGAAGCGTAGACATCCTGAGACAAATCGGTTGAGCCTGTACTGCCCTCCCGCACGGGGTTGACTGGCGGATGCTCCGGGCATTGCCTGCTCACCACGTTCCCATTGGCATGAGGAAGAGGTACCTGATCAGTCAATTGTCTGAGCTGCTGTCTCGCGTCGGACGAGTGTGGTTTCCCCAAAGACGTATTCGCACTCCAGGTGTCCCCGGCGGCAGCCAAAAAAACTGTCGCCGAGGAAGCCATTGGCGAATGCTCTCGACGTTCTTCGTTATGTCGGACAGCCTCTCCGCCTCCCTCGGATGGAGATAGCTGGTCTGAGTGCGATCGCTCAGGATCATCAAGACGTTTCCGCTTTCCGGAAATCCCTAAGTCGCTCCTCAAGAAATGTTTAGGGCCGCCGAAGTGCCTGGCGTTGGACACGACTGGTAAGTCCCTGCACATAGAAATGGGCACCCCCCTGTTTTGGGCACCCAAGATGGGTGCCCAACCTAAACGGCTGCGTCAACTTCAACAGCAAATTTCACCGCGGAAACGCATCCAATCTGCTAAAAAAATTGACGCATGTGTCTTCAAGCCACTACTGATGAAATATACAGAGTCTGACATTCACAGCGCCCTTGAGGCAATCGCCAATGGCGGATCCGCCAAGAAGGCTGCTCGCGATTGGGGCGTCCCGAGGGCAACTCTTTACAATCGCATGCATGGTCACGAATGCAGAAAGGATGCATTTTCTGCTCTTCAGAGGCTTTCTCAGACACAGGAAAAGCAACTTACCGAATGGATTCTCATTCAGGACGCCTTGGGCCTTCCTCCCACTCACTCGCAGATCAGGCAGTTCGCGCAGCGCATGCTCGCCGTCAAAGGAGACCACACACCGCTCGGAAAACACTGGATGCAAGCATTTTTAAGACGAAATCCTGCAGTTCGGACCCAGAAGTGCCATCACAGAGACTCTGCGCGTGTCAACGGCGCTTCTACCGAGGTAATTCGGCCTTGGTTCAACAATTTCTTCCTTCCCGAGATTCTGGCTATTAAGCCGGAGAACAGGTACAACATGGATGAAGCAGGCATCATGGAAGGACTTGGGGAGAATGGCCTGGTCGTTGGCAGTGCTGAAAAACGATCTGTACAAAAGAAGACGCCTGGTTCTCGGGTCTGGACGTCGTTCATCGAGTGCGTGTCCGCTGCCGGCACCTTCCTCCCTCCACCCGTCATTTTCAAGGGCAAATCGGTCCAGCAACAGTGGTTCCCAGAAGATCTCAGTACTTTTAGTGACTGGCAATTCACTGCGACAAAGAACGGCTGGACTTCGGACCAAACTGCGGTGGAGTGGCTCGAAAAGGTGTTCATTCCAAGAACCCAGCCACCCGACCCTTCGGAGCGAAGACTGCTAGTATTGGACGGCCACGGAAGTCACGAGACGGTTGACTTCATGTATCTATGCTACCAGCATCAGATTCACCTTCTTTTCTTACCTCCCCATACCTCTCATGTGCTGCAACCGCTCGATTTGTCTGTCTTCTCCGCTCTTAAGCACTACTACCGCAAACAGGTCGGATTTCTCAGCCTCCTGACCGATTCAAGCCCAGTCGGCAAGCAAAACTTTCTTTCCTGCTACCAGAAAGCACGCGAGCAAGCGCTCACTGTGTCAAACATCAAGGGTGGCTGGAAAGCGACGGGTTTGTGGCCGGTGTCGATGGCGAAGCCACTTTTGAGCCCTCTTCTGCTGGAGAACAGCAACAGACGCAAAAGAACGCGAAAAATGTGGCCAATGCATTCAATAGCCACTTACCCACCAGTGACTGGCAATCAGACACATCCCAGATTGCGTGGTCGACCCGAGGCGCTCGCAAGATCTGAAGGTTCAGGTAGTTCAATTCAACCAGCTAGACGACGACGTGCCCACGAAGAGATTGCTGTTCAGGAAGATCACAAAGGGTTTGACGAGAAGGATGGCCTTTAGCAAAAGCTCAATTGCAGATTCAGGCACTGGAAACACAATTGGCGGCCGTCAAGCCGAAAAAGGAAGAGGGTGGTCACGAGCCCGAATTCGAGGTTCGCCAATATTGAGGCAATACGACGGGCGCAGGAGGAGGTGAACGCAGCTGAGAATGAAGAATCTGATGAAACCGAAGCTGAGGTTTCAGAAATAGGTGACGATTGTATCGTAGTGCACGGTGGTGGGCAGTGAGAAGGGATTGAATTAATGGTGTTGAAAATGGTCGTGATTTTTTTGGGGTGCCCAAAACAGGGGGGTGCCCATTTCTATGTGCAGGGACTTACGCTTGATACATCCTTCAGTGCTTTGTTCTTGCAAGCTTTTTGCAACGCCTCATTGAGCTGGGCGTCCGACTTTTGACGCAGCTCTTCGACAATCTTCTGAGTGTACGCCTTCTTCGTCTTGTCAGCCTCCTTGGAATGTATTCGTTGGTGATGGATATACGCGCTCGGCCTCCGGAAAACCTCGTGGCAGTATACGCATACTTCCGCCTTTTTGCAGGTCGCGTCTTGGCCGGATGGGTCAACGTGAGAACTGCTCAAGAGATGCTGATGTACTAACGCGTATGTATGAAATGCCTTCTCAGGCCCTGACCTTTGCTGAATGGTTCTTGGTGCGCGCAATCATCATAAGGGCATTTGGAGTTTTGCTTTATCTCCAAGTCTGATGCTTGGCTTTCATTCTCTTCGAGTTCAATATTGGCGTGCTCCAGACATTCCTGAAGGGCAATAGCCAGCATCTGAATCTGGTTAGACTTGGCTATTAGGAATGCCAGAGACACACCAACCCGATACTCTGCCAAGTGATTCTGCAGTGAATCACGCGTCGAGAAACAAGCCGAACAGTAATCACAAATCCACTGTTTGTTGTTCTCCGGAGTCATGTTTCTGGAAAAAAAAAAATTGCGGCGGTCTGGTAGCTAGATTGAGTTAGCGCTTGACGATAATAGAATGGAGAGAGGGGGAGAGCGCTTGGCGGTTATGTATAACAGGAGAGGAGATTATTCACGTGCCAGGATTGCGTCGGACTTTAGAATCTCCGGGTGCCTTCAATATCCAGTGGTTGGTCGGCCCAGGCTTACGAGCCTGTACTCGGACGGCTTGTCGGAGCTAAGCCGAATGCGGCAAGGTCTTATATCTCTCCCTGCGCTGTGTATGTGCTTCTATGCCAGTAACTCAAATAGGAGGTACCCGTACTACGTAAATCTCGCTTAGCCTATTCTAGTAATGTCCAATACCTGGCTCCGAGCCCAAAAAAAAGCTCCAATTAGTCAGCTGCCACACCTATTTAGTGGCACACCTGAGGAGAGGGTCCCAGCTAGCATCATCTAATCATGCATCTACCGCATGCCTCCTTTTCCCTCGTGCCTGCTTTCCACATGA